TTCTTAACAAAAACAACACTCCTTCCAAACGTTTATGGAAATGGTTTCACACTAGGCTTTAGAATGCAGCAGTGGTATTTCATCGTGAATCGTATCCATGCCATTGTCCTGCGCATGCTAAAATATGTGGACCTCTTCCTAAAAAACCTTCCCCTCCCCTCTTTGCCCAGGTTGGAGCCTTCTAAGACATGTGGCCCTTTTCGTGGTTTGGTGACTGTCTTCGAGTCTGTTTCCAGCTGGATGGGAATACTCGCCAGTTATCCCAGTTCGAGATGGGTTGTGTGGATTTATCGCAACTTAATTGAAAGCGTGCATTTCTTCTTCATCCTCTCCATCATTGTTTTGTAAGTTCCTGTCAGCTGTGTGTTTCTTTATTTTAGCGATGTAATAAGAAAAGGTAGATCTTATTTTATTTGCAAACGGAAGTGCTAAGTTTAATTTCTTTAACTCTTTGTTTTAGAATCATCACCTACCTCTACTGGCAAATAATAGATGGGCGTAAAATAATGGTTAAACTTCTGCAAGAGCAGATCATCAATGTGAGTATGTTGCTGGGGAGGCTTCCTTTTAGTTTGGCTATTCATTCTCTGGCACAGAATTTTATATTGTTGGATATTTGGGTGCAACTCAGCTTCTGGAATAGGGGTTTGCGCGGGGTAAAGGTAGATGCAGTGAGGGACATTCACATCCCCAGACTATCCCTGTACCTTTAATCTATCAGCTTCCTTCTCTGACTCCCTGTTGTTTAGACTGATTCAACTTTCTTTACATCCTGTTTAAAACTTCCTCCTCCTACTTCTCCCTTGGACCTCAATATGAGAGGTCATCTTTAACTATTTGTTCATCTCTAGATTAGTTAGGTTGGAACTAGAAACATTTCTCTCCACTGTATTTCCAACAATAAACAACTTTATTACTTTCTTACCTCCATGCATCTCCCTCTGTGTGTGATCGCAATTGGTGAAGTCTACTCTCTAACCAAGATTTACTAGCTAAACACTGCTCACTCTGCATATTAAAGGGTTTCAATAAGTAGCTCTTGCTCTCCCTCCCTCCACCCCCCCAAAAAAAATACCAGCAGCAGACACCATGACCACCACTCTTCCCTCTGGATTCAAAATGCACAAAAGTGTTGACATTTCTGATTGGTTACCCATGTAACCAATTTGACGGCTGCTTAGAGCCAGTCGAAGAGGTGGAGTTTGGGGGCTTCCCCCAAGCCAAGGTAAAAGAGGGGGGAGGCTGGGATTTGCTTATGGGGGCAGTGCACAGTTGATTCAGTGCACCTGAATACAACATAGAGGGCTAAAGGAGACATTGCATTAAACACTCATTTTTAAAAGTATGCTTGTACTGACTACATTTATTTTGGGATTGAGGGGAGGGCATTTATTTTGGGGGGATATTCTGGATCAGAGCCCTGCAATACAGATCATGGCTGTTCTCAGATTTCCTGCCCAAACTCCTGCTATCCTCCCTCCTCCCAATGGCGCTGTTAGCTGTAACGGCAATCTTCTGGAGAGAGACCCCACAGCTCATTTTTCTTCAAAATTAATGTGGACAGTATACACATTTTTTTGAAAGTGTGTTTACTGTACAATATGGATTGCTACCTCCACACCTGAAAGGGTCCATTTTTTGTGGTAAGGGGAAAATTGCTGTATGAAGAAGTATCAAATGCATGCATCTCCCCACTGCATCTTCTAATGCTGTACTCACTTTTTGTGTGTGTATAGGAAGGTAAAGATAAAATGTTCCTGCTGAAGAAATTACGTGCGCTCCAGGCATCTAAACTTCAAAATCAGGGAGAGCAGCCACAGGTTAGTTGTGAAAATGTGGGCTTGTAAAATACTGCCTTATTCATTATGGGCCGTTAAAACAATTGGCTAATAATCTGGGGGAATACATGATGCAACATGGCAAGTTGTTTATTAGTATTGCACTAGATGGCAGTAGCGATCGCACAAAAATCCCAGGCCACTGGAGGTGCCTGTATTGCGTGCAGGCTTAATCCCCTAGGTATTAAGTCTTGGATACAAGACTTGCCTTGAGCATGTTACGACTTTTGTAGTTGCAGTCCATTCTGTCCACCCTGAAGTGTGGTTAAGTTTACACAGTGTACCTAATTTTGATACTTCTCCCCTGCACACACAGAGGAGTTCATCTGTGCGCCAGTCAACTGGACAGCAGGTACCTGCACCATTGCCTAACTCCACTGAAAGCTCTCCAGCAACAGAGGAACGAGACTCTTACTTTGAGGTAATGGCAACAGCAACTGAGAGAGGACTTCTGGGCATTTGCATTGAATTGAAATTCTTTTACCACTCTTCTATGCTTCAGAGCTCACCTAGAGTATTGTTTGTCCAGTTTTGGCCATTGGAGTTTGCAGGCCCAAGCTCAGTGGTCGAGCAATCCGCTTGGCATGCAGAAGGTCCCAGGTTTATTCCCATTGTATCTAGGTAGGGCTGGGGAAAGCTCCTGCCTGGAGAGCTGCAGTCAGTCCATCACTGGTGACTGTTGGCACTGATAGGGCAGAAGGCAGGGAAGCCAACAGTTGGTGCTGCCAGAGCTAATGATGGGCGGAGCCAACTGATTCTAGTTCCACCCCCATCCTCTTGCCCTTTCTGAGTTCTACAAAAAGGATTCAGACTAAACATTAGATGGAGCTTCCTGGCGGGGCTGAAGCTGTTTTGACAGCGCAGCAGGCTGCCTAGAATGGTGATGACCTCTCCTTTTGTTAGAAACATTTAAAGGGAGGCTGGAGGGCCACATATCGGGGGTGCTGTGGTGGTGAATTTCCCACTTCAAACAGGGGGCTTGGCTGGATGACCTTTGAGCTTCCTTCCAACTCCCAATTATTGCTTTCAGCCTCACAATTTGGTGTCTCTACACTGCCAGTGTAGGTGGCAAAAAGCAGGTGGAAATCGAAGCCGCCTAGTCCTTCCTCAGCAGCCCGTGTTCCCAGCAGTGCTTGAATTATGTCCCTAACTTCTCAGTGCTGGAACGCAAGGACAAATGAAGATTAGAAATTGTGCAATAGTAGCTCCCCGGAGAAACTCCCCATCTAGTCCAGCATCCTGTTCTCACAGTGGCCAATCAGATGCCTATAGGAAGCCCTCAAGTGGGATTTGAGCACAATAGCAATCTCCCTGCACTGCAGTTTCCAGTAACTGCTATCCAGCAGTATGAACAGCACTGAAGTGCATTGGGCCAAGTGCTTTTAATTATCAGTGGCGGAATCAATTGTTCCAGCAAGAGCAGACCAAAGCGAATGTTCTGATTTGGAATCCCTTGGTGGTGGTGGTAGATGGTGTGGAAATACATGGAAAATCTCCAGGGTGTGTTCTGATAGTTGATTTGGCACTCACAAGAAACAGATGTTATCATAGATTCTGGCTGGAGAAGCAGAATGGAGGAGAGTGTTTCCAAGGTGCAATCAGTTGGGGAATAAAGAATGTGGCAATTAAAGCTCTGAAATTCCCTCGCCTCATTTTAGACATAAGGAAATGGGGATCTGTCTATTATTACATTACTATGTTTTTCTTCCCTTTAGCTTGCAAGACCTCAGATGACCAGCTTCTCTCGTGGTAAGCATAAGCCTGGCACAAATAGGCAGAGCAGGTGGCAAAAAATAGAAACCCAGCTCTCTGAAGATCTAAAGCCCTTTTCAGGCATTCAGCTATTAGTAGGAGGGCACAGGGCTGGCTCTCCCCCTACACAGAACTACACAGTGCATTAGCTGACATGTTATTGGCTTAGGCAAGAGGCTTATGCTCTATGTATGATGCTTCCAACATGGAAACTTAGGGTCCTCATCTCTGAAGCGACTCTTATGTGTGTTAGGCAGCTCCCTTCAGATTGACCTGCCCATGTGTAATGTGGGGGGATGTGGCCACTTCATGTGCTGTTGAGGGGAGGGGGCTAGCCCCACATCTATCCACAGTCCTTTTCATGTGTTCAGAAATTAATACCCGAATAGGGCTATAGTTACCTGGTTAGGTGTAGACCATAGTTTGGTATTAACATCTGAATTGGCAAACTATGGTTTGTGTTTGCCACCTATCAGGATTGGAAAGCCACTTCAAATGGTGATTTTTCAATTCCATGTTGGAGAGGAAGCAGAAACTGGTTTGGTGATATTGGATGGGGGGGGGCGAACTATGGCTCATTGGAATCAGGAATTGGAAGTGGAAGAGATAAAGGGAAAACAGAAGCCCAGAGGCTTGGAGCAAACAACCAAACCAGCTCATTGTTTGAAAAAGTGTATCAGCATACGTGGACTACAGGTTGAACCTAGCAAAATCATCATTCCACTTTTAAAAAGCAACTTCTGCTTTGAAAATAAATGATCTATGGGCTTTCATCCAGAACACAGTCCCAATCTAGACTGGGATCCCACAAATTTCCTGCTGACGATCTCTCTCCCACTCACCCATTTACCGCTGAAGGTAATTCTTGCAGTATTCCTCATCTTCTGGAGAAAATAGGTTTCCAGTCCAGATTGGGAGTGCGTTCCATATCTGGGACACACATCTGATTTTTCTTCAAAATACCAATGTTCAGTTTAAGGATGCTTGTTAAAAACATGTGAATGACCGAGAGAGGCATTAACAAAAAGGGCTGTGAATAGATAATCTCCATTCCATGTGTGCCATGGTTTGATTAGGAATGTGGGTAACTTCTATCAAATACGACAGTGCTGATCCTTTGCCATCTTGTCTTGCTTGCAGTTCATGAGAGTAGCCATCCAGCCAAGAATACTACAGCTTCTGAAGCTCTGGCTCTGGCTTTGAGAGCCAGGCAAGAGGCTGAATGGGAAATGGGAGATGATGAAAGTTCCTGAAAGTGGAGGAGTGCAAAATGGACAGAGAAGCACTCTTGAGAATTTTGCTATTTGCACTACTGAGGTCTTAGAAGGATCTGTCTGCACTTTTGAAAATTGACGAATGAAGGATGGTGTTGAAAACCAAGGCTTTTTGCATCACAAAAATGTATTTTTTCACTGGTTGCAATTTTGCTTTATTATAATTATTTTGAAAATATTGTGAAACATAATTAAAACAGGATGCAGCTCATCAACGGAATCCAGGACAGGATTGACTACATATGGAAAGATGTGAGATTAAATACCTTTTTCATGGAACTTTCTTACTGGATTAGTGTAAATTATTCCGATTAATAACTGCCAAGTACAGGTCTGTAAATATTTGTTGTAATCTTTCTGAAATGCTTTATTTTTGCTGTGTTGATCAGAATATTTTTTTACAGAGATTAGAGGCATTTATAAAGAATGATAATGAGAGCTCTGTTGTTTTTTTTAATTAACATGCATTGTGTCACCACTGTGAAATGTTAAATCTGGTTACATATATCTTACTTCATATCTGTGCAGTCCCAACCTTTTATGGAGAACAATGGCTACATAACCAAACACACACCCCCAGTTGTAATGTAAGTTTGGAAAACAGAAACCTGTTTTAGCTGTGACTTTGCAGCTGCACATTTTTAAATTGTTTGACAAGGACACTCTTATTTCCCCTACATCAATGGTTGGCTGCTTCAGTTGCCATCTGGCCCAGCTAATTCCTTCCAGTCAAACTACTCATATGAATTGCAATCAAGAGCACTTTTGAGGAGTGCCTGGCTGCTGGAATCAGGATTGCATCTACAACAGGAGTCGGGCGAGTTCTTGCTGCTCAGCTGTTTGTGGTGCTTGGCTTCTTCCTGTGAAAAGCTGGTTTGCAGAGTTTAAGGCACAACCTTTGCCCTTCCTAGTGTACTCCTAGTTCTTCAAGTGCTTCTGTATCCCTACTAGATTTCAGCATCCATTTCTCCCCAAGTGGTCGTATTTTCTTTGCTTCCACTTTGTCAGGTAGTTTCTAGTTTCCCTAACATAAGCAACTTCCATAGTAAAGGCATTTCCTTTGTGTGCGTTTGGACACAAAGTTATTGAGTGCAAAGACAACCTGCAAAGAATCTTGGTCAGAGGAGCAGACCCTAATTTGTAAGAATTAACTTGTTGCTTCAAAAGCAGTGCCAAATGTGAATTCAAATTGGCACCTAATCTGAGCCCCCAAAATCTCTTCCTACTTACCCATATAGTCTATTCCTGGCTGTGGTGTTGCTCCATGTTGTTTCCAGGTCTTGCTTTTCAGCTAATGCCTCTTACTCATATCCCCCAGGGAGGATTCTGTTGCACCCAGCTACCCACTTACCCATAAGGCAGTACTCCAACCTGCAGCACTTGGCCTAATTTCTTCCAGCCCCCGAAATGCTTTGATTTTCTCTTGCTCTCTGGTCCATGTCTTGGGGAACTGGTTTGTCTTTTGACTAGACAACGAGGAGGTATATGCAGTTGTCTCCCTGCTATTTCATTCTAAGTACAGGCTAATGAATGTGTTTCAAGTCATGTCAGTGATTGGTAAAGGCCTAGCATTGATTTATTTCAAAAAAAGCAGCTTAATTTAGAAAAAAAGTGTCAATCATCTACAAGTCCACACCTGCATTAAACCAACCTGATTTTTTAAAAGGGCTGCATAGCCCTCTCTTAGACTCTCAATTCTTCTTGCTAGGATTAAAATTGATTGTAATGTTAAGATACCATCCAGCATGATGAAAAGAAACATTTGGATCCACTTTGCATTGTGATCATTCAGTCCCAAGAAAATCAGTATAAATCCTTGAAGTTCCACTGCTGACAAACTTCAGTTTGCTTTAAAGAAGAAACCCAAAAGAATCCAGCAAAGGCTAGAAGTGAGGGTCACAGTCCTCCACTAAGCTGTCGGTGATGTAGCTGGCCTGGAGAACATTTTCATAGTACATTTTTTCAGCAAATGTATTGACTGTCCAAGCCACAACTTGAATTCCTTTGGAAGACCATTGTCTCACATATTCCCTAAAAAGGATAATGTCAGAAATGATGTGAGGGAAGACTGCAAGTGACTGCAATTAAAACCAAACCCTTTATTATTTCATGTTCTCTATAGTAACAGCAGGCCATCTTTTTGGTCCTTAACCCACAATCTTTCCCCCCTATTTTGTTTAAGTTAAGGTGTGGTATTCAATTGGAAACCATCTCTTAGGGATAATTATTGAGGCCATCAGAGGGAGAAACAGCAGCATGCCTAGGTACATTTCCAGCTGAAAGCCCTGCCTCCCTCCATGTCCCCAGTGCCGTCGCTGAGGAAGCAGCACCCAGGTATCCTCCCACCTGAAAGCCTCGGCTATGTGTATGGAGCTAAATTATCCTGCCCTTGCACAAAGCTGCCTTTTCAAGCTACCATAAGAGGGCATTTACCCTGAAAGGTTGTTTACAAGTACCACAAATGAGAATTACCGATACAGGTAAAGGTAAAGGGACCCCTGACTATTAGGTCCAGTCGTGGCCGACTCTGGGGTTGTGGCGCTCATCTCGCTTTATTGGCTGAGGCAGCCAGCATATAGCTTCCGGGTCATGTGGCCAGCATGACTAAGCCGCTTCTGGTGAACCAGAGCAGCGCACGGAAACGCCGTTTACCTTCCCGCCGGAGCGGTACCTATTTATCTACTAGCACTTTGACGTGCTTTCGAACTGCTAGGTGGGCAGGAGCAGGGACCGAGCAACGGGAGCTCACCCCGTTGCAGGGATTCGAACCACCGACCTTCTGATCGGCAAGTCCTAGGTTCTGTGGTTTAACCCACAGCGCCACCCACGTCCCACCCACACAGTTAGGGTGGTTTAAATAAAAGCTGATTAGGCACCCACTATGTTGACACCTGCACTCTGTTCTTTTATGTCTCGCATGATTTGATGTATGCCTATCCTCCCCCCTCATCCCCCCCAATCCTTTGTATAACCCACCCACAGCTAAGATACTCCTCAAAGGGTAGCCAACACAGTGCCCTACAGATGTTGTTGGGTTCCATAGGCAGTGATCAGGACTGATGGGAGTTGTAGTCCAACAAGCTTTTGGAAGCTTTTAGAAGACATCTGAAGGCAGCCCTGTTTAGGGAAGCTTTTAAGGTTTGATGTATTATAGTATTTTAATATTTTTTTGGAAGCCACCCAGAGTGGCTGGGGAAGCCCAGCCAGATGGGCGGGGTATAAATAAATTATTATTATTATTATTATTATTATTATTTATTAATTTATTAGCAGCTGGAGGGCACCTCTCACTGGCTATCCCAGAGTATAGTCAAGGTCTTCTGCTTACTGTGAAACGAAATTTTTCTGCACCAGAAAAACGGAAACCCCACAGAAGTGCCACAGGAAGTTGTGCATGCTCCAGTCCAAAATGACGTCCAGCATCATCATGAAATAATGTTTCCAGCAGGAAGTGTAGCGAGGCTTCCCATCTCCAAAGTAACTAAAGCTCCATGGTCGGTGGGTTAGAGCTGTTAAAACATTCCTATCAGCTTGCTTCATCTACAAGGCCAAGCAGAGAAACAAATGAATACATTTTGATGTACAAAGACTGATATTGCAAGGGAAACTTGACTTTCATCATTTCAAGCTTGACTTTGATGGTACTTAATCTTGCTATATCTGGTGGTCTGGCATTTGTAGAGGAAGAGTCAAAGGCTGGAACTCGACCCTTGCATCATGTTTGCTAAAGAAGTCCAGACATTTTGTGCCACAAACCTAAATACTCTTAGAAGTACACCTTACTGATTTGATTTACTTCCCAAATTATGTATCTGCCTTGAAGAGCTGCGTGCTGGAATAGTTTTAAAACTATTTGGTTTATAGCAATTAAACTAATGATTAGGGTTGGTTGTATTGGGTACCTGTACACCCCCCCCATGAAGCAAGCTTAGGACTGATTTTAGGTTTTGGGGGGTCCTGCGTAAGCTGTCTTCAGTAAGGCCTGACCTCCTTTATCCATGACCCATACAACACCCCCCCACTGTGCTTGCAAAATGAAGGGAGTCCATATGACGCTTCACAGTGGACAGAATTATTCAAGATTTTAAAGTGAAGGCCACTTGGTCAGTCTCTAACAATCGTTCCCACTTCTGAAAGATTATGTACTACATGTAATGCTGAAATTACCCAAATTAAAATCTTACCATGACCAGAAATATCATGGCAACAACAGAACACTTAGGTGAAAAATTGTACCTTATAGACAACATCCGGCATAAAAGAGCAAACGATGCTAGTGTTGTACAGCCGAGGATATTCCAAGTACAGGGGTTTTAGGGCTGCAACTGCCTGCCAGGAAACAAGTTACATGAAAGAAGTGCAAAGCAGTTTAAAGGTAATTTTGATTTTTTTTTTATTATAGCCTAAAGGTCAGACTGGAGATGGAAAGGATTGCATAATTTTTTTTGAATGCAAGATGCTGACCTTTGGTTTTGCCATTCAGCTGGCTTAGGTACTTCTAGTCAAGACAGGGGTGCTTGCTGTGTGTATACAAAGATAAAATTATTGTTTGAGACATACATCAAGGAAGGCCCAATTTGCTCCAGTGGAAAATTTGTTTTTGGCAAGCATTTTGGTTCAGTACGTAAGAGACAGATTCAGAAAAGGACCAGTAGCTCAGTATTAGAGTACATGCTATGCTAAAGGTGCCATGTTCAGTCCTCAGCATGAACATTTAAGACTGATTTCAGGTAGCAGCAGCACTGGGAAAGACCCCTGTCTGGCTCTGGAAAGCTGCCAACAACTATTAGACTACAAGGCTGGACTAGGCAGATCTACAGTCTGACTCTATATAAGGCAACTACACACATACATATATATATATACATATACATATACATATATATATATATATATATATATATATATATGTATATATATATATATATAAAATTCCATGTGCACAGTGCCAGAAAACGGGATAAATGCCCCTTCCCTACCCCACATCTACAACTTAAAGAAAACGTTGTTTCAAGCTTATTTTTAACTAGTCTCACCCACAAAGGAAAGGGGCTTAAGTTATTCGGTATTATATCGCTACGAATAAGACCAAAGGCGGGGTAAATCAGCTATGATTGTAAATAGGCTGAAAAGGAAGCAGCACAAATGTTCTTCTTGTCTTGGTAAAATTGCATTAATGATTTACTAAGAAAGATCTCTCAGATCTGATCAAGTGGAAGACCTCTACCATGTGCTGCCCCACAAGAATGTGAGGCTTCAGCACAGTGGAAGAAAATGGTACCTTGTCTGCATTGCCCTTGACATCAAAGTAGATTGTGAGATCGTAATGCATACTTTCCAAAACAGCTTCTTTCAAAGTTGGTATTTTTTCTCCACGATAATCCCTCCTACAGAGAAACAGTAAAAATTTAATTGTGTGCATTCCTGCATGAACATTTACATCAAAAAAAGGAATAATGCTTCTGTTCACTTTTATCACCATGAAGCATCTAAGGCAGGGGGGCAAACCAGATGTTTATCTCCTCTCACCTCGTGGGCCAACTTTGATAGGCAGATGAGACCACCCACCCATCAGTTGCCTGACTCCATTATAAGCATACTTATTTCCCATAAAATCTTCAAGACAGGTGGCTCTGACTGTGACCTAATATTAGAAAGAACTAAAATAATCAAGAAAGTATGTGTTTTTACCAAAACATAAACAGTCCAAGCTTAATATATCCAGTAGTATTCTGCTGGTGATGCTTGCGAACAGCCCAAAGCTGCACCTTTACAGTATTTTGGAATTATCTGACAGGAAACAGATCTGGTTGGAAGAATTTCCCACCCATTCTTTAAGATTCTTTCCTTCCACCTGTTACCTTCACAAGAACCTGGTGAAGTAGGTTACACTGAGACCAAGTGACTGGCCCAAGATCACCCAATAAACTTCATGGCTGAAAGGTGGCTTGAAGCCAGGCCTTCCCATCCATCGCTACATCAGGTGGCGCTCATCTTCACAAACCACTTATCTCTACATACTTATTTGGGAATAAGAAATAATTATTTCTGTGGGATTCGTTTCCACATAACCATGCATAGGATCAGGCTGTAAGAGAAAACATTTTGTGTAACGGTACAGAAATATTGTATTTCCAGGTATGAATGAAGGTGTTCTTCAGATTGCTCACTTACCATAATCTATGTTTAGCAGCTGGATTAAATTTTCTGATATCAGCAAAGGTCAAGCTGTTTAAGTTTCCAGACCCATCCGTGGTCCTGTCTACAGTGTCGTCATGCATCAGGACAGGAATGCCATCAGCAGTGAATCCAAGGTCAATTTCCACCCCTGTTGCTCCATTCTCAGCTGCCTTGATAAACAAAAAACAAACTGCTTTAAACAGGACATTGGATAACAATGCAAATTTTGCATTGTAATCTGTGTTTTGTTACCATCACATTAGAAATGGGGAAAACTGAAACGAATTCACCAACTGTGACCTGACTTTTGTTGGTGCTGCAGGACCTTTCGGTACTATTGGTCATGGTATAGTGTTTCTGTACTGCCAGGCCAGGTTGGGGCTCGGAGTACAGGACTGTGCTGGTTCTTGTCCAGCCTAAAGGACAGTTCTCTGAAGGCAGATCTGGGGATTAAGTGTTCTTGTTTGTTAATTGGCCTGTGGAGATCCACAATGTTGTATCTTTTCCCTCATGCTGGTTAATGCTTACATGAAACTGCTGGGAGAGGTCATCTGGAGATATGATCACCAATATGTGGGTGACACCCAACTCTAGGATTGCTTTTCATCAGATTTTAGAGAGTAAAAACCCTTAACCTGATTGTTATGGGTTAGATGTTAGTTAACAAACTGAGATGGTGCTGGTAGGGGCCAGTTATTTAATATCTCCAAAGTATTCAATTGACATTAGTGTGTTTTCAAGACCAATTCAAAGTGCTGGTTACCAACTTTAAAATACTAAATGGTTTGGATCCAAGGTTTCTAATGGGTCACTTGGTTCCACACAATTGCCCCCACCCATTAATATCATCAGGTTAGGCTCTGCTCTAAGACACCCAAACATCTGAGGTGAGATTGGTTTGTAACTTGGAAGAAGACAAGTCCAGATAAAAGAAATAATAAACAATGAAGATGCTTTCTTCTGTAACCTGCAGAGTGAATGTGAGGGAAGTTAATTTTATCTCTGAAAGCTTTTCTGGGAAGATATCCTGCAAAATTTGTACTGATTTGTTTAAGGGATGTGTCCTCTTGTGTCACCAAGAGGGTTGCCAGGCTTTTTCTTTTCTGACATTGATACTGAAAAAAATAATAATCTTGCTGGGTTCTTCAAAGAAGAAAAATGTACAATTTGTATTTGTTTTTAAATGTTGAGTTTCTAATCTTTATAGTGAAGTGAACAAACAATGAGAGGCAATGTGTATCCTGCTCAGAGATAAGGAAACACTTTAAATCTCATAAAAGTCCAAGCAAAGACTGTGGAAGTCAGTTATCTGATTTGCAGAACAGATAAGAAACAGAGGAGTAAACAGCATCTCCCCTCAATGAGTTTGCGATGGATTGTCTTGGGAAGTGGAAGGTTACTATATTTACCACTAATGATTCACAAATATTTGCACCTCAGCTCCCTTGTTAATCTCCTTACTTTGTTTAGGTTTCAGTTGATCTCAATAATCCCTGTGGTTCCTTGATGCTTTAATCACTCTCATTAGTACAGCAAGTGAGGGTTACCTTCCCTTGTTTGTCACACATTTAATTGCAACCACTAGCTTCAGGACAGGTTATAAACCTCAAAGGTTTACTATTCCATTGCAAGTCTGCCCTGGAACATTACTTTGAAATTAGGTCTCTTATTCCAGAATTTAAAACAATTATTCCAGAATTTAACACTCATTGCTAGCCTGCTTTAATTCCAACCCCATAGGAACACTGTGAGGATAAAATAGGGAAGAGGGAAATATATGCCATATATGCTGCCACCTTGAGCTTCTTGGAAGGGAAGGCAGACAGACAGACAGACAGAAATAAATAAAATAAAATAAAATGTGTGGAGATTAACCTTGGACCTAAATTCTAAAATTCCTGGTAAGTCACAACCCTCTAGGGTGGGAAAGTCAGCATCTGCCCACTAAAGAGAAGAATGGTGTATCTGTCACTTCTCCTGGTCAAGAGAAAATCCAGGCTGGTTCTTTTGTGTTTGCATGTTCCTTACAAGAGATGGTCTTAATCCCAGTACTGCTGCATAGTCCACAAGAGCCTGCAGTTGTGTAGTTTCTCGCTTCTACAAGGAGAGTTGCTTCTATCGGAGGATGCAAACTTTTCAATAACACCAATAAAATAGAATAGAAAGATGCACAATTTTTGGACCCCTCCCTGTTCTAGTCTTCTTCTGTTGTGCATCTCCCTCCCACCTAGCACACAACTAAAATTTAGACTTCCCCCGTTTTATTTATGTTACACTGTAGAATGCCCCCTTCATTTATACCTAAGCCCCTGAACCTTCCAGAAGTTGTTTAAGAGAGTTCTCCCTAAACTGGCTTTTGGTGGTAAGGGATAGAGAAAGATAAGGTATAATAAATAAAACTGCAATTATCATAATGCATTTGCATAATCTATGGTGTGGACCACACAGTACTATGCCCACTTTTGATCACCACAACTCAAAAAGAATATTAGAGAGCTGGGAAAGGTGCAGAAAAGGGCAATGTTGGGAAATGAGCTGGATAGCTTAGTTGGTGACAGTGTATTGCTGATAACGCCAAGGTTGCAGCTTTGATCCCTGGATGGGACAGCTGCATATTCCTGCATTGCAGGGGATTGGCCTAGGCCCTAGAAATGATCCTCAGGGTCCCTTCCAACTTTGATTCTACGATCATGAAGCTGGAGCAACTTACCAAGGAGCAAAGGTTAAGTGAGGAAAAAGTAGATAGATAATTTTTCTTCCCCTCTCCTAGTACTAGAACCCAGGGTATTTTGATGAAAGTGAATGGCAAGAGATGCAGGACAGAAGAATTATTACACACACAGTGACAGCTGCTTCCGAAAGATGCAATGATGACTGCCAACATAGCTTTAGGATATGGCTGTAATAAAATACAGTGCTAACAATAACAAAGCATGCCGTGCGTTATTTCAGGTACAATAGTGACAAGCATATACAGTGGTATCTCGGGTTAAGTACTTAATTCGTTCCGGAGGTCTGTTCTTAACCTGAAACTGTTCTTAACCTGAAGCACCACTTTAGCTAATGGGGCCTCCTGCTGCTGCCGCGCCACCGGAGCACGATTTCTGTTCTCGTCCTGAAGCAAAGTTCTTAACCCGAGGTAATATTTCTGGGTTAGCGGAGTCCGTAACCTGAAGCGTATGTAACCTGAAGCGTATGTAACCCGAGGTACCACTGTATGGGGAAATTTTTTCCAATGAATGCCGTGGCATTACTCTGAAGCCCTTTCCAGCAACAGGGAACGGGTTAAACACCCCAAGTCCCTTCCACACCCTCCAACCGGGTCTAAAACATTTGCTTCCTGCCTTCCTTCTTTCACTCTCTGCTCTGTTTCGCCATCATCACCACAATCCCCTGCAGGGCATGGTTTTATTTCCGATCGCATGGCTTAACACCCCCTCCAAAAAAATATTTAATTTTTAATTAATTTCTCCCTCACATTTTTTGGGGGGTGGGGTGGGGTGGAGGGAAGAAGATGTGGTATAATAAAGAGAACTAAATATTAGGGGGTCTGACCTGTCTGATGGCGGCCAGCGTGTTCTCGGGCGCGTCGTGTCCGCCGCCGCGGTGCGCGATGCGCGCCGGGTTCCCGCGCGGCTGGACGACCAGCTGGGCTCGCTGGACCGGCGCCGGCTCGAGGCTGAAGAGGCGCAGCACCAGGTAGAGGCCCGTCGTCAGCAGGCAGGAGAGCACGGCGCTCCGGCTCAGCACCAGCGCGGCCAGCAGCACCGTCGAGAAGGCGGCCAGCAGCCCCTCGGAGTAGCAGAACATGGCGGCCCGGCGGCCCCACAGGCGGAGGGGAGTCGCCCCCCCCCCGCTCCCTCAACTGTCAGCGAAGGCGGCGGGCGCCGAGGAGGCAAAGCTCACCTGGGCCTTGACAGCATAATAGTGAGGCGAGGGCGCCGGCTCCCAGCCAATCGCCGCCCAGCTGCCCGGGCCGCCAGCCAATATGGAGCGAAGGATTGAGGCGAGGGGCGGGTTTTTCTTTTCCGTGCATCCAGAATGAACTCTGCTTTGAAGCTGCGCAGGCCAAGTCCAAGTCCACACCATGCAGTTGTTGTTGTTGTTGTTGTTGTTGTTGTTGTCGTCGTTTTCTCCTACAATGGGCACTATTATACCTTTTTGGTTTTTTGTATACCACCCTTTGTCCGAAGATTTCAGGGCAGTTCACAGCATAAAAATACAAAATGAAAACACGAAAGACACAATAAAACAAAAACAAAACAAAACAACCCCCCCCCCCCAAGTTCTTTAAACAGTCTTGGGAGCAGCAATGTGTTGAAGGCGTTGTCAGGAGACCACACCCTCCAAAGGGAAAACGGGTAGCCCCACTGGCTTTTGGCTCTGACCCTCAATGCCCTACGAAACAGTCACCCTCAACATAGAAAATACAAACTGATCAACTAAGTATTACTAATGCTCAAATTCTATATCTAGGAGGAAGCCCTGTTGGACTCCGTTGGGCTTATTTCTCGTGTAGACAGATGCTGTATAATTGCACTCTTTTACAGGGATGCTACACCTGGCATTCACCCCGATCACTGGCCATGCTGGCTGAGGCTGATGCGGGATGCAGGCAGCGGTTCTCAGCATCTACCTCTGGGAAGGGCCAAAGAGGGACTTGACGCCCTGTGAAACTGCCACATTCATATGTGGACGAGTCAGCAAGGCGTAATAGTGAAATCAGGGAGGGAATTCCTTCCTTTGGAACACACCTAAATTCTTGAGCTGGACTCGTGGCTACAACTTGTAGCACACTACTGTGGTTGTTGTTGTTTATTGATTAAATAAATAAATATGTGGGTCTCAGGGCAGTTCACAACCTAAAGTTACAATATAAACCCAAGTCCATTTTTCTAACTTTTACGTATTATTATTACCACGCAAAATCAATCATAAAACAAAATCGTCACAGAAAACAGATAGAAATAGCAAAGCAGAGGCAAATAAGGGGTCCAAACAGCAATCCTTTCGGAATCATAGAAATTGCAGCAAGCCTGTGGGAATTAACACACCATTAACATGGATACCGCTTATTTCCCTTGGCTCTTTTTCTAATTAAAACCGAAACGCCTCGGCGAGCTACTAAAAACCACAACTCCCAGCATGCCAAGCGCAAGCTTCCGCGTTCTGAGCCCTTGCGGGCCCCTCCTTGCTTTGTGGGCGTTGTAGTTTCCCTTCTTCTCCTCCCAGCGCGGTATCTTAGAGACGGCCGTTGGCGGCTGGTTGCCGCGGTTTCTTGTCCCGCGAAGCCGGAAGCTGGAAGGCGGGCTCGTTTCGGGGCGGAGGGCAGGCTTGGCGTTGCCAGGGGCCGGGCCGTGGCGGGCGAGGAGCGCGTCCCGCTCGGCTGTGGGCGGCGGCGGAGGAGCCACCTGGCTGGAGGAGGCGGCGCGCATCTTGCGCTCCCTGAGAAGCGGGGACGGCGGCAGCCTTGAAGGGGAAAGAGGCCGAGAGACGCTCACAAAAGCAGGAGGGTTGCCAACTGACCGGGAAGAGGAGCCGAGCGAGCTGCCTCGGCCTGTACGCCTTTGAGCGGCGTCTTGTTCTGCAGAAATCAGCAGGTGAAGGAACGCCCCGTGTTCTCTTTGTTAAACGTGTTTTATGCCTTTATGCTTATCTTCTGTAGGTTTCATTTGTTTTATAAATAAAATAAAATAAGAAATGCATATATAAAGTTGCCCCTGACAAAAAACTGGTAATCTTCGTTTTAAACAGTGCTTCACGTAATGGTCATTCTCTTTGAAATGCATAAGGATAATAATGTTTTGGTATTTTAAATGCTTAGTTCCCCCTGCGAAAGCATGGCCTCTTTAAGAATTAAACCCAGAAATGGTATATATCAGGCCTTTTTTATTTGATGGGTTTTTTGTGTGCTGTGAACTACTGTAGTTTGTCGGTGCATCTATGCAAGGGCATTTTTTGTTGGATGCTAGTTTAAAAACATTTTATGTTGTGTGTTTCAGTAGTTTCTTGCATGGGAGTGTTTATTGGTGGGTGGCTTTATAGATGATTATTATTAAGAATAATATACAATAATCAACCAAAGCAGCATTTAAAAAGCAACCCAGACAGATAGAATATAAAGTAAAAATAATAACTCTGCAATATACAATGCAATTGTAACTGGTATACACACAATAGGTATGTGCCACACCTGCTCATGGCTGAAGCAGGCCAGTTCTCTGCTCTTAAAGGCAGGGACCTATTCAAGAGTTAGCAACCTGAGAAGGAGGTTGTAGTTGGTGGTCCCTTTATTTACTTGACAGGACAACTGGGGCAGAATTTGCATTAAGAACTGCTGGGAACTTTCATTTCTGAGTTTTGCTGCTGTTTATCAATATTACAGTTCTGTGTAATTTTTCTATTATTGCTGTTTTTAACTTTGGTGTTTTTGGGGGAAAGGTTTCTTCCTGTTTCTACTGTAAGCTGCTTTATAGTTCTTATGGAAAATGTGGGGTGTAAATGTTATCAACATTTCCATAATTCAGTGGGTCTTGGACTGAGTTTGGATGGTGTGGCTTGTGTGTGTAAGTACATAATATGTGGAAGCAGGTTGAAAAGTTCCATGAAACAGGGGGAAGTCTTCAGAGACCAAGATGTAGGGTAGGTTGAGTACCTGCATACAGGATTCCCCCACTGATTCATTTTAGATTTGTGCATACTGCACATGTCCCCTCTCATCCCAAACTGTTTGCTTCGTTTACGTACGTGGTTTTTTTAAAGGAAGAATTGAAGACATCTTGTCCTGTTTCCCTCTTTCTAATGCCATTGTTTTCCTCTTTCTAACGCTATTGTTGGCTTGGTGCCCCGTCCACAGATCTTTGCATGCGTGCAAGGATCCCTGTGCTTTCAGCTGTGGAGCAGCGATGGTGCTGATTTGGGAGGGGCCTCAGAAGTTAGAATATATTGATAAAGGTGTGAGAGAGCTAGGTTTGAGGGAAGCTGTTTTAATTCTAATTGTGAGGGATGGAGTCCTATTATTCGGTGGGAAAATAATGGTACTCAGCACATGCTCAGAGTCAGTTCTCTGAAGTATTACACTTGTTTAAAGCCTTGATTGGAAAGACTGTAGAAGATAGAATGATGCAAGGTGGCTACTCATTGAGTAGCAGGATCCTGCTTTTGGGCAAGGACTTCAGGTGATATCTAGTGTTATTCATACCTATTGAAATGGGCTTAAGTTCTTTAAATCCATTGATTTCAATTCTGCAAAGAGTTTGATATCACTTTATATTGTTGCTAAATATTCTGGCCACGCCTGCCCTTGTGGTGTGGGGGTTTGTTTTTTCCTTGACAATTTGGTACCTTATGGTGAATAGGAGTTGGGCATGGGGCTAGTACCAAAACTGCTTGAGCAGAGTCAGAAACATCAAGCCCTGGGTGTTGAATGCAGTTCTCCACACCTCTTGGAGTCTCCGCAGGCTACACTGCTCACTGTCCTTGCTCTGACTGGAATGGGTCCTTGAACTCTGATTATGCCAGAGGGTGGGTGGAAGAGAGAGGGAGAGGTGTGTGGGTATGTATAGAAACTCACCAAAGGTAAATTTCCCATTAATTACTCCACCCACTTTTGCCTTTGGCCCTGCCCACTATCGCCATGTGGCCCTTGGAAGGTTCCCCACTCCTGTTAGACCAGTTAATTATTTGCAGACTCATTCATGGCTTCTTAATTAGAGCTGTACCTTTGGAAGGTATCTTGTGAAGTGCACTTGGAAAGATCCCATACGTCTCTTGATATTTTTTATCAATAGTGTTTTATTTATAGTAAACAATAGAACCAGCTTGCTCAGTGGGAAGGATCCTAATGAGTTTTTATGTTTTGATATAGTTTTTTTTCCTGATTTCAGTGTATTTTGATTATTTATGTAAACCACAGCCCCAGAGGCAGAATATAAGTAATCATAATAAATCAGTTGTGTGTTAATTAGGAGAAATGATTATCTTCAGTAAATTGTTTGTTTCAAGAGTTCACTGTTGTTGAGATGCTGTAATAATTGAATGTTTAGCTGCCCAGTTGGTTAAAAGCAATACAGTTGATGACTTAAAAAAAACACTGCAAGGAGCTGACAGACATAGTTTAAACTGGTCCTTTTTGAAGGGACTGTTGAGACCCATCAATTGCCTGAGCTATCCTGGTGTGAACACTTGCACTGAAATGCCATCATGACCAATCTTGCTCATATAACCTATGGTTACAGTGACGTATGTGCAGATGTGACCATCACAAGTGACAGAATTAATGTGGAAATTAGAATATGTGAAGCTGCTCCCGTTGAGTGTTCTTAGGAAAATCGCTGTCTCACTGTTTGTTCACCCTAGTTTTCTCTCTGTAAAATGGGAATCAGAATGACTTGGCTCAGATTGGCACCGGGTGACAGCGAACATGGGGCACATTGCAGTGCACTTATCAAGTTTTTAAAAAATATGATATAATTGAATCAGTGTGCTGCTTGAAGTAACATAGGAATTCTCTTCCTGCTCACTTCCAGAAATCTTCTACTTAGGATGTTGCCTGCCCTTTCTAAGAGATGGCCTCCTATTCAAGAACTCGAGCCCGTGGCGTACAATAACAGGCACCCATTATTTCATAGCATTCTGGTTCCTTGGCACTCTGTAGGAGCAGCTGCAGTTCTAGATTGTTGGCTGTCATTGGAATTTTCTCATCCTCTAGTGACTTGGTAGAGACTCTCACTGCAGAGTCGTGCTGGTTAAGGGGGCAAAGAAGGCTGATAGAGAAAGCTGACTTGCACCAGGTCACACAGTTTGTGCATCTATGCGTTACGGTTTACTCCAGTGGTGGGTCTCCAACAGAGGTCTTTCCCTTCTCCTGATCTGGTCGTTCTTTAACTGGAGATGATGGACATTGAACAGTGGGCCATTCTGCATGCAAGAGGTATTCTGCCGCTGAGCTGTAGTCTCCCTCCAGTATGATACCTTTCAAGTGTGTTACACGGATGGGTGACAATCTTGCTTTCTCAACTGAAAATACTTTAAAAGACACGTTTCACTTAATTTTCACAACTAGAAAAATCCAGCTACATTGTGTAGCGTATTGCATAATGCTTCCTGCATACTGATTATCTTAGGGTGATCAAATTTTTTTTTTGGATGAGGACACATTTGGAAATCCAAGAAACATGGATTTAGGCATCACAAAATACTTATTTAGCAGAAGAAAATTGGCGACATGTGGGGTCCTAGGCACAATCTGGAGAAAGGGAGATAGAAAAATTGTAGTGGCCAGATGCCTGTGTGCAACTTTACACACATTTCACATTCAGCTATGCACACTTGGCAAAAAAACCCAAAGAGGGGGCAGAAAGCGGGCGGGTGTCTGGGGAAAAAAAACCTTGGCAATCCCACCCACCATTTGAACCCAGTGTGTTTTGACTACACACGACTCTGTTGCAAGTTGAGAGTCACCTGTATACTTAATGTATGGGATAGGAAGAGTTTTATTAGAGGGGAAGCTAGTTCCTGTATGGATTGAAGAAAGTTAGTCAGAGCTGTTCCACCAGGCCTTTGGCCAAGGCACAGTCTGACCCCCTCCTTTGGTAATCCTCACAGAATTCTAGCCCAATGGTTGCCATTAATTTGATTTTGAATTGATTTTAAAATGAATTGATTTTAGAATGCTGTTATTTTTATTGCTGTTAGCCGTTCTGAGTCCAGCTTCAGCTGGGGAGGGCGGGATATAAATAAAAAATTATTATTATTATTATTATTAGTCATTCACATTACCTGCATATATGCATGTAGAGCAGACAAAGTGACTTTATGAAACCATGCACAAGGTAAAATCCATATGTGGTTGGCTTGGTACTTAAAATTCCTTTCCTAATCCCATTGGAGTGTTGTCGAATAGAGTGGTAGCATGGAAGGCATGGTTTCCTATCCAGTGACCTGCCTCCCAGGATATTACAGAGCATCTGTATTGTGGAATTGGGTTGCTTTTCTGAAACTTATCTATGCATGCATCCTGACTTTTGATTATTATTACTATTATTACTATTATAATTAGTATTAGTATTTTGAATGACAGTATTTCTCTTTGCAGCCCAGTTGGCTTATAAAATGGAGGATTATGAGCAGTTCTGCAAGAAGCAGCTCGCAAAGATCCAAGGTGACCCACTGCAGAGAGAAGCCTCTCCATCCGTTCAGCACAAATATATTTCACTTATTCAGTTCAGTGGCATTCCTGTGCTTTCTCCACTGGTAAGATGCCTTTTGCACCTCCAAACTCTTCGTAATGATGCATATTAAAAAGGAAACAAGTAAGCCTTAACCATGTTGGTAATAGGCAGGTTACCGTTCTGCCTAAATTGTTTTGGGAGCAAACATTTTGTTTTGTATATTGAAATTAAGGATGTTTACGCTAGAAATACTTCACTGCAAGCGGACATAACTAGTGGTGCAGTTAGGTGATTTTGTACTGAGCCTAATGATCTTACTGGTGAGGGTGGAGGGAAACAGAGGGAGAACCTCTTTAGATGGTAATGTGTATTGCTTCATTTGCTTTAATATGCAGTAGGTCAGCGCTGCTCTGCTTGGTTATGTCAGGGGTGGGGCTACTTCTCTAAATGTGTACATGTTTATCTCCTCCCCCTCTTTCCCTGACTTCATTTTGCAGCTTACTCTTGAGAAAAAAAAGGAGCTACAACAAGACAGACAGAAAGCGCTGGATTTAGAACTCTGGCGCCAGAATTCCAGGAAAAGAGCCTTGCTGACTCGTGTTCAGGAGATTCTGGAAAATGTGCAGGTGAGATTGAGAAACCTTTCTGAAAAGGTAGTTACAGCAGTTGTCTGAGTGGTCTGATTTGGAAGCAGATAGATTTTGTTTGCTGTTCCACACCACTGCAATCGCCATGGTTCCTTTTATATTGAATAGCCCCGGTAATAGTAACTATAGTAAATTAAGTTACAGTAAATAAAGTGGCTTATCAGTGTAGCGGTTAGAAAATGCAGTTAATTTCCAACTAAACGTGATCTGGTTGTGCTGTTAGTACACTATAAATATTGAAGACTGGTTATTGTGGCTTGTATGCAAGAGAGGCTGTGCAACTAATGCTATACTAGCTGGATGCTGTGAATGAGATCTTCACAGTCCTTGACAGGCACAATAAAAGAATGTTTCGCCTTGTAGCAAAACTCTATAGCCCTTGAATTAGCTCACTTGCTAAATGGAGCCTGTGTTCAACTTGTTCAGTTAAGTAATAATAGGGACCAAACATGAGCTATTCATTTTCTTGCTATGTTTATTATTGGGTGCATGGCAACCATTACCTAGCTTGGGAGTTGAAAGATGTGGTAGGAGCATGTGTTGAGGATAAAATACTAATCAGTTAGCCTTCTTCTAAACACCCTGCAGTTAATACAAGCCTTTTAAACTTCATTCCGCAGCTTCCAGCCAACTAATTGGCTTCATGAAGGTTTCACCACAATGCTCATGTTGGCCTGTCATTCAAAGCCAAATGTACTCCTCAGCTTTTTAGCTTAGTGCAGCATGGCAGCTAAGCCAAGGTTGACTTAGCATCATCCAAACACAGGATTGTGGTTAAGGTCTCTCTTCCTTAACCACAGTCTAAAACTAATACTTGTCCAATAGAAACCAGTTGTGTTTAAGGAGGAGATACCTTGACCACAACCCTGGTTTGGGGCATGACTCTAAGCAAACTTTGGCTTAGTCAACATTCCATGCTGACCTGAAAAGGTCTGAACTCCTTTCCATGAGCTGGCATGTTCACAATGAGCTTACATCTGCCTTACTGCAAAGTGTGAAGCAGGCTAAGTTGACTGGTTTAACACAGGTTATAACAAAAGAGGCAACTTAAGAACATAAATCCTGCTGGATCAGGTCAAAGGCCAATCCAGTCCAGCAACCTGTTATCACATTTACCAACCAGATGCTCATGGGAATCCCACAAGCAGGATCTGTGTATGACAGTACTCTCCTCATTTGTGATTCCCAGCAACCGGTATTCAAAGGCATAATTGCTACCTAGTCCAGGACCCTAACCATGACACCATATTGGCTCTCTAAAATTAGCGGATAAAAGCTAGATGCGTACACCTAGCACCTGTATCTAGATATGCAAATGCATTTATTCCTTTGTTTATTCCTTTATTTGCTAAGTGAGCAAGCCAGCTGATCTGACTGTTGAGATTCACTGGGCTGTTACAGATGTGCTTAGAAGTCTTCTACGTAATCAGTGAGATTCTTTTCCTTTTACCAGCAGGCACAAATGTCTTAAAAACTTGCTTCTGACATTCTCTTTCGTTCTACAATCCGTTTGATGTGCTTTGTTCTTTGGAGTGGAATGGTTTAAACTGTTCCAAAAACATTAAAACCCCTTTGAGTGTGTGGAATTGGGTGTATGTGTTTTGGATCCTGGCCTGTCTGCCTGCTCCATACATTTTTTGTACCTGTTCTAGTAACTTGTATTCATATAACTTTTAACATCTGAACAGCCTACATCATTCTTTTCCCTCCTTACAGATGAAGCAATCGTCCATTAAAAGTGATTTGGATCAGCCTGATACAGAGAATGTTCCTTTGGATTTAGAATCCAAAGTGTTGAATGGCTTTGTTATGCAGTCAGACAGCATTTTGCCAAGTCCTGTTGTTCTTAGTGAGCCTGCAGAACCTGAAACGGCACCAGAGGTTGAGCCAGCAGACTTACATGTTGCAGCAAATGGGAACTCTCCTGGAGTAACTGAGGAGTTTATCCCTCATAAACCAAAGGACATTTGCTCTAGCCCCTCTGAAAACCCATCTTCCCCTGAAGGTTTATTTTCCAATCCAATAAACCTCTCGTCTTCAAGCGATACTGTAAAGAAAGGAGGCATTGAGACGGTGTCCCCTGATGCAGAAGGCCCAGATCCTTACGTCATGAGTCTGCAGAACCTCCTGAAAAAATCCAAAGAGTACATACAGAGAGAACAGACCAGGCGTAGCATGCGAAATAGTTCAAAAAGAAGTGGTGGTGAAAGCCATTCAGACAAAGAAAATGATGCTGTGAAAATGAGTGACTCAGCGAAAGAGAGGGGCAAGTTGATGGGCAGAAGTTGTATGGTCCCATCAAATATGACTAAATCCAATACTTCTTTGCAAAGTACCTCAGTCCCCAAAAGTAGTATGGGTGTGGTAGCATCGCCCAGTTTTTCCAAAGTGGATATACCAATGAGATCTGGCACGCCTCCTGTTTTGGATTCGGATTCAGATGAAGACATCAAAACCACCTTTTTCTTTGAACGTGACAGTAGCATTCTCAGAAGCTTCACAGGTTCTTACTCAAAACTACCCAGTCCAGAGCCAAGTGTGAGCCCCAAAATGCACAGAAGACGCCCAAGGCCTTCTTCAATGGGGCACATTGTCATTAGCAACCCAATAAACGCTTATGAATTAAGCCCTAAAGAAAAGGGAAGAGCTGTGGACTTGATCACGCAGGACGCTGGTGACCGGCAAATTGCTTCCGATCCTATGCCAAAACTGACTCCAGATTTTACTCTTGCTTGCCCCGGCAAAATGCACACTTTTCACAGGAGCTCTTCGGACATCTGCGATGAATTGATGGTTGGCAAACGAAATCAAGTGTGCCAGGTTTCTGTTGCTCAACGAGAGAACAAAAGGTTCTCGATCGGTGCCACGGTAGAAGGAGAGTCTGTATTAGATGGAACAAGGGCATCGGGTACTTGCCTTTCACATCCAAGTCCACAGGAAGTTCATGTGGTCAGTTGTCCCATTACAGCGCAAAACACAACAAATGTCAACGTAAACAAGCAAATCGGCCTGTTGGAGAAAGCCAAATGTGGCGTGCCCACAGAACTCAATAAATCTTACGATGTCGAAAAGCCATCTCCCTTACTGATGCAAACGCAGCATAGGCATCAGATGGATACCCCAAATCTTTCTCCCGGAAATGAGCAGACTTCAGAGAGCGGGATTGAAAAGGTGAAACGTAGGCTTGAGCTGGACGCAGAGAGCATGCAGAAGGAAAACATGCCTTTCGTTGCGACAGCAGAGAGCAGCGCACGAGAGCGACGGCTGCATGATCAAAGGTGTCCTGAGGGATCTGTGTCTGGTGCCAAGAGCGAAACATCAGAAAGGAGTGCCATTGGTGAGAGAATGCCCTCTGTAGCAAGCCTTGGTTGGTTTGACTCAGATTTGTCCAGAGGGTACTTTTTATTGGCCCACTTGGGTTTGTAGGTTAGGAGCAGTTCCAGGGTTAGAAGGCCCACAGCAAAGTGCTGTCTGGTGGACCCCATCCAGTGTCGGCAGCCCCACCCCCAAGCTGCAAGTTTCCCTGGTGGTAGCATCAAACATTTGAGAAGCTGCCATTTTAATTCTTACACAAGGCCCTGGAGGGATGCTATGTCAGGCACTCCAGGGCATTGCGAGAAACTTAAAATGGCAGCTCATAGCTGCTTGGTGTGGCAGGGTGCCTAGAGAAAGTGTTGGCACTAGGGGGACCCTTCTAGAACTCTAGCAGTTGTGTGAGTGTGTTGATGCCTGGCCTGTCTGTAGACTTGCAAGCTTTTCACCTTGATCCAAAACTGTTATGTGACAGCAAGTCCCATAGGTTTCAGTTGGGCTTCACTTCAAAGTCAGTAGGTTTTGGATTGCAGCTTTTGAGTAGCAACAAACACTTCAGGGAGGATTTTTCTGAAAGCTAATCGGAGCAGCCAAAGCTGGCTTTAATCAGACCATCTCTAATACCTACAGGATTACTATTTTTTTAATGAAAAGCCTTAGGAGAAACCAGTTAACAGTCACTTCAACAATTGCAAGGGGGCTTTCTTTTGCTATGCCATAAATGTTGAAACCTCAGTTTTTCCAATGATTTAAAAATCTATAAATAAGAATTGGGTCCCATGTTGATTATTTTAGGAGTACTAAGGGGCTTAGGCCCATAAAAGGGTAGAAATGTGGGGGAAATGCTGATTGCTGTATGACTCTTAATCACAATATATTGGCAGAAACAAGCAGCATCCATAAAAGGATGGGAACAAACAACCTGGTGTAGGTTGTTAACGTATAACGTTTCTCATTATTAATGTATAAAATTTCTCATTATAGAAGCATACGAAGGCCTAGGATCCGTACAAAAAGGCAAACTCACATGAGGGGATGGTCAGAATTGGTTCTAAAAAGGGTTTTGAAGACACTTTTGTGTGATGCAAGAAGCCAGGTTTCCTTTTCAATCAATCTTAACAGTCGCTCTCTGTATGTTTTCCCTTTTTAGGAGAGGAAGCTCTAAAACAGAAAATGCTGGCCTTTGAAGAACTGCGGAAGAGACTTGAAGAACAGCATGCTCAGCAACTCTCATTATTGATAGCTGAGCAAGAAAGAGAACAAGAAAGGCTGCAGAAGGTGAGCAGCCAAGATAAAATATCTTAAGTGGAGACCTTTGACTCTGGTCTGTACAAGCTGATGGTGTTTCTGTCTCTTGGTACTGCGTCCAAAGTAGCCACAAATCTAAACTGGGTGGGAAAAAAACTCATCTTCATCTTGGTTCCGAACGAAAGTTAAGCATGTGCATTAGCCTCCAGGTAGAGCAACTCTCTCCATTATTAAAACACTGCAAAATAAACACCAGGTCATGTCGGTGGGCTATTTTAATACTGAGATGGAAAGGGCTTCCCAGGAGGCTGTGGCATAACTAATGTATGCTTTCAGAGTTGTGTCCAAAAGGCAATAAAAGCTGTTGGGAATCGTTCCATGAGCAGGAGGCAGACAGTCGCTACACTCAGTGTGTGTCTGCCGCCAAACACATTTGCGTTAGCAAATGGAGAGACTTCAGGCAGTCAGGAACAAGGAAGGGATGAGTTGGGTTGGGTCTGCAGCAGCAGAAGCTCACATGGGCTGGGATATTGTCTGCTTGTGGTGCTGAAGTTAAGATTCCAGGATGAAAGACTCTCTACATACTGTATGTAAGCCGCACTGTGCTTATCTGAGAAGGTGTGTGTGTGTTTAGGTATGAAAATAAATAGAGCACTTGACAAGTTCTTGTGCACCCTAAGAGGTCCTATTAGAATCCTTAAAATTTTGGTGGTGGAGAAGTGAGGAAGCACTTAAGACTGAAGATGCAGGACCTGAGTACAACAGCATGGTCTCTGCTCTGAATACCCATTAATTGCTATTCAGAGGTAAACGGACCCTGTAGTTTGAACACGGCTAGCAGCCATTCCTTTTTTCTGCCTGATCATACCATGGATTCCTTATTGTGATGCCCAAAAGCTATTTGTAGGCTCCTTCCAAATTTGCCCATTTTGTGGGGGGAATTAACTCTGGGACCTACAGGGCCCCCTGTCCATTTTTAATCCCACTCACTGATCCTGATAACAATGAACGATATATTTTAAAACTGCAAATAGTATAGAATAGCCAATTGAAAAGTCTTTTGGATGGCAGCCTTGAAGATTTGCATTTCTGGCTGTGCCTGCTGTTGTGCTTCATCTGTGCTCACTTTCACATGCGGCCCCCTGATAGTTGATTTTTTAAGACAGACTTTAGGGTCTACATAAAGGCTGCCAAGAAAGCAGCCAAGCAGAGTTTGCAGAGGAGGAGGTTCCACAAGTGTAGGGTCACCGTTGCATGTAGACAGACCAACTGATTGGCGGCCATTTGGGGTATTGTTTGTGAAGGTTTTAATAGAGGCATTTCCATTTTGTTGTTGTTGTAACCCAATCCATTTTTTCCATCCTTCAGGAGATAGAAGAACAGGAATGGAGACTTAAAGGGGAGAATAATGCAATTGCTGAAACGGACATTCCCCAAATTGCTATTGGCAGTGGGAAGGATTTTGAGTGGAGAAGGATCAGTGACACTCGTTTGTTGGAATCTGTGCTGACTCGAGTGGAAACCATCCACAGCACAAGCTCAGAGAGTGCTGGTAAAAATGGAAAGCGTATTGATTTTCATATGCAACCTGATTTTAAATAATCCATGAAGAACTTGCTCTTTAGATCAGCCTTAATTTTTAATGGAATTTTATGTGCTGGCTACATGGAGAATATAGGAGCAAAAAGTAAATCTTTCCTTCTCTCCCTTGCTTCCCCCCACCCCACCCCAAAAATGAATGAGTATGAAAAACATGGGCATTTCTTCTGGACATTCATTTGCTTAATCATGATTTAAACTTTTTAAATGCAGGTTTTGCCAATACCACTATGCCTGGTTCGACCGCTGAATCTCCATTCTACCTTTGGGAACCACCAGCAAGTGGAAAATCAGTTTTAACAACCAGGTCCATTAACAGGAGTAAAATGAGATGGTCTCAGGTGGGGAACTCATTATTTACAGGAGTACATAGTAAAGCTTTGATGAAAAAGCTTTTATTTGAATTTTGCTAATATTCTCTGTATTTTTTAAATTCAGTGTTAATTGCTTCCTCCTCCTCCACCCCTTTCAATATGCCATTTCTATTAAATGTAAATACAGACTGCATGGGTTATATCCAGTCTTAGTCCTACTCAGAGTAGACTCATTGAAACTAATGGTCATGACTGATTTAGATCTATTATTTTCAGTAGCTCTACTCTGAATAAAGGTTAGTTCAGTCCAGCCTTTTGACTCCACATTTGGCAAAGAGAGCAACAGAATGTGATAAATCTTGGACAGTGTTTGAACTCCACTCTGCTAATTTTGTTAAAGGCGATGCCATTTTATGGAATAGTAAGCGTACAATTGTAGAAATAGTTTCATTGCTTTTAGTTCACTGAGTTCACTTGAAATTTTATGTTATTGTACATGGCTTCAGTCACTTTCGATTGTGAAGCAGTTAATAAAAGTGCAAATTACAAAAACGGATAAATGTAAAATGAACTTAAGAGTCATGCTGGCTCAGAACGAAGGCCAGTCTAGTCCAATGTTCTGTTCACAGTGGCCAGTCAGATACTTACTAGAAGCTGCAAGCAGGACGAGCACAAATTCTCTCTCCCTAGTCACATTCCCAAGCAACTGGTATTTGGAGACACCTGAATACTGGAGACAAAACAGAGCTTTCACTTCCAGCAGCCATTGATGGCCTTACCCTCCATCAATTTAATCTAATACCAATCAAGTTGGTGGCCTTCACTACATCTTGTAGCCAATTCCATAGCTTTAACAATGCACTCTGTGAAGAAGTACTTCCTGTCCTGAATCATCCAACATTCAGCCTTGTTGGATGACCCCTGGCTCAACCTGGATGCTACGCAAGAGGGAGAATACCTTCTCTTCTTCCTTGCCATTCATAAATGTGTGTGATATGTAGGGGGGAGCATATCAACTCCTGATTACATGGTACCATCTTACTCTTTCTCTTTAAGGTATACAGCCCTGAGATGAAAAGAAAATTGAACAAGATCTCTGCTCTGGCAAAAGGATTTCTAACTCGCAGGCTCTTGCAAACAGAGAAGCTGAAGCAGCTTAGGCAAACTGTGAAAGTAAGGAGCCATCTGCAGTCCGCCCTTATGTGTAATCAACACTGTGCATGTGGTTTTCTTTTTATCTGCAACAGCCATTTTACAAATTAGAGATTCCTTTCTGAAACTGGAGCCGCTGCTGCTTCCCTCTTCTGTTTTGCCCAGCTGTTCTTTATATCCCCCACCCCGCATGTCAAGCCCTCCTGTCTTTTCTCCTCCCCCAGCTCCTTCTCCAGTTCTCAACCAACACACATACTACCCAGCAGTCTTCTGTGAGTCTTAATCCCCACTTCTGGAAGGCTGCAGGTTTTTCGACCACTGTCCCCTCCATCACACAACACCAGAACGAGAGTCTCTGGGAATCAAGGCAGCTTTTTAAACAAATCGTAGTTTTACTTGTGAAGTGCACTTGAACAGCTGGAGGGTTACTGGCAGATTTCGATAATATGACCATGTATTTAGTATAGGTTAATAAAAGAAAAGCTGCAGAATATAGAGCTGTGTGCACAAGATCAGGAGGCCTTGAACAGAACAATTTCAATAAACCAGGGATGGGGAACCTGTGACCTCTCAGATGTTCTTGAACAGCCTCGGCCAGCGTGACCAGTGATAAAAAATGATAGTAGTTGTACTGCCAACAATATCTGGAGAGCCATAAGGTCCTCCATCTGTGCATTAAGCCTGGGGTGGAGTAATTTCAGCTGATGCAATAGATCTTCTCCTACATCTCGTAGCCCTGTAACCTCTTCCCTCCAATCTGCTGGTGATTTGCTTTTTAATTCAATAGGAAATGAATTCCCCCCCCCCCCAATTGCTGAGCCAGACATGTGTGGGTTTTTCTTAGGACACAATGGAATTCATTAGAAACTTCCAGTCAGAAGCTCCGTTAAAGAGAGGAAGTGTTTCAGCTCAAGATGCTAACCTGCAGGAGAGAGTGGCCGCTCAGGTGATGTATAGTCTGAAATGCACACCTTTATGAGTTTATGCTAGTGCAATTTATATTATTTTACTGTATGTTTGGCCTGCTTTTCAGATAGTTATTGTCTTCCAAGGCAGATCACATACTTTTCTTGAAGAGTAAGAAGACAGGCCCTGCCCATCAGGTTTACAAGGAAAAAGTGATGAGACACAAGGAAACTGGGTAGGGGGAGATCAGGTCTTCAAGGCCAGAACTTGCTGGTGAGCTATAAGCAGTTTGGCCCTGCTCACCTGTCCTTGCTGGTGTTCTTACTTCATTATCTACTGGTGGCTTTTCTTCCTTTGGCTGATACCGGATTGTCCTCTCCCTTTGATTCTGCAGTCCCAGGACAGATACCCATAGGAATCAAGTGTCCTTTCAGGCAGGCAGAGGGGACACATGCCTTGTAACTACCTTTTCTCTGTCAGACATTGAATTTGAATGTTGACTTCTACATTGGGTCAACATATGTCATGGGGCAGGAGGAGCTGAAGCCTCTTGGTGCAATAAAAGAAAAGAGGTTTATTGGGCCTAATGTGTTTCAATTTTGATTAGACCCTTCATGAGGGCATTATAAAAGAAAACACTGTTCTCAAAATTCTCTTTTACAAAGTGTTTACTGTGTAATTACCTGAAACCTGTTGGGCCTAATGAATCACTTTTGTGCATTTTGAGGGTTTTTCTTCTGTTTCCTGCATTAATGCCTCCTCTCTCTTTCCCCCCTTCCATATTCATCATGCCAAGACACAGTTTAGAACTCTTAACAGTGGTTTGAGCTTCCAAACATGCAAGAGCCAATTCATGGTTTGGAGCTGCTTGGCATTCCTGTGGCCCCCAGAGGTGTTGGATCATAATTGTGGTTTGTCGGTTCAGATGTCTCTACAAACCATGACCAGTGCAAACCATGGTTTGCAAAAACCACTTCAAACCATGTTTCACTAAATTTGCTTTCTTGACTTACTGCAAACAATGGTTTGTGAATTCTGACATAATGCCAAACTGTAGTTGAGCATCTTTCAACTATGATTTGAGAAGATGTCTAAATTAAACCTCTGCTGTAGTGATATGGATGTTCTGACATTTCAGAGAATTCTTCCTTTGGCAAATTATCTCATCCCTTCTGTATATTCTAGTCCTGAATGGCTTCTCAAGAGAGGCACAAGATTGTCTCTCCATCTTGTGCTCAGCTTAGTATCAATGCTTGGCCTTTGGTGGTCCACAGAGTGACATGATTTCTGTTGGACTACTGTTAGCTCTGTCTCAGTTTCTCCAGATGCTACACACCCTGAGTCATTTGAGATCCTGTCTGTATGGGATCTAGTTGTTCCGCAGAAATAACTAAATGGCACACCTTAAAATATTTACTTGCCTTTTATTTTATTATTTAGTTATTTATTACCTTTTATATACCCCCCTCAAGCTCAGATGTGGTGTACATGGTTCTCCCCTCCCCATTTTATTTTCACAACAACCCTGTGAGGTAGGTTGAGAGACAGTGAGTAGCCCAGGATTATCAAGTGAGTGTCATGGTTGGGTGGGAATTCAAACCCTGGTCTCCCAGCTCACAGTATAACTCTATTACACCACACTGGCTTTCATTGCCATTGCATTTCATAGATGTTTCTTCTCTCCCACAGTTGCGAGCAGCTTTGTATGACATTCATGATATCTTCTTCAAAATGGAAGTGTCTGAGAGAATGAGTATCCTGAGTCATGATCGAGAGGTTCGCAAAGAAAAAATGCTCCGGCAACTGGTGTGTTGCAGCACTGCTTAATTTAAGAATATGTTTAACTAGTTTTTGCACTAATACATTTCCCCCCCTCTTGTGACCCTGAATTGCTCATATTACTGGTTGCTTTCAGGTGAAAATTGTTGGTCAAGAGATGTGTGCATGACAGAGACCTCTTTATTTCCCCTTTCTTCCAGGGAGCTCAGGTTGGTGCTTTGGGAGCAAAGCAGCAAATCACAACACATCTGATAAAATGCTATTCAACCAAGATTTTATTACTACTTTTTTTTTGAGCCTTTGTACCCTGCTTTTCAGCCAAAAAGGCTTACATGCAACCAAAACAAGACAGCCTTTATTTAGGCTTACAGTCTAAATAAATCATCATCATCATAAATACAGTCTTTAAAAAAATACAGTGGTGCCTCGCAAGACGAAAAGAATCTGTTCCGCGAGTCTTGCGGTTTTTTCGTCTTGCGAAGCAAGTCCATTAGCGGTTTAGCGGATTAGTGCTATTAGCGGGCTTAGCGGATCAGCTGATAAGCGGCTTAGCGGATCAGCTGATAAGCGGCTTAGCGGCTTAACGGATCAGCTGTTAAGCGGCTTAGCGATCAGCTGTTAAGCGGCTTAGCGGATCAGCTGATAAGTGGCTTAGCGGCTTGGGAAAAAGGGGGGGGGACCCCGCAGGAACTCGCAAGACATTTTCATCTTGCGAAGCAAGCCCATAGGAAATTCGTTTTGCGAAGCACCTCCAAAACGGAAAACCCTTTCGTCTAGTGGGTTTTCCGTCTTGCGAGGCATTCGTCTTGCGGGGCACCACTGTAGTCTAAAAAAGCACAACACACGAGGAAAAGGGGACCAGGAGGGAAGAGGAAAATCAAAACTCGGCACCAATTTCTAAGCAGCTGTGTTCCTTTAATGACTAGCTAGTATAATTGAGGGACAGGAGGTGCCCAATGGAGCTGCAGCTCCAGCAAAGTTGATGAAATGAGCCTTGCTTCCTATCTCTTCCACTGAAGCACTCTGATGAGAGTTGAGGGAGACGAGGCCTGACGTTAAAGCAGAACAGAAGGGGCAAGCTCTACTTCTCAGTTCTCCCAGTGCTGGAAAGCTTAGGAGAATCATTGGCCCTCATGGTCTAGTTTTCAATGCAGAGCTTTTATTTACTTATTTATTTAGGGAGGATCATTCCATCAGGTGTGCCCCCACCGGCAGTGTGAAGGGGTGGAAGCCTAGATGAGAAATAATCTGACGGCCCTGCGTGGGGGCGGTAATATTCCCACTGTTCTCTAGGCTGCCACAAACACTCCTTTTCTCCCAGGCCTTTGGCTGATTAAACAGTTTATGGCCTTTTAAACTGTGTTGGGGAGTATTGTTTTTGTTTGTTGCTACGTTATATATTTTTGAGTTTTTATATTGTAAACCGCCTGGTGATCCTCAGGTGGAGTATAGAAATTTAACAAATAAAAGAGATAAATAAATAAAAACACGTAGGGAACAATTCTCCCCAATAGCAAAGCTAAGCTGGTCATTGGTTACAAGGCTGTAGGGAAAATGGGCCACTAATAAACAAGGGGGCAGTATCTACATCCCTGAGGAAAACCCAAAACCCAAGTTTGCAGAAATCCAAAAAGCATTTAGAGAGAGAAACCTGAAAGGACAGTCAAGTCTCCCAGCAACAGATAAATGATTATATACCATGTAGGGCAGAACCCGTTTTAAATTCAGTTTGGTCCCCCCTGAAATCCTCTGGGAACATTAAGCTAGCATAAAAAAGTAATATGTGAATGTAAGAACTGGATTTCTTTGGAGATTCAATTACTAAAAATGTGTGGAACTGGGGGGAAACCTCAAGCACCATTTTAAGTGTCTTTATGCAGGATAAAGTCCCATTATGTGTACTGCAGCCTTTAGAACATTATGTGTACCAATTATGCTTTGGTCTGAATCTAGGTTTTATTAGTAGTAATACTAATATCTAAAATTGTCCTGCTTAGGATAAAGCAAAGGGCCCAAGAGAGAGAGCAACACTTTCTACAGCTACACAGAAGTCTCTGGACAGGAAGAAATATATGAAGTATGTGGGGAAACGGTAAAGGAAGCATATACTGGTGTATTTAGATGTGCATGGCTAGATGTGTGGGCAGAATAGCCTGTTGCATGTTAAGTCGTCTGTGATTCTTGTGAAAGGGAAGGAAACAAGTTAAGTTTCTGTTCTAACATTTTCCTGCCTCATACTTCTTTAGTGATGTATCATGATCGGCATAAACTTAGGAATCGGAACTCTTGTTGACGGATTACCTTAATTCAGGATGCCCCTCCATATAAAATAGCGAGAACATTTGCCAGATCCTTTCTTCGGGGTGTATCCAGCTAAGTTCTGCTCAGAGTAGACGCATTGAAATTGATCCAAGGTACAGTTGTACCTTGGTACTAGAACGCCTTGGTACGGGTACGTTTTGGCTCCTGAACGCCACAAACCCAAAAGTAAGTGTTCCGGTTTCAAACGTTCTTTGGAAGCCGAACGTCCAATACGGCTTTCGATTGAGTGCAGGAAGCTTCTGCAGCCAATCGGAAGCTGTGCCTTGGTTTTCGAACGTCGAATGGACTTCCAGAACGGATTCTGTTCAAGAACCAATGTACGACTGTACTCACATCCATTTACTTTACTGGGTCTTATAGTTCATATAAATAAGAATCTAGATTTTTGTTGTTGTAGCCAAGTTGCACACCCCTCCTGCTTTCCCCCAGTTTATTCTGGTCTACTAAGCAAGTGGGTTGCTGCAGGTATTTGCACATCTCTATAGAGTAGGCCCTTATCTTTCTCCTACTTTGCACCCCTCCTCTTGCCCTTTGCCCGCTTTCCTTTGCCCTTTCCATACATTCTGCCCTGCAGCATGGTTAGATGTCAGTTACTACAGAGGGATTGAAGCCAGACTGTCTGGCTTCTGGATCACTACGTTAGGAAATACAGTGAGGAAGAGACTATCAGGAAGCAAATTACATGCAAGTTCTCTACAGAACTGGTAGCAAAACATCTGTGAGCATATTGGATATGCTTTCTTCTTCCAAGGTGATTAGGCTGCACTCAGAGAATGTTTGTTCTCTGCTAACCATACTCAGCCATTTCCCTGTGATCCTTGGAACACATTTTTCCTCCCTGGCACAATTTCCCCCCTTAGCCTAGAGTGGATGAGTTTTGCACCAAAATTAACCATGACCAAGACTAATCAGTGTGTCTCTTGAGCAACCCACTCAAAACAGGGTTTAAATAATGGTTATAAGTTCCAACCCTGGTTAGTCTTCACTATGATTAAGGTTGTTACCAGCATTGTGTCTTGATCCCAGCAAGACCATGGATCCTTGCTACGTACACTAAATGCTTGGAGCAACTTCCTGTTCAGTGCTCAGTATTACTGTACTCCCTTGTAGAAAAGGAATGGGGAACCTTCTTGGCCCGTGGGCCAAATATTTATGTCCTCACCCTCATAGGCTGATTTTGACAGGTGAGGGATGAACACCTTTCAAAGCGCAGTGCTTCACAAACACCTGGCAATCAGCGCTTGGGAAGTCAGGCTCTTGGAAAGTGCTGTGCAAGAGGCTTTGCAGGCATTCTAGCAATGGGCAGGGACTGCAAAGCCCCTTTCACCCAAGCCCCATCTTTCCTTGCCCCACACAAGTGGGACAGTGGCTGTAGAGCCAAAGGAAGAGGCCTCATAGGCTTGCAGGCTGTAGGTTTCCCTTTTCTTTGGTAGAACATTCAAATTTCTGACTTTCTCTGTTTAGGTACCTGTGGGAAATAAAACCAAATATTTACTTGATTCCCCCCCACCATCCCAGTAGCTCTTTTGCATATATCTGTGTATTTTATTTTTCTGTAGGCCTTCCGAAATGGGAATGCCAAATAAAAAAACAATTTTGAAACAGAAGACGCCAGAAAACAGGTTTGTAAAAATAGTATTTTTTTGAACCCCCCTCCCCCCGTGCAGTATATAATTGTTATTTTATTTTTCCCCTCATGACCTTTGCTGCTCTCTAGGAATATAGTTTGTCTGATTGTAAGATTCTAATGATAAGTCTTCCTTTACAGAGTTCTTCAGCCAAACCAGGGTCAAAATGCTCCTGTTCAAAGACTCCTTTACAGACAAGGGTAAGAGCACACTTACTTTCTGTAGCTGAAATGCTTTTTATTTGTTTGTTTATTGCATTTACGAGTCACTTTCCATGAAACACCCCGAAAAGATTTAACAATTAAAAAGCAACAATAAAGAATTGTTTTCTGCACTTTTGCACTTGTTTCTCAAACAGTACCTAACCATCGTTTGGCTACAGCTCAGTGTGTGTCTAGAGGAGATGACTTGGGTTTCCAAAAGCCATGTGTGATGTGATATTTTTCAAGGATGAAAGAGTATTTTAAAATATTATTATTATTATTATTAATAATAATAATAATAATAATGGTGTATGTGGTACATATTGCGGGGGAAGGATCCAGGCTAAAATCGACTCTGAGGAGTGTTGCTTACGATTGCCTGAAAGAAAAATGGATACACTCCCCAAATGGGTTAGATGGTGCCTATTTTATTGGACTAGCTGGAATTAGAGTAATAAGCAGAACACTTCTTCCTGAATAAGTTGTAGAGTCGTACCTTGGATCCCAAATGCCTTGGTACTTGGACGTTTTGGCTCCCAAACGCCGCAAACCCAGAAGTGAGTGTTTTGGTTTGCGAACGTTCTTTAGAACCCGAACGCCTGATGGGGTTTCCGCAGCTTCCGATTGGCTGCAGGAGCTTCCTGCAGCCAATCAGAAGCCATGTTTTGGTTTCTGAATGTTTTGGAAGTCAAATGGACTTCTGGAACGGATTCCGTTTGACTTCCAAGGTATGACTGTATTTGCAGTTTGAAAGCTTAGCCCTAATACCAGATTGGTTTAATAAAAGGTGGGATCAAACTTGTTTGGGGACATCAGAACTTTATTCTGATATCTTTTGAGATCTGTGAAAAACCGTTAGCACCAGTGCAAAGATGTAGTGCTAATAAGGCACCTGAACCTTCCAGCTTTCATTGTAGTATCTAGCCATGTGGGTTCATCTTGTCTCCCATTTGCAATCTTATAGCTCCCTGCAATGTAATTTTGGTTCAGTTACATTTTTCTTCCTTTGATCAAAATACGTTTTGTTTATAAAGATCATGTGGGCACTTTTAAAAATGAGTAAAAATGATTTTTAAAACCATGGTTTGGCACTGACATGAGCAAAGCCTCGTGCTTGCATGTTCCCTCCTCCCCTCCCTTCTCTTTCATGCTTTATTTTTAGTCAGCTACTTCCACTTCAGCTAGAAACCGCAGTTTATATCCAAACCACAAAACCGGCTCTTACAAAGCTGGATTGCAAGCTAGGATCAACCTATAGTTTGTAGTCCTGGGTTAGAAGGATCACACAGACTATAATTTGCTGGACTATTGTTCTGTCAAGCTCCATTTTGGATCACACAGACCATAATTTGCTGGACTATTGTTCTGTCAAGCTCCATTTTGGATCACGCAGACTATAATTTGCTGGACTATTGTTCTGTCAAGCTCCATTTTGTCTATACTGATAAGGAGCACTTTCCAGGGGTTTCAGATGGGAGTCTGCAGATGCCAGTGATTGAACCTGGAACCTGCTGCACACAAAACAGGTTATTTAGCACTGAGCTGCTAACTGTCGCTTCCCCTCCAACTCCAAACCAGCTTAAATTAAAGTAGGACTGCCTAATTAAAACAGCAGAGAAGTGTAGAACTCAATTATTAACTTACTAATCCAGTCATGTAGAGTGTTGACATGTGTATTAACCTGGTTTTTAGCTCATCGTTTGTTTTAATTAATTTTTGAAAGTTTAAAAATAATTGCTTTAAGCGTTTTTTTAACTTTATGGTCTTATTCTTTTCGTAAACGTCTTTTAGGTTTTACTGTAATCAAGCAATATAGAAATCTTGTGAATTAAACAAAACGGAGCGTGACGTGGGAGTGTGTGAACATGAGAGTTATTCATGTGTTGCCAAACCATAGTCGGGAATAAACACGTGAATCAACTGGTTGGGGTTATTTTGTTTTTTTAATAACATTGATGCTATTGTGTTCCTAATTAATGGGAATTCCACAATAGGAACATTTGCAGAATGCCATGTAGTTTATTGTATTGTTGTGGAATACTCTGGCAAAGAACGATTTTTGATTATTGTTGTTGTTTTTCGAAACAGCATTTTAGCTTGGATGCAAGTGACTTATTAACTCCTTTTATATTCAATCAGAACCCCTAAGACCTCAGTGAAGGGGGCTGAGCAAAATAGAAAGAAGCCCTCAGAGAGCAGAGTGTCTAACAAGGCCCTTTCAGGTGTGTAAAAATAAAAAGTGTGCTTGGATCTTATTTAACAAAGAAAAGAGTAAGTTGTTCATATAAAGAGGCTTAAGTAGCATACGTTTCTGCAGTTGCTGCACCAGCTATGCTCTAGCTCTGCTATACTAACCCTGACTGAAATTAATGCAAAGCATAGTTGTGATCACCCAACTGCATGAATACAATAGATTCATTTTAGTCCACTTGCACACTCCAGCATAATCACACTTGGAAAAGCTTCAGATACAGAGCATTCCTAATTTTTTTAATGGTATGTATTCCTGTTTTGCATAGATAACCTAGATAACCTGCAATTAATACTCTTGGGGTGCCTGAATACTATTGTGCTTTAAAATAAATAAACTTCCTGGCTGAAACACATGTACACTCCTCACTTACATTATTGTGCATGATTGCTCCATATGTAAATATATATTGTTCCATAAATATACACATGTATATTTATAAATATATATGTGTATGTGTGTGTATATATAATATGGTAAGTAAAAAGTATTGTTTTACCATATATTCTACTAATGATGCTGTGCATGCCTATTGTTTTTGAGGTCCTGTAGACTGAAGAGTTTAAAGAGGTAAATTTTTATCTGCAAAAAAGGAGGGTAAAATAATGCAGAAAGAATCCTCCCGCTTTTTCCATTGCGGCTAGCTTATTCTGTTTTCACAGTCGTGCCGTGAATACCTTGCGTCAGGTATTCATCCTGACAATTTAAGAAGCTATTCATCCTCTTAAAACACGAATTTTACTTATTTCAGCTATTTATATCCTCCCTTAGTTGAAGGTTCTCAGGTTAGCTCTTCCGTAAGGAACAATGGGCACCAATGGAAGCAGGAATACAAAGACCGGCGGTAAATCAAACCAGCTTGTCACAGTTCCCAAACGCTATAGGAAGCAGTTGTGCATTTGAATAATGGTGTATCGGGCGCAGAAATGGACGAGGACTCTGCCAGTAACAGGAGAGGCCCACCTGTTGTCACCTGTGCCACCCATTCCTTCCTCTCCCCCGTCCTGAGGCTCCTGCCTCCTTGGATGGGAGAGAGGTAGCAAAGGACATGGGCTGGCGTTGTGCCCTCTGAGTATTTGAATAAACACTTGATAAATGCCACTGATTTAGTGCTTTGTCCAATGCTGGTCCTGTGGCAAACAGATAGGTATAGAAAGCATTCCTTAGTGGTAGAAAAGCCCAAGATCACTGAATTGCACCATATGCTACTGTCATTTCCTCCACTTTGAGCATTGCACGTAGTTCTCCATCGTTTGTTTTGAAATCTTTTAATCGTGCAATAATAATTATTTTATTTCTTACGTGCATTTCTTTTCCACTTCCGTAGTTGAAAGCTGATCATCGTTTGTCTTTCTGAAAATTAGACCTATAGGCTTAACATGCACAAATGATCCAAACCTGTGGGTATATTAGGATCATTTCAAGCCCCCACCCCCCCACCTGGACTTGGAAGTTCACTGGGTAATCTTGGGCCAGTCACTGCCTCTCAGAGCCGAACCTGCCTCACAGGATTGTTGTGACGATTAAATGTTGGGGTGGGGGGGGGGAGGACTGCGTGCACCAAAGACCAAAATAGCTGAATCAAGGCCCAAACAACCATACAAGCAGCCAGTCATCCAGTTCATCCTGCCTGATTGAGCATCCAAGCCCAAGTGAGGAAATAACTCCTCCCCTGGGAGAGACCAACTCTAGTCTCTTCTTCCAAACTGAAGGATGGGGCAAACACGTCCCTGCCAAGCACAAGAATGCTGGTGTTCCAAGTGAAGCAAAAGTCAATTTTTCTTAGTGAATTTTGTTTTCCAGGACGTAGCATGTGTGACACTTCCTCCTAAAAGGTCACAGGGGTTTTGAATAATTTTACACAGATCACAAACTCATGCTCTCTTTTTACTCATGTGCGCTTCCAATGTTTTGATCCATCTGCTGTTGCCTGAGCTTTCTGCTATTTCAAGACTCTGCAGTTAGAATTTAAACAAAGGAATATTTCTGGATTTTAGATACTTTTTATGGCTCTTATCAGGTGTGTTTTCTGCACTTAATGTGAAGGCGTGGATTTCCAATGCAGTCATACCTTGGATCCTGAACACCCTGCAACTCAGATGTTATGGCTCCTGAACACCATAAACCCAGAAGTGATTGTTCCACTTTGCGAACGTTCTTTTGGAACCCGAACATCCAGCAGGGCTTCCGTGGCTTCTGGTTGGCTGCAGGAGCTTCCTGCAGCCAATCAAAAGCCTCGACTTGGTTTTCAGATGTTTTGGAAGTCGAATGGACTTCCGGAACGGATTCCATTCGACTTCCAAGGTACGGCTGTACTATGGATATAGAAGGCTGTTGCCCGTTCCATCTGATAAAGCCTTCTTGGTGTGGACCTGTCCTGCTTACTTGAAGTTCAGTTATTGAGCGCTGAAGCAGCTGCTACTTACAACTGACAACAGAAGAAACTGAAAAATGGCTCTTCAGTATTGATAACTATTTTTTGCCATGCATTTATGCACAGCGTGGTTAGTTTTCACATAACTTTTTGAAGGTGTTTATACAATTACAGTTTTGAAATGCAGATTTATAAAGGGATAGTTCATCTGCGTCGGCATTATTACTGCTTGCTTATAACACGCAGTAGGCATTTTAAATAAGTAACACTTCAGTTAAAAAATGTTCTTTCCTCTTTGCTTTTAGGAGTATATGCCGGAAAAACCCAAAGAAAGAAGCCAAATGTTGTGACAACTTAAGAAGGCAGCATTCTCTTGGCTAAGCGGTTGATCTGTCTGTAAATGTTCTCCACTGGTTCTGGTCTTCCTGCTGTCACACATGATGCTTTGAATCAGCAAGGATACGTTTTGTGATACGAGATTTCTCAGAGATAGTTGCCAGAATGAAAAGCGAACTGGACAGCACAACAAACTTGAAGAAGCATTTATCCTGCATGTTTCAACCCTCTCATGTATCCATTAACTTATACTCAAAACTGTAATCTACATTGTGCATCCTCAGGAAAATATGTATGTGGTGATTCTTAGGAGAACATTTTTGCAGACTTGAACCTGTGCTGCACTCTTTATAGTGCAGCAAATGAACTCAAAATGGCAGTTTGTACATTCTGCATTAACAGTTGTCTATATCGTTCTGTATATTTAATTAAACATTCAGCTTCAGCTGTGTTGATTGTCTTTGGCAGCTGCCATGCTTTTAACCATGCATAGCCTTGCCTCAAGTCTAAGCCACTTTGGCCCCACTGAAAGTCAGTGAGGCAAATTTTGGCCTTTCATTGCAGCAAGAAGTGTCAAGCATTTCTGGTGGCTGGCACTGTTAGCTTTGCAGCATAAATACAGGTTGCTGCTTTCACCTGCCATGGTAAATTGGATTTTTGTAGTAGGCAAATTTGAATGTGCAGTCAGCACCCCCATCAAAGCTTTGAATTGCCAGTTTCCCTCCCTAAATACGAAGAGGACAAAAGTGTATATAAAATATAGTAACAACAGTTATTTAGGAGGCTTCTTTTGCTACTACACGTTTGTCTTTTGTATATATATTTTTCTCTAAATGAAAGGTTTTGGATTTTTTTTATGAAGAAAATGATACTCTTTCCTCCCATTTGGGGGACAGGATTGTAGCAAACTCCTTTTGGTTTCTGAGGGCTAATCCTCCAAGAAATTCTGCTCTTGCTGTTACTGAGGAATAAGAAATATTTGTAAGAATAATGAGTGAATTTTGCAACTTGGCTTTGGCCTTAAATCCAGCTGGATTCCCAGAAAGTGAAATTCTTACATTACCAAAGCCATGTCTGAAAAAGGGACATATTTATGTAAGTTATTTGTACTTGCGGTTTTAGACACGAGATGAATTATTTAGATCTTGGTGTGACTATGATATGCCGAATCAAATGCAGTCATGTTGAGAAATGTATCGATCTAATCTGCCAACTGGCATTAGATAATTGTGCTATAGCTTATTCAGTGCACAGAGAACTATTAAACTTGATTATATGATATTGAATTGGTATTAATATTATGTTAAATATTCAGCGCTTCAGATCTGGCACTACAGTTCTGGCTCAAAATATTATTCAACATAAATTGAAAAAGGGTTAAATTAACAATTGGGGGTGACTTTACATACACACATCTATTTATTCATATGGGGATGGGTGTAAACCTATTCATTAGCTGTATCTTCTAATGCTCTTCTATATCATGCAGTATTTTAAACTGATCTTGTTGGAGAGGCAACCATTTTGATTCAAGAGGATGTGGTGGTGGCGTAGCCAACTGCTCAGCAGTCCTCCAAGCACAGCCTTGTCTCTTGCAGGCTACCTGTTAAAAGGTTCCTTTTGGTTAATTTACGCAGTGCAATGCAAACACTTCTAATTTATTAGATTTCTAAGTAGTTCTTAGAGCTTACTTTTGGCTCATAAAACTTTTGCATGACTTGAATGTTTTTTAAGAGGAGGGGGGGAATAGCATAAGACTTGACAAGCTAAATGAATTTTAAGATTTGCAGATGTTGCCTTGTAGATTAGAAATACACTACCGTTTAATAGATATGCCAGTGCTAATTTTTTTTTTGCTAGAACTTGTTCGTTGTGTGCTGTGATGTTAATTCAGAAGTAAAAATTCTGTAAATAGAAGTAAGTTTTAACATAAAAAGTACAGATCAATTGTTACTTTGTTCAGATACTCTAAGTACACTTTTTATTTTTATTTTATTTTTTATTATTTTAAAGTCAACTAAAATGTAAATGTTTCACCTGTCATTAGGCCTTCTATTTACAAGTGCCAGGATCGCTTTTGTAATTTGATATATTTTATATTTATTTATTATATTAATTTTCAGTTCACTTTTTTATTTTGAGTGGAATGCAATATTATAAAATGTATTTTTGTACTTTTCCTTTTCACCCGTTTTGCTTTTTTCCCCCTTAAGCATATTGCACAATAAAACTTTTTTTTATCTTTAAAGTGTATGTGTTTTCTTAACTCAAATTTCTTTTTTTTTTTTAAGAAAAACAGTCTAAGTTATTGGGCATTTCCCCTGTCCCCAAGCTACAGATTAAGTAGCAGAAAGTTCACCAACTTAGTATGAATGCTTCAAATGACAAAATATGGCATTCATTGTTGTTGTTTCTCTTCTGTTGGACGTGAAGAATTAATATCTGAAATTCAGAAATTATTCCAGTATTTTAAACTTTGTAAAGGCAGCAATAAAACATAACAACAACCCCACTCCTAAACAATACCCTGGCCCAAGAGGCAGTCTACCACTGAAGCCACTAGGTGGGCCTTTGGTCTAACCCAACAAAAAGGTACTTTTTATGGGGTTTTTTATGCACACACAGACTCCACAGAGACATTGAGGTACATCTGTTTATTTGCGTCTTTTTTGCTATGGCACATCTCATGGAGGGATTCCAAACACTCCTCTCAGAAGAAAGGAGAAAACATTTACAGCATTTAAAGACATTTAAACAAGTTCACAGCATAACTTGTCTAGGGCGGGTGGGTTGTTATTGTTTGCGGTTGTTACGTTATGTATTTCGTGTGTTTATCCTGTAAAAACTGCCACGAGACACTCAGATGAAGGGCGGTATATACATTTAATAAATGATATTTTTAACAATAATAATGTTAATAAATAATAATATTTTAAGGGCAATTCTTCCCTGCCTGGAGATGGAAAAGTTTGGGACAGCAGAGAATGGAATCTGATGGAATTTTGCTTGGAGGCAAAAGTGACCCGGCTGGTGGAAAATGTCTGTTGAGGCTGACAGTTGAAGAGATGAAAAATGGAAGGGGGAAGAGTGGTGTAGTGGTTAGAGTGCTGGACCAGGAGGACTAGAGAGACCAGAGTACAAATCCCCACTCGGCCATGAAGCTCACCTAGGACCATGTATGCCAGTATATAAAAGTGGTTGCGACAGATGGGGTGAACTAAGAAAACACGAGGAAAAGAGGGGTTAAAAGGAACCATGGGAAGAGGATAGGAAGTCACTGTTTTCTGATCTTGTCGATTATTCAAAATCTTTGAAAGTATTTTTCTTTGTTGTCTCGTTTTTGTTTAATGCTTTGTTGATGTGGAATATTATCAGAAAAGCAAATAAATAAAATATTTATGGGGGGAAATCCTGAATATGAAAGGAAGGAAGCTTCCCACCTCACTAGTAGAGCTGCAAGGAGACACGCTGTGATGCCAACTGAATCGGACCTTCCTACTTTCGCAGGTTAAAAGGTGGAAACAAAATTTTAAAAATCCTTCCAGTAGAAGTGTGCATGCACACGAAAGCTCATACCAATAACAAACTTAGTTGGTCTCTAAGGTGCTACTGGAAGGATTTTTTTAATTTTGTTTCGACTACGGCAGACCAACACGGCTACCTACCTGCAGGTAAAAAGGTGGGAGAGCTACCTCACAGGTGTGTCATGGGTGGATGAACTAGGCAGAGGAAGAACTATCTATGCCGCTTTTTGTCATCTTCATCATGCTTTATGAAATTCGTTAGTCGCTTTATCTTGCCCAAGGCAACCCAAAGCGACTGACAACCAAATGTAATAACAAATTATTATGATTATTCATTAAATTTGTATATATCACCTGCAAATCTCAGAGCAGTCCACAGCATAAAAAGACAAGAGGAAAAACACAGAACACCTACTAAAACGGTGCACTGAAATGCAACAACGAAACGAAACGATTTCGCGCGTCCCGGTGGCTGTCCTGGCACTTGCCCTTCCCAATCATGGCCGCCTGCGCTTCCGCAGAGGAAGCGCCGAGAGGCCTGAGAGGCAGCGGGGGGGGGGGCGAGTCAGGTGACGGGAGACAAGATGGCTGCCTTCCCCTGGTAAGGACGGAGGAGCTTCTCTTGCAGATAGTCTTGGAGACAGAAGCTGGGAGGAGGAGACGGCGGCTTGCGACGGGCAGCTTCCCGCTTTAATTCCCTTTTTGTCTTGCAAGGCTTTGCTGACATGTTTGGGGCGGGGCGGGTTCTTTTTGTGAGGTGTCTGGTATTTATTATTATCTTTCATGGCAGGCAGATATGGCACGCCAGGCTCTAATAGGCTATGTGGTGCTTAGCTATTTAAGTTTTATTTTTATTTTTTAAAGTTATTACTGACGGCACGTTTGCAGCTCACTGCCTTTCAGCAACCGCTTTGGCACTGTGACCCCTTAGGTAAAGGTAAAGGGACCCCAGACCATTAGGTCCAGTCGTGGCCGACTCTGGGGTTGCGGCGCTCATCTTGCTTATTGGCCGAGGGAGCCGGCGTACAGCTTCCGGGTCATGTGGCCAGCATGACTAAGCTGCTTCTGGCGAACCAGAGCAGTGCACGGAAACGCTGTTTACCTTCCCGCTGGAGCGGTACCTATTTATCTACTTGCACTTTGACATGCTTTTGAACTGCTAAGTTGGCAGGAGCAGGGACTGAGCAACGGGAGCTCACCCCGTCGCGGGGATTTGAACTGCCAACCTTCTGATCGGCAAGTCCTAGGCTCTGTGGTTTAACCCACAGCTCCACCCCTTATGCCACAATAAATTTATTTTTAGCCATTGTGGCGAGAGTATTGGACTAGGACCTGAGAGGCATGGATTAAAACCCTCACTCAGCTGTGAAGCTCACTGGGTACCCTTAGACCATTGTCTTTCAGCCTAACCTACCTCGCAGGGTTGTTGTGAAGTTAAAATGGGGAGCTGGCAGAACCCATGCATGCCGTTTTGAGCTCCTTAGAGGAAATGTGAGATGTAAATGTAGTGACAAATAAAATATCAGGTGCCATTCTGGAAATCCTTAGCCATGGTGAGACAGCCAGAAATCTAACGGTGCATCTCTTGGGAATTGTAGGTGTGAAGGGCCATGTATTTGGGGAAATAAGTGTTTAAAGCCCAAAGAGGCTTCAACAGCAAAGTGGGTCTTGATATCTTGAAATAAATCAACATTTATTGGAATATATATTTCCTTGGTCTGTAGCCCTCTTCATTGGCTACATTATGTTAGCCTCATTTGGGATGTGTGCTTAGGTGATACATAAAGAGGCATCCTGGTGTAGTGGTTAGATAGTGTATTGGACTAAGGCTGAGGAAAACCCAGTTTCAAATCCTCAGTCAGCCTAACCCATTATTTGTGAGGATAAAATGCCCTGATAAAAATGCCATAAAAAACAGAGGAAATCCAAAATAGGATCCAATGGTAATGAAATACAGAAACGTACAGTTTTGGCCTCTTCATTCAGCGGTGGGGTCTGCATGCTGAAGATCCCAGGTTTGGGCCCTGGTATCTCCAGATTACAAGGATCTGGTGTCAGATGATGGAAAAGATTTCTGCCTGAAATCCAGTCAAAATACTGGACTAGATCAAGGCTGGAGAATCTGTAGCCCTCCAGAAGATGTTCATGTCCTATTTCCATCAACTTCAGCCAGCATAGATAGGGAGTGGTCAATTATGATGGGATTTGTAGTACAATAAAATCTGGTAGGCCACAGGCTCCTCATCTCTGGGTTAGATAGTCATGTAGTCTGATCTAGTATAAGGCAAGCTTCCTGTGTTTCTTTGTTTTTCTCTGCACACAGATGCCTCTGATTTTCACTTAACTTTCTTTATTTCATAGCATTGCATGTATTGACTGCCGACAAAAAGAGAAGTGTTTTCTATTGTGACAACAGAAACACTGCACATTTGAAACAAGATGTCTTGTGGGTTCTAACTGGAAACAGAGGTTAGCGCAGGCATACTTGCAAAGTATGTACATGATGCTGAATCATGGACAATATGCCATACATTCCCTGCACATTGAAATCTAGCATGTCAGGAAGAAGGTGCAGGCTGTTGTAAAGAGCTGCACCCATACCACAGTGCCATGAAAGGTTACTTGTCGCTGAGGTGGTAAACTTGTATAGCAGCTAAGTGCTCACTTGCTAGAACAGTTTGCTGTACAGCATAAATCCCCTGCACACGGACATCTAGCATGTCAGGCAGAAGGCTAGGCTAAAGCCCTGTCTAAAGTGAGCAGTTTTACTACCTCAGAAAGAACTGAAAGTACACTTATTTTAGAAGTGTGGGAAGGAGGGCAGGGAGGCACTACACAGTATAACCTTTTTTTATTAGTTAATTGAATACTTCAAGGCAGAGATGTGGAAACTTGTGTGTTGTAATCCAACAACATCTGGAGGGCCACAACTTTCTCATTCTTGTGTTAGAGATCTGTGCATTCCTCATGTTAGTTGTTTATCTACTTTGGAATATATGTGCAATTTCAATATACAGTATATTTTTCTCCAGTCCACTTCCCTTTGGCATCCAGTTGGTGTCGCTGTTGATTTGTATTAGCAATCCACTGTGCCGATTCTCCTGGCCCTGTTTTATTTATTGCAGGAGAGCACAGTGGTAAGAGTACCATGTATAAAATAAAGTTGAGGTCTTTGAAATTCAGATAACTTCAAGATAACCACTCCCTTGTGCCTCTTGACTGGAATTACATGGGCCCTGCTGTTCACACAACTGCATACATTTGCCTTATGTTTATAGATAAGTTGTGTTGAATGTAGAAGGATGGTTCTTGGCTTGATGAATGGGCTGTCTTTGAATTGCAAAGCAAGTGGGGATGTTTTCTGCCTGTTAAAGCTTTAATTAAATTTCCCTTGCAAGTTCCCTGTGAGACAATATTCCAAGTTTTAAATATAGAGTTTGGAGAATTGAGAAAAATTTGACTCTTCATAGAATCATGGAATTGTAGAGTTGGAAAGGGCCACTAGGGTCACCTATAGTCCAACCCCCTGCAGTGCGGGAGTCAGTGTGGTGTAGTGGTTAAGAGCGGTAGATTTGTAATCTGGGGAACCGGGTTCGCATCTCTGTTCCTCCACCGGCAGCTGCTGGGTGACCTTGGGCCAGTCACACTTCTTTGAAGTCTCTCAGCCTCACTTACCTCACAGAGTGTTTGTTGTGGGGGAGGAAGGGAAAGGAGAATGTTAGCTGCTTGGAAACTCCTTCGGGTAGTGATAAAGCGGGATATCAAATCCAAACTCCTCTTCTTCTTCTTCTTTTGCCCAATGTGGGGCTATTTGTTGGGTCTCTATAAGGGATGGGGAACCTCCAGATGTTGCTGGACTACAACTACCATCCTCCTGGTTCTTTGGCCATGTTGGCTGGAGTTGATGGGAGCCGAGTCCATCAACATCTGGAAGGCCACATTTTCCCTGCCCCTGGACTATGTTATAGCTGAATGGGGATTTGAACTCTGTTCCAGCATGCTATCCGGCAGGAGTGGCTAACTTTTTTTGGGCACAACAGCTTCACTCACTCTTGGCCAATCCTCTGAGGCCTGTGTGCTGCCAGTGAGAGCATTCAGTCCATGTTCTTGCACAGGCACACAGCTTCCTTTCCTTGGACATCAGATGAGTAGGTGGGGAGAGAGCGATTTTTATCCCCAGCTGAGTGCTGGGCCAAGGGAAGAGGTTCAAACTTCTCTTCCTACCCCAGCATTTTGCCACTTTTCATTTTTTGCCCTTTAGCCGCTGTCAAAACTGGTGATGTATCATGAGACCAGAAGAATTTGCTTGCAAGCTGAACCATTCTGGCTCTTTGGCAATCGCTGAGTGGTAATCGCTTTCAAAAGTGTAACATTTACCACTTGCTGACTGGCTTTTAAAATAAAGATTTAGAGTTGAGCCCAATTAAATCATTGCGCTTGTGGAACAACGCTTCCCTTCTCTCCCCTCCTCCTGTGTGTCTCTCAGATTTGCTCTGGGGAGCCTGCCAACCCTCCAGAACAGTTTGAGGGGGGCAGGGATGTAGGGGAAGGGGTCAGAGGGAGGGGAAATTCAGGTGCATCAGTGAAAGGCATTCCACGAGCACAATTACAATCCAATAATAATACTAACACATAGTAATAAATCTTTGTAACTTTTCAAAGCACTTCATTATCTAGTTGTAATCAAGCTAAATCAGTACAGTCGTACCTTAGTTTTTGAACAGCTTAGTTCTCGAATGTTTTGGCTCCCGAATGCTGCAAACCTGGAAGTGACTGTTTCGGTTTGCGAATTATTTTTGGAAGCCGAACATCTGATGGGGCTTCCGATTGGCTGCAGGAGCTTGACTTCCCAAGGTACGACTGTACTATTACATGCCCCGTCCCCATCCCATTCCAGATGTTGATGTTGGGACTGAGGTTAAGTGGGAGTCATTTGGCTTAGGTTTTCTGGTGAGTTCATGGTACATGGAAGGCTCAAGCTGAGGACTTCCTGATTCATAGCTCAGCCTCCTGGTCACTGCTATGCCAGCTTTTCAAGATACCATGTAGGTGTTTGCTAGAGTAAATTTTGTGTGTGTGTGAATCTGGGATTGGTGCACAGGATGACCTAAGGCTAGGATTCTCTTCATTTTGCTGTTCACCCGGTAAAAATTAGTCCCTGCATAAGATGTCTGTGCATTCATAGGATACCTTTTAAAAGCCAGCCAGTGAGTGCAAAAAGCTGTGCTAGAAGTGGTCTTCTGTTTGTTGTCCCAGGTACCAATATTGTCATGTTACTGTCTCAAACAGACACAGTTTTCTAAGGTCCAGATTGCAATTTGCAATAGAAACCAACATTTAAAGTTTCGGCTGTGTGCATTTGCTTTCAGCTGCTGCTTTATAGATTCTTCTGAGGTCCAGCAAAAATGCTGTTTCTGTGAAAGGGTGAAGGGAACTCTCTCTCTCTCACCCAAACTCTGTGCTGTTTTAATTGTGAAAGTCCTTACAAATGCTAATAAGCTCAAGGGGCCAGCAAAGTAGCAGAAGTGTGGGGAAAACATTGAGAATAGTGCATTCAAGTGAATATTTATGCACAGGGCAGGCAGGAAACTGGAGATTAAGAAATGTAGGGAGACAGGCATGAGCATCCTTCACTGGGTTCTTTTTCTCCTCCTTTTACAATGTCTCATTAGGTTGTAAAGCCGTTCCTTTCAGTAGCACTGCTGGGTTGTCTGATTCAATTGGCCTTCAGAGTTGCACAGTCGGTTGGTGGCTGAGCCCTTGTCAAATGCTTTTTTAGAATAAGTGTTGTCTCTGCTTAGAAGAGTTGTGAAAATGCAGTTGATTTGCAGGACATGACTGGCAGGTTATTTCCCCCAGTTTTTTTCACCTGAAGTTTATGCCAGCTAAAAATAAGCAGCAGATTTGTAATGTGATGGATTTCACAGTTGATAAAGACAACAATAGAAGGAATCTTTGCAGCTTCTTTTGTTTGATTGAAGCACTGGCAGTTCCTCTGTTTGATGCCTTCGAATGATGAGAAAAGGGTAAAAGATGACAGACAAAAGGAAGTATTCCTTTAGAAATGGAAACTAAGCAATAGAAAGGACTGTCAGTAGCACACAAGCACAAATGACTTTATAAAACAGGAGTGGGGAACTGGATCTGGCTGGTGGGATCTGTTCAGTGCCGGATATGCATGGCTGTCCAGCCTTTGCCTGAACACCCCCAGTGAGGAAGAGCTCACCACCCCACGGGTCATTTATTCCACTGTCAAGCTGCTACTCTCGTCAGTAAGTTTATCCTGATGTTCAGCTGAAATCTGCCCCCCTGTAACTTGCACCCATTCAGATGGGAGTATCTGGAGGTCTCTATCATGTCATGTTAGTTTGATCCTCAGTCTCTGTGCCATGTGCTTCTCTAAGCATCTTCTTGTGGAAAAATGTGGCTTGTAAACACAACACACAAACTTTGATCCTCCTCCAAATTGCTTCCATAGGGAGCTGCCAGCTGTGGGTACCATAGCTAGGTGACGTGTCCTGCTCCTTTTTGCACAGAATGATGGAGTTAGGTCAGTGTTATAAACTGAGATATGAAAGCCAGAATCTAAATGGCACCTTAAACTTGGGTTATGGGCACAACAATGGAATGTCTAGGTGCATTTTTTTTTAGAGATATCACATTTTCTTGTGATTTTCTTCTCCAGAAACCGTTGCACGTGAATGCTCAGCGTGTGCTTCCAAATCTCAGTTCTATAAGTTCTTTATGCTTTTCTCCCTCAGGCATGCTAGATCAAGAAACTACGTACGTGAATTGGAATCATGCAGACTGGAAACCGTGTCTGTGGATTTTGGAGACTACCATCCACTCAAACCCATTACAGTAGGTTTCCTTTGCAACACTTCAACAGTCCTGTGTAGTCATGTTGGTACAGGAGACCGGGGACAAACTAATGAACAGACTCTTCTTGGGTCTCATGCTGATGCTCTGGAATGGGCCCATCTCTATGTACCTTCTACCACTTGATGGAAGAAGCCTTGCTTCTTTGAAGAAGCCTTTGGGAAAAGGGGAACTGTGCACCATTTGTGCAGTTTACACCGATATTAGAATTTTCAGTTTTCTAGTTGTGAGATGTGGATTTGATTCATACAGCTAGAGCCCCAATTTACTTCCTTAATCCTATGCACAGTTAGACTGTGCCTAGAACTAGTTCATTTCTTCACCATTGTATTCCTAAATTGGGGTTGGGCAACATGGTACCCACTAGAGCTTTTGGATAACAACTCCCGTCTGTCCTTGCCAGCATGGGGAAAGGTCAGGGATGATGGGAATTGTAGTAGCTAACATCGGTAGTGCATCACATTGACTACCCCTACCTAAAGCAATGAACTTAGGCATGCAAAACTCAGTTTAGAGGATTGCAGCTTCGGCCTGCAATTCTGTATGCACATATCTGGGTGTAAGTCCTATTGAACGCAGTGGAACTTGCTTCTGAGTAGACAGTTGTACAGTTGCACAGCCTTGGTGCAAGATAGCAGTTTACGGCTGCATTTGTATGCACACTTATCTTGGAGTAAGCCTTATTAAAATAAGCAAGGCTGAGTAAATGTGCAAAGAATAGTTTTGTTAGCATCTGGCGCTCCTTCTGACTATTATTATGTATTCCTCAGGTAATGGAATCAAAGACAAAGAAATTAGGCCGCAAAGGAAGCACTTCCTCTACCTCCTCCTCCTCTTCCAGTTCAATGATGGATCCCCTGAGCAGTGTGTTGGACGGCACTGATCCTTTGTCATTGTTTGCTGCAACTGCAGATCCCCTGCTGACTGCAACTACGGTAACATTCTTGTCGCACTGACTAGATCCTTGTGAGCCTGCCTGCCTGCAGCTCTGCTCTGTGGCCTGTAATGGAATAATGATGGATTGAGGAAGGGCCATAGCTCAGAGTTAGAGCATCTGCCTTGGGTACAGAAGGTTCCAGGTTTAATTTCTGGCGTCTCCAAGCAGGGCTGGGCTGGGGAAAACCCCTGCTTGAATCCCTGGAGAGTCACCTGCTGGTCAATGTAGATGATGATGATGGTGATAATTTATTTATACCCCACCTATCTGGCTGGGTTTCCCCAGCCACTCTGAGCTAGATAAACCAGTGGCCTGACAAAATATGAGACACAATATGAGCAATTCCTTTGCTCTGAACCAGGGACTAGGCTTTTTTGGTGGTGGCCCTGAACTTACAGAATCTATTTCATGTTCCTTCATCATTGTTTGTTTTAAAAAGGTTTTTGTTCATTTTTATGAAACAGTATGCTTTTTATTTAAGTTGCATTTTTTTTAATGCTCCACTTTAGATCAGATTATACTGTCCACCTTAGTATACATGCATATTTGTTTAACTGATAGTGTCTTTTTTATTTCATATTTAGTTGCGCATATATATATATATATATATATATATATATACACATATATATATATATGTGCAGTACTGCTCCTGAACTAGGTATCAAGGCGATGTACATCACAACATCAAACGCATTCAGGAAACAATTAGAAACATGCAGAGAATCACTGAGCAGAAAAAGAAATTAAGAATTTAGTAAATGCTTGAGCGAACAAAAGTATATTTAATTGCCAGCAAAAAAGCATACTGCTGGGAGAAGGTTGTTTCATAATGTGAGCTGGAAATGTCTGAGAATGTCCTCATTCTGCTTGCCATCTGGTGGCTCAAAGCAGGCCTTGGCCACCACCAAGAGAGGTGCTTTCAAAGCTCTTGGTAGGCAGGAAGGTTCATCTGGCTGTTTCACTATTGCACACTGCCTTGTGCCGGTTCTCATGTCCTGAAAGGTGGCTTAAGAAATATTTTGCTAGTAGCAGATGCACAAATAATAGACTATGTTTCTGGAGGTGTTGCTAGGATGCGTATCATTAGTTATCCGTGTTCAGGGGTGACAAACCTCAGACCCTGGGTGTCAGGCTGGAGGAATCCTCTCCCTCCCCACTGATGGCACCGAGAATCAGGGAGGAAACAAGAAAGTTCTTAAAAGAAATCCAATCATTCCTCCATGATGGAGTTGCTCGCACTGAGCTCCTCCTCTCTTCCCTTCTAACAACACCACATGCTTCTACATCTGCCTGTGGCCAACTGTAGTTGTACCCTTTGTTCTTGCACTGTTAACGAATGTCGCGCTTTGGGAGAAGAGGGTTCGGTTATGCTGTCCAGTGACATGTCAGCTAGCTTCTCTGTCTCTTCCTCCTTCTCCTAACACTGCATAACTCTGTTGTTCTCCTGTCTCTGAGCTGCTATCTTCCTCAAAGCCCTGCTATAATTTGAGACTGCCTTCCTCTTCCCTACAGGCAAAGGTGGGGGGGGGGGAGGGCAATCTCCACCACTCCTCCTCTTCAGTCCAATCCCTGACACAGGGCCCAAACGTGGCCCTCTGGGTCTCTCCATCTGGCCCTTGGAACTCTTCCCTGGCCACACCCACTTACTGGCCCTGCTCCACACCCACTTACTGGCCCTGCTCCACACCCTGAGGGTATTTGCCTGGCTGGAATGTGTGTGCTTGAGCTGGGATAATGTCTGACACTTGCCTAGAGGACAAAGAGGGCTGTGCAAGTGTGTTTAAGAGCCAGCCTACTGCACAAAGATAGAATTTGCTCTGCCCACATTTGCCTCTGGCCCTGCCCAGCATGGGTGTGTCTGTAAAGTGAATGCCACCTTTGCCCTGAAAAATATGGGTGAGATTTATTAGTATTTTTAAATGATGAAATATGCCTTTACAACAACATACCGGAGGTCAAACGTCTCATTATCTGGAGGATTCTGTGCCTCACTTGTCTCTCCTCTGCAGGAGAGTGCCAGAAAGAAATGGGATAAAGATGATTCCTCGGCTGTTGGCAGTGACTTTGAGCCTTGGTCGAGCAAACGGGCTGACATCCTTGCTCGGTACACAACAAATGAAAAGCTTTCCATTGTGAGTGAACGTTTGGTTATTTTTCAAGAGGAAAGGTGGGATATAAATGCAGTAATAATAATAATAATAATAATAATAATAATAATAATAATATCAACAAAGTAGGAAAGTAGGTCCAGTCTTTTTGGGTGTGCAAGCACGTACAATAAATTTTGTTTTAGCATAGCAGATGTTTGTAATGTTCATTTTTAAGCCATTGAGAGAACAGCATAGCATCCTTCTAAATTGTTGTGCATATTTATTCCTAAAGACACTTAAAAATTAGTGCATGGGAGGGTAGGATGGGCATGGAAATAGCAGTGTAACCATGCCTACTCAGAAGGAAGCCCCATTGGATTCAGTTGGGCAGTAAGTGGGTTTGGGATTGCATCCTAAAGCAGCACGACTGAACTTAGCGTTGTATCCAGTGATAGTCATATAGAGAGCAGACCCATTAAAAGGAACAGACATGACCCAGAGCTCATCCATATTTACCTTTTGACCTGACAAAAGCCTTCATCCCATATGTCTTTTATCATGGTTACCATAAAACCACACTTTTACATCTGAAACAATGTGTTGCCTGAGCTTGAGAGTCTCAGGACTGTTCCTCGGGCAGGATGTTAAACACAATATCCCTCTTATCCCTAAATATTTTTTTAAAAAAGTTTAACATCCTACTCTTAAGAACTCTTAACAAATTTTAATTACAACCTATCATGGTTCACATTGTTCTGGCTTTTTGTTATACCACTACACCTGTCAGCTGTTGGGAATTATTGCTTTTGAAAACAAATGTTTTGTTTCATTGCAGAACTTGTGTATGGGATCTGAAAAAGGTACGTGGTGACTTTAATATGTAGCACTGTGGAAGGGGGAAAAATGTTTTAAACATGTCACAGAATTGTTTTCTATTTTCCTACTTGCTTATAGGAATATTGAAATTGCCACATAAATATTCCACAGCACAAGGTTACGAGAAAAGCTGGAAATTAGGTGCAAAATATCTCAATAATCTAACTGTGAAACATGAAGTTTCAGTAGCCATCGTCCTGTTTAAAGACGGGTTAATTTAGGTTAGTGTTGCTCCAATTGGTGGTCTGTGGACTGGTACCAGTCCACGAGCAATCAGCTGCAGGACCCTAGCAACTCCACCACAGTCCAGGTTGGGTAGGATCCCTTAGGGACCAAGCATGGTATGGTCCCTGGTATTTTGGGGCAGAAAATTGCCAGCCCATCACATCAGATAGCTTGAGAAGCACTGATTTAGGCATTATGTAGTGGCGCTGTGGGTTAAACCACAGAGCCTAGGACTTGCTGATCAGAATGTTGGTGGTTCAAATCCCCGTGACGGGGTGAGCTCCCGTTGCTCGGTCCCTGCTCCTGCCAACCTAGCAGTTCGAAAGAACGTCAAAGTGCAAGTAGATAAATAGGTACCGCTCCGGTGGGAAGGTAAACGGTGTTTCCGTGCGCTGCTCTGGTTCGCCAGAAGCGGCTTAGTCATGCTGGCCACATGACCCGGAAGCTGTACGCCGGCTCCCTCGGCCAATAAAGTGAGATGAGCGCCGCAACCCCAGAGTCGGTCACGACTGGACCTAATGGTCAGGGGTCCCTTTACCTTTACCTGTTAGTTACAGGTAGCGACTGATTTGCAAGGGGGTTATGTTCCAGAGCCCCACGTGTGTCGGCGGGGCCTGTGCAAGGCCGCCTCATTCTTCCTTGTTCTTTTCCCACTCCGCCCTGTTCTACCTGTTTTTGCAACCTTTTGGTTCACATCTGTGGTTGGCTCTTTTCAGAATCGCACACATACAGGATGCAACTAAAACTGTCACTGCCTGTACATCAGCCCCAAATTAGCTGCGAATCCCTCCTTCCCAAATTTATTCAGTGGCTTGTTTGGAAATGGTTTCGTAGGGTCATAGGCTTGTAGAGTTGGAAGGGATCACAAAGGTCATCTAGTCCAAACCCCCTGCAGTGAAGGAGTCTCTTGTGCAACGTGGGGCTCCAACCCACGACCCTGAGATTAAGAGTCTCATGCTTTGCCGACTGAGCTCTGTTGCAGTTTAAAGCATTCCAGTATGTGATTCCCTTCAGGAAAAGCAACAACTCCTGGATCAGCAGTTTCTGAGAAGGTGCGGACAAGGCTGGAAGAGCTGGATGATCTCGAAGAGGTGAGCGAGCGCTTTCATTTCCCTACATTTATACCCCACTACCCTGCTTTTTAAATAAAATATTCAGGGTAGCTCGCAAGACGGAACAAAATAGACTAATGAGAAAAAAACAGCAATAAAGCCAGCAGCAGTTTTCAGACTGGAAAAAAACAAGGGCAAAATACATGAAAGGATGGTAATCTAAAAATTGGTTGCTGAGATAATAATAATAATAATAATAATAATAATAATAATTTATTATTTATACCCTGCGGCTTCCAAGAGAACATTAAAATATAATAACCAATTAAACATTAAAAGCTTCCCTAAACAGGGCTGCCTTCAGATGTCTTCTAAAGTCTGGTAGTTGTTTTTCTTTTTGACATCTGGTGGGAGGGTGTTCCACAGGGCCGGTGCCTCTACCGAGAAGGCCCTCTGCCTGGTTCCCTGTAACTTAGCCTCTTGCAGCGAGGGAGCCGCCAGAAGGCCCTCGGCACTGGACCTCAGAACGATGGGGGTGGAGACGCTCCTTCAGGTATACCGGACCGAGGCTGTTTAGGGCTTTAAAGGTCAGCACCAACACTTTGAATTGTGCTCGGAAACGTACTGGGAGCCAGTGTAGGTCTTTCAAGAACGGTGTTATATGGTCTCAGCAGCCACTCCCAGTCACCAGTCTAGCTGCTGTATTCTGAATTAGTTGTAGTTTCCGGGTCACCTTCAAAGGTAGCCCCACATAGAGTACTTTGCAGTAGTCCAAGCAAGAGATAACTAAAGCATGCAGTATTCTGGAGAGACAGTCTGCGGGCAGGTAGGGTCTCAGCCTGCATACCAGATGGAGCCCTGGACACAGAATTGACCTGCGACTCATGGACATGTTTTGAGACTACAATTTCCATCATCCCTGACCACTGTTCCTGTTAGCTAGGGATGATTGGAGTTGTAGTCCCAAAACATCTGGAGGGTCGAGTTTGTCTATGCCTGCTTTAAGACCCCTCCTCCGAAGCCCTTTGATTCTGTTGGTTCATTTTATTTCCAGGTCACATTTCATGATTTTAACAATATTTATTCAAAACAAGAGCGGCAGCAGAGCCCTCCGGTGGCCCAGTGCTTGATTTCTAGTTTTTTAAAAGAAAGAAAGCAAGCGTAATAACATCAGTCTTCCCACACCAAAGTACACTGGCTTCCTGAGAAGCACAGCATTTGATGCATTGATCCTGCAATTTGTAGCGATATAAATATCAAGAGATTCTGCCGGAGGGTAAATCATGCAACCCGGTGGTGCTCTTTGACTGTAGAGGATGCTGCTGGCCTGCTTCAAAGGAGAGCCAAACGCATCCAGCTGCCCTTGAATTTCAATGATAGTTTTGTTATGTAATCTACCACTTGGCAGCTCTGCAGAAGCCAAAGGGAGAGGAGGAAGCTCTTGGAAAAAAAGAAGCTTTCCTTGTTTTTCATACTTTATAAATTCACTTGTTTTGCACACTGCTTCCTTCTTCTTTTTTCAGGGGTCACAAAAGGAGCTGTTAAACTTGACTCAGCAAGATTATACAAACCGGATCGAAGAACTCAATCAATCTTTGAAGGACGCTTGGGCCTCGGATCAAAAAGTGAAAGCTCTAAAGATAGTCATACAGGTTAGCATTACATGTCGAGCGTGTTCTGCACATCATAATGATTGGGGTTAAAGCATAGCGAAAATTGCGTGTTAAAGGTGCTGTTAATTCTGTTGGGCTCCAAAAGGACGCCTGGGAGCAGCGCTGACCCTTAGCCCTTGATCAAGATGCCCCTCTCTCTGAGCCAGACCCACCTCTTTCTTGATGGTGTTACCCTGGGGTGGACCTTGGTAATATGGCTTTGGGAAGGAGGTGCGAGGCTCTGGCAGGGTCCTTGAGCCCTCCTCCTTCCTTCCCAAAGTCTAGAAAGTGCTTGCCCAGCTTTGGGAAGGAAGTAGGAAGGCTCTAGGACCCTGTCAAAGCCCCCACAAGCAGCCACAGGAAGGAGCAGCAGCAGGGGCAGGCGCTGGGTGCCCTGCTGGTGAATGAGCCTCAGCAGATGCACAAGGATGCTAATTTGTGATGCCAGCCTCTGGGTGGCTACCAGCTGACCTGCCAGTCTCCCTTCCTCCCGTCTGCTGGTTGTTTGCCTCTTTTACTCTCCCCTCCTCTGCCTATGGCACCTTCTAGGGCAGGAGGCAGAGTGGAATTGAAAGGGCCTCTTAAGCTACACAGAAGTGGGCAGGAGAAGGAATGCTTGGAAAGGCAGTCGTTGCAATTTTTGTTTAATTCTTCATCCCTGGTTGTTGCAGCGGGAGGGTGGTCTGAGGAGGATCTTTGGGTGTGCTTGCTTTTAGTTCCATGGGGGTGCAGAGGTGGCCAACAGTTGTGAAAACCTGGAGGGGCCTGGTCCCCCTGTTTTAATTATGATTGCTTATCCTTTAGGGAGGAATGACATCTGGTAGATCTATATATCTGGAGTATATTATGGAAGAATTGTAGCTCGGGGCAGAGCACCTGCTGTGAATGCAGATGGTCCCAGTTTTAATCCCTGGCATCTCTAGGGCTAGGGGTGTCCCCTGTCTGAAACCTGCTCCCAGTCGGTGTTGACAGCACTGATCTAGATGGACCAGGGATGCGGGTGGCGCTGTGGTCTAAAACACTGAGCCTCTTGGGCTTGCCGATCAGAAGGTTGGCAGTTTGGATCCCTGCAACGAGGTGAGCTCCCGTTGCTCTATTGCAGCTCCTGCCAACCTAGCAGTTTGAAAACATGCCAGTGCAGGTAGATAAATATGTACTGCTGCGGTGGGAAGGTAAACGGCGTTTCTGTGTGCTCTGGTTTCCGTCACAGTGTTCCGTTGCACCAGAAGCGGTTTGGTCATGTTGGCCACATTACCCAGAAAGCTGTATTTGGACAAACGCCGGCTCCCTCGGCCTGAAAGCAAGATGAGCACCGCAACCCCATAGTTGCCTTTGACTGGACTTAACCATCCAGGGGTTCTTTACCTTTACCTTACCTAGAGGGACTAGTGCTCTAGCTGTATAAAGGCAGCTTCCAATGTTCATAGGTAAGACAAGCAGTACCAGTAACAGGGCCTTTTTAGTAGTAACGCCAACTTGTACAGCTAGCTCCCTGAAGCCTCCTAAGCCCACTCCTTTCGTGCTTTAAGAGAGTTAGTAAAACACTATGTTTTGGGCAACGTTTTGCTGTTTGATTTTCAGAATGATCATTGGAAGCAGCCTTAGACTACTAGATCATATATTTCCCCCATCTAGCTCAGTAGAGTCTACTCTGACTGGCAGTGCCTCTTTTAGAGCTAAAGTATAGGCCTTTCCAGGGATTGAACCTGGTAACTTCTGCATACAAAACCATGTATCGCTGTGCTGTAGCCTCTCCCTTAGTCATATGCTGTTTTGAATCCCTTTTTTGGCACTTCAAAATAATTTCCTACTGTAGATATTTTCTTTACTACGTGAACTTAGTCATTTCTTCTTTCTCTTTTCCCTCCTTAGTGTTCTAAACTTCTTTCAGACACAACGGTGATTCAGTTTTATCCAAGCAAATTCGTCTTAATAACAGACATACTTGACACATTTGGTAAGTGCAGACATCTCAAACGTCTCTCCTTTTTCAGATTGAAATTTGTAAGTGCAAACTTGGAAGACAACAAAAATCTTGCACTGGTTTGTGGCTCCTGGAAGGTAGCCTATGAAATAATTCGGCCCTTCTGCTGCATCGAAGCTTCAAGGACCTGTCTTGTTTGTGGCATCATCTTCTTTGAAATGCATTTTGTGGTGGGTTTTCCTGCCCCTCCCCAATGAACACTGGACGTTTCCCTTTCAAAGGTCTTGACCGACTGAAACTTGCTCACCTCCGTGAAATGTCTTTGTTCAGTTAGATAAAAGAGAGTACCAGATGTTCTTTCCTGGACTCAACAAACGTGACCTGAGCAACACGATCTGCCTTGGAACCTCTCATCATAGTTTTTGTGGATCCAAGCCAAAAGTAGTGTTAGCACAACATCTACAGATGTCTTGAGCCTATTTTCTGTACTGCCTGGCTGCAGCCTTGGGTACCTGACACCGATCATACCCTGATATGGAAGCAGAGCTGTTCATGTGCCACTTCACCCGTCACAAGAATGCCATCCGTGGCAACTGAGGCTGAGCTGTGCTTAACACCATTGAATCTGAGCTGACTTGGAGTTCAGACTGCAATTGGGCCTCCGCCAAGTTCCTTTACTTAGCAGAGTTTACCTTCCCCTTTTTACATGCACAGCAGATAGCTGGTTGCAGGCTTGTGTAAGCCTCTCACTATTTATACAATTCAATCTGTCTTCAGGTTGAATTGTACGTTCCTGGTAAGTTCCCTTCAATCCCTCTTAAAATAATAAAGATGCCATAATCTTATTCAAAGTCAATAAAAGAAGTTTACTTACATCGGTTCACAGTTGGATCCCTGAAGGCAGACAGTTACAAATATGTACATGTTTCCCCCCATATGGGGGAATAATTCCAGTGCTTCTGCTACATGAGAGCTAGCAGAGCAGTCCTAGCTAAAAGCTGGTCAGACAAAGAAGGAAGTGAAAAAGAGAGAGGTGTACTGCGTGACTCGTCCTTTTGTTACCTGGGCAGGTTAGATCACACACACCTTCTATCACATGCAAAGAAAGGATGCTCCAACCAGGAGGAACAGGAAGTTTTGACTGGCGGAACCAAACATTCCCTCACATGTCTTCTCTAGCATTACAAGGAATGTTGTACTTGACTGCTCCCAGTGGATTACACCCCACATTTGTCTACAGGAATACACTGGGATTGTAGCTCAGGGACAGAACACTTGCCTTGCATGCAGAATTTCTCCGCTTCAGTCCCTAGCATCTCCCGGAAGGGCTGGGAGAGAGCCCTGCCTTCTCTGAGTTTATCTCCATTCTGGGTGACATTGTGGATCTACAACAGGGGTGGGGGAACCTCCAGTTTTGTAAACAGCTTAGAGGTTTTCCTACAGTCAGTTTTGCTAAACATACAGAGAAAAATAAATGTTCCTTTCTATGTTGCGTTCAGTGAAAATGGGTGGCAAATCATTTCTTTGAAGTGGTGTTTTAAGTGCAAAAGGAAGTACTAAAGTTGCCTACTTGGCTCCACTAGATGACAGTATAATGTAACAGGAAACAGTTGCATTTGGCAAGTTGAAAACTAGAGCTGTGTGCAAACGGCCCCTCAAAATTCTCCACCCAAATTTTGCTTTTAACGTGATTTGCAATCTGGATTTAGAATAGAAGTCTTGTTGAAGACTAGATGTATTCTCTCTAGCCCGTAAATCTCAACCCATTATCTTACTGTTTATGTTCATTACATTTGTATCTTAAAATGCATAAGAATGAATAGCTTTTTTTAAAATCCTTGCAGGAAAGCTGGTGTATGAAAGAATCTTCTCCATGTGCACAGATAATCGCAGCTCCTTACCAGGTAACACTATTGCTGTGCTACTTACTTGCAGATTTAGTGTTGTGCCCAGCTAAATTTTACTCAGAGTAGAGTAGACCCATTGGAATTGGTCATATCCACTAATTCAGGTGGGTTTACGTTGAATAAAACATAACTGGCTACAACCCTTAGGTTATAATCACAGGCATATTTGTTACAGTTGAACCCCGTGAAATTTATATTTTATTGTGGTTTTATATTTGTTGCAGACCGCTTAGATGTTTTCTGTATGAGTTAGCAATATATACATACTTTTTAAAAAATAAACTAAACATACAGACTTTGGGCTCAGACTTTTAAAATCAGTATTGTTGAAAATTACACAATATGAACACGTCTATCTATTATGGATTACTGCAATGTGTTGTTTGTGGGGCTGCCCTGGAAGACTGTTTAGCAACTGCAGCTGATGCAGAATTCGACAAAAGCCGAATGTTGAGCAGAGCCAGATGGTCTGAATTCTGGCCCAATAGTGCTTGCTGGCATTTAATTTTCTGAACCCAATTGAAAGTGATGGTTTTAACCTTATAAAGCCACAGTTTGGGACCCTGTTACCTTGGAGAATGCATTTTCCCATTATTTGCCAACCAAAATAACCAGAGGCCCTTCACTGCGTTTCCTCACTGGCAGAATGCGGCAACAACGGAACATGTCTTTTCAGTACTGGCCCCGTCTGTGGAATTCTTTCTCCAGCGTGCCTTGCCTGGCACTGACAGTGACACCTTTTTGGTGCCAGGTTGAAGCCATTTTGCCCAGACATGTGAATGTTAGCTCCTCCTGCAGCAGCTGATATTTTATCTGAGTAATCCTTTGGTGATCATGCTTAAAGCTGAGGGGAAGAAGTGAATTGGCTTCTAGGGTCTGCTTACTTTCAGTGTAACTTATACTGGTTTTGTTTGTTTTTATTCTGTACTGGTGTGTGCGTGCAGGAGGTTGTCTGTGCATGAGAGGTGTGTTTCATAGAATTGTAGAGTCGAAAGGGACCCTGAGGGCCATCTAGTCTAACCCCCTGCAAAGCACATTTGCACACATGTATGCTTGTACAAGTAGTGGATGTCTCTGATCTCCTATGGTACGTGTGTGTCTTGAGAGAAGGGCCATATCTAGGTGGTAGATCAAATACTTTGTCCCAGATTCAATCCCTTCCTGGTACGGCTGAAAAAGACTCCCGTGTGAGACCTTCAAGAGATGGACCAGTGGAACGATTTGCTATAATGCAGCTGCCTTTTCTTTCTTTTAGATGCATGTAAGAGTGTGTGTGTGTGTGTACAGACACACACACACACACACACACACACAGAGGCACAAGATGCAATCCGTGTTCCTGTTTCATTTGGTATGCTCCCTTTTTTTGAGGCTAGATCGTCCTCCACCCAAAGCCTGTATAAAAAGGACGACCAAACAGTAAGAATAATAAAAACACAGGAGCCTTGAAATCCTTACAGCAATCACACTGGCATGAGAGACTCTGGCGCAGTGTGTGTAAACAGGCGCAATTTCCTGTGCGGAGCCTCTGTGCCTTGAGCAGCTGTGGGCAAAGCAAGAACATGCTCATTGGTATTTTGTTCTCATTCTTTCCATTCCAATAAAAGGAAAAAACTTCTGATTTAGCACCGGAGCCCCCCTGCCTTCAGGAAACCGAGGCTGCAGCTGAAGACTGTGCTTACCCAGATGTACCTAAGCAGGGAAGGGAGAGGGGATCATTGCAGAGGTTTCGAAAGGACACACTTTGTCTCTGATAATGAAACCAGTGTTTTATGGCCGTGCCAGTGAGGCTAGCCTGGCTTTGAAATCAGTGCAATATAATATGTTGTTATATTTTGTGGATAAGGTTGATTTTGGTACGTGTGTGCCATTTTCTGTACCTCTTTTGCAAGAAGCCGGTTTTAAATCTTGTTTTTACATCCCTAATCCAGGTCTGTTTCTTGCGCCGTCTCTCCCAACAGCTGCTGCTCACTGTCTTGTCCTTAACCGCCTTGGCAGTTAGGGCATGCTTGAACTTAAGGACTCCGGGTCCCCATCGTGCTTCGTTACGTAAAAGTCCTCAAGCGCTTAGGGGTGGGCTGTTGCCAAATGGGAGAGAATTGCAGTCTCTCTCTCTCTCTCCCCCACCCCCTTGAGTTTCTGCACAGGCTCGGCGTTTTTGAGGAGAGAACAGCACAGCAGCAGAATAATAAGCGGCAGTCCCTGCTCCAGTTCAGTTGAACGGGAACTTCTGCCGCTTCTGCTTTGTTCTGTGGCGGAAAGGTGCTCGGAAGGCAGCGATCCCCCACTGCCCCATATCAAATCACTTTGACCCACTTTGCTTCCATTGGATGAGGCCCGATTTGCTCATTTGTTAGCACAAGGTGTGTCAGCAAAAGCACCTTCTCGAAAGAAGCTCCTCCATCCCAGGCACCTGATGGCCCCAAAATGGGTCAACCAGAATGTGAAAAGACTGGCGGTGTGTCTTGCTGTTGCATAGGGAGCTGGCTTTATGCAAGGCCAAGCTGTTTACCCCTCTCTCCCAGTACTGTCCTTTTGGATTGGCAGTGGCTGTCCAGATCTTCACGTGGTTCTTCCCCTGCTCCCATCTCTGCTACGTGTTTTGTTGTTTCTTGCCTGGGAGGGAAGCCGGTATAGAACTTTAATAAAGTATCGTAACTGGGAGACGCCAGGAATCAAATCTGGGACTTTCCCCATGCAAAATGTGCGCTGATCTTTACCATTGGTCAGGCCATTGGTCCATCTTGCTCAGTATTGACTATGCCAACTTGGCAATGAATCGTAGAATTGTAGAGTTGGAAGGGACCCCGGGGGGGGGGTGTCATCCAGTCCAACCCCCTGCAATGCAGGAAGCTCAACACGCAGTTGCCCATCCAATTTGAAACCATAGTGGCTCCAGGGTTGCAGGCTGGGGTCTCTCCCAGCCCAGCTGGAGGGGTTGTGAACGGAACATGGCACTTCTTTCATTCTAAGCAGGCACTTCACCGCAGTCCGTCCACTAAGCATACTGGCTGTGGTAGGATTTGGACCCATGCTGCCGAAGAGACTGGAGCCAGAATCCAGCACCTTAGACTGCTTGAGCACACTACCAAGATAAAATATATCTTGGTAGCTGTGGTATTTGAAATGCCTGGAGCCTAAATCCAGCTCCATAGACAACTTGAGCACAGCTGCTGCTCAATTTACTCTCAGTGGTGGAATTCAAACCCATGCCTTTGACGAAGCTGCAGCCTTTATCTGTGCTTAAGACTATGGAACTTCCTTCCACAATATGTGGTGATATTCATCAACTTAGGGAGCTTGTCCTGCTTTTGGGCTTACCAGAGACTTCTTGCTGAGCACTTTGAGAAGCAGGATGGTGAATTAGATGAAAGGCCTTTGGCTTGAGCCTTCCTATATTCTTAGTGATGGTATCTTTGCAATTTCCTGAACTAATAACTGATGTTCCTAATAGTGGATCCCAGTCTGAATAGTTAACGAAATATTGCTTTTGAAATAGCATAAGGGGCCGTTTTATCCTTAAAACAACATTGCAAGGCAGGCTAGGCCAAGAGAGAGAAGAATAAAGAATTGTCCCAAGGTCTCCCAGTGAGTTTCTGGTGAAGCGGTGATTTTAACCTCGGTCTTCCCAGTCTAAGGCTTCAATCTTAACACCTAGATCAGAGCAGCAGGACTGAGTAGAGTAGTGGAGCTCCTGCTCTGTCCACATTGCTGCTGCTGAAGCGGGGGCGACAGCACAGTAGCATTGGAAGTGCCGCAGCAGAGATCATTCCATGTGTAAGCTAAGAGTTAACTCTGCTAGCGTTCAAGTAAGTTAACTGAGAAGGGAGAAATGGCTGGAGGTGTTGCTTAGCAACCGGGTACAGCAGCATGATGCCTGCTGAGGTAGCATGTGCTGTGATGGGTTCTTTCCCACTGTATCTTTAATTTTATATATCTATCCCTGCTATGTACAAGGCCTGATGTAAGAAAGACAAAACCTCTCTATTTCTTTCTCATATTATACACTGTTTTTGTCCCACAGGATTTCTTTTCTCTCTGGGCTCCGTCTATGTTGTTGAAGTGACATTGCTAACAAGCAGAACGACTGGTTTTCATGGTACAGCAGAGAGGCCTAGATTGTGCCTAAGTATCCCCTCCTATCCCAGCCACCCCCCCCCAAAAAAAAACCCGTTACAGGGATTTATGTGGCTGCTGTTGGCAGGGATACCACTGGCAGTAACTTCTGCCCATGCATTTTGTGGATACGATGGGAACCTTCACAGTAGCCGAGAGAAAACGTCACAGTATCTTATCCCCCTGCAACGTGGCAGATCAAGGATTAGGATTGATCTGCACAGTAACCGGTGCTCTAGTTTTACTCTGTTTTCACTTGGTTCTGATTGGCTGCTTTATTATTTTGTTTTCTTCCCACTCCGAGAATTTTTAGGATTGTATAAAAATAGGTAAATATATCTGTAGGATACAAATAATGTCCGGCACTGAGAACCCCACACTTGAAATTCTTACTATACTGCGAGAGAGCCCTGTCTGGCATATAAAGTCCTAATTCCCCAAGTTCAGCAAGGCAAAAATTTAAGCAGACAGCAAATTCTAAATATTGACTGTTACGTAACTGTTCCTTCTGCAGTGTCATATTGGTTTTATCTTGGATTCGTGGGCAGCAAAGTAAGGCTCGGAGCAGTTAAGTCTCTGCAAATTTTTGTACGCTGATGACCTAACATGCTTCAGGCCCGTAATGCCTGTTAGCTTTCAAGGCCCACTTTCCCCCCGCCTGCATTTTTAAACAATCTCTGTGGAGAAAATGTGAATAAACATTGTGAATGCAGCAAAGGCAGGAATGGTTGTTGCCCCAGTTATAATGTAATCCCATGCATGCTTGCTCAGAGTTAAATTCCATCTTATTCAGGGGCCTTTATTCCCAGGTAGGTAACTAGGGACATGACATACCGTACTTGTTCTTTGTATATCACTATGTACGTCAGGACTGGGGAACCTTTTGGGGGCCAAGGGCCGCATGCCTTATTGGGGGCCGCATGCCAGGGGTTGGCAGGGTCAGAGGCAGTAGTGGGTGGATCAGCAAATACAAATGTCACCTATTGTACCATGGACTAGATCCTAAACACCCACCCACCCACACACACACCTCTTGTTTTTAAAGGACATATAGGGCATGGGAGACCTGGGCTCATTCATCCACAAAGCTCACTGGGTGACTTTAGACCAGTCGCTATCTTTTTTTGCAGAATTATTTTCCATAAAGGACAGCAGAGGAGTATTTCCGGCCCAGTATGCGACAGTTTTGAAATATAATAATGAACAATTCAAACGTCTGAGGAATTATCATCTTGTGTTTATGATGCTTTGTTGGTGTTGTTGGTGGTACACGTAAATAAATGTTGTTCTCAGTAAATTAAAAAAGAAGTTGAACCCCTAGTTCAGCTGAAGAGAATTTTGAATCAGCTGATTGGTGCTGGAAGCTGATCACAGGGAGCCCTTTCGAAGTCTGTTTGCAAGAGGAAAATGCTCTGTTTGCAGGAGGTGACTTGGATTCTAATGACTTCTTTCAAAACGGAGCTTGGTTGGAGATTAAAGCAAGCCGCTTTAAAAGCACACTCCCAGCACCAGTGGGGCTCTCCATCAGTGGCAAACGCCTGGATGTTCCTTTGTAGCCACATCTGCACATGTGACGTCAGGTGTGTGGCAGGTGGCTGTTGTTTGTGGGGAGAGGCCTGGTGGGTCAATTTGGGATCTGTACCAGGTCTAATGCAGCTCATCGACTACAGAGGTTCTCCACTACTGCCCAACTCTACGTGGCAGACAGTTGTCCAGATGACCTGAAATAACCGTATTCGATTGGACTGTTGGTTGTTGCCTTCATAGCCTGCTTTTGGCCCTTAGAGGCAAAAAATAGGCCTTCCCTCGGTTCCAGCAGGGCTCTTCTTGTGTGTGATTTTTCTAATCAGTACTCTTGAGTGCCATTCCCCCCGCTCCCGAACTATGCGAATTAAATCACTGCTAATTTTATTCAGAAACGTAATAAGGAAGCAGGTTCTTAGTTTTTAATCTTCCTTTTGTCTTGTTTTATCAGATAATTTTACTCCTGAAAGTGTGGTTGATACTGCCAAAGAAACCTGTTTAAACTGGTTCTTCAAGATTGCTTCCATTCGAGAGCTCATTCCCAGATTGTATCCTTTTCCGAAGGAGACTTTAAGATGATGAAAACGTTATCTGGTTTATGCTTGAATTTCTTTAAAAAATAAATCATTGTGTTGCCTTAGGTTTCTCCACATGGAGAAAAAGAAAAGGAGTATCAAAAGACCCCTTGTAGGTATTGTCCAGGGTGCCAGCAGAGTTCACAGTTGAGGGTTGAAATGGAGACTAGATTTTGCCTATGGCTAAGGCTTACTTTTTTAAAATATGTGGTGGTTATCTTTTCAACAAGAAAGCAAGTTTAAAATTTACGTGTCACATATAACTTACATAAGAAATAGCGAGCTCTTTATCCCACGAGAATGATATGATTATTATCGGTGACTTTCTTAAGCCGTTGTGTGCGATTTTTACTCTTTATTTTGAAGTAAAAGTAAGTCGAAAAGGCTGAGCCAACTTAAATTCTACTCAAACTAGATCCAATGAAATTAGCAGAGCTGGGGGAATCATGCCTATTCATTTCAGCAGGTCTACTCTCGAGTAGGAATGGCATTGGGTACGGCCCCGGGAGCTGATTTGAAGTAGTGGTTAGAGAGTTGGGCTAAGCTGAGGAGACCTAGCTTCAAATCCCTCCTCAGCCACAAAGCTCACAGAGTGACCGGCCCAAGGTCACCCTCTCTCAGCCATGGCAGTGGCACATGTCCTCTGCAGACCTCCATACCCAGAATGCACTGGTCTGAGAAGGGTCTTCTTGGGTGCAGAGGAGGCAAGTGTAGGAGGCGATGGTTTCAGTGGGTGGTGGAGAAACCATCAGCACTGCAACTGCTAATGTAGCAGGCAAAAAAAGATGAGGAGGGATGGGTATATTGGGGTGAAGAAAAGGATGGGGGGTGGGCTATGGGAGGAAGGGAAAGAATGGGGTTGGGCAGTGGCAGAGCTGCCACCCATCTCAAGTGGTGCAATTCCCTTTCTGATTCTAGCTCGCTGTAAGTGTCCCTGGGGTCCTTTACCTGTCTCCTTAACCCAGCCCCCAGGTAAGCTGAATCAGATGGGTCTCTAGATGCTCTGTCCGCACTACTGGGACTAGATCCGCTCTAAAATATCCCCAAGTCAATAGCTGACTTCACAGAACCGTAAGACACTTTATTGTGAGGGAAGGTCTCAGACTGGGGTATGGCATTAACAGCTTCCAGCCTCTGCCTAGCTGACTCCCCCAAGAGGGGCTGGTGGCACGTTGGGTTAGTGCATCTGGCTGTTAACCAGAAGGTTGGTGGCTCGAGCCCACCCAGGGATGGCTGTGGCATAGTTGTCAACTTACAGATTTGAAAATAAGGGACCAACAGCCTCGAAAATAAGGGATCAGCAGCCAAAATAAGGGATTTTCCGGGCACAGGTATGTTCAACTTCTGAGCCCCTCCGAGCCAAAGGCAGAAAGCCCAGCCAGCAGCCAAACGAATCCTCAAGCGGTGGTTCCCACAGCGCAGCAACCTGGCAAAGGGGATGCAGCAAGGAAAACCACCGTCACCTCTCCGCTGGGAAACGCTGAGCAAAGGCGAGTCCCCAGGCAACGTGGCCGATTTGATCGGCACAAGGCATGCAAACTCCACCCCCCAGTCGTTCTTAGACTCCTTATTGGGTGAGCAACACAGCCAAGCAACACAGTTGGAGCCTCCCTCCTCCCTGGCCGGCAGGGAGGGAGGGAGAGGAGCTGCTTCCTTTGAAACCCTGGAAATTTAAGGGACATCATCAATAAGGGACAGCAGCGGGACACAGCGCTGGGATAAGGGAGTTTCCCACCAAATAAGGGACGGTTGACAGCTATGGGCTGTGGGCAGGATTCCTACACTGCAGGGGGGTTGGATTAAATGGCCCTTGGGGAAACCTTCCAACAGTACAATTCTGTGATTCTGTGACCAGCATATGGCATTGTAGTCCGGCTGAGAGAACCAAGGTAGCAATATCAGTGAGACAGGTATAGGTTCAGAATTCCCTTGGCTCATAATACTGCAAAAAAATGTAAGTTTATTAATCAAAGAGAAGGAGTATAGGTCTGCAGTCAATGAAAGAAACATCAGGTGTTAGTTGTACTGTAGCTCCTAAGACATTATTTCCCTAGATAATAGATAATGTGTCACCTGAACCTGTGGCCAAATTTAACGATGATTGATTGAAACAAGCTAACTTCAAACCATAGTTTTAAGAAGCTGATTTGTCGAAGCAAGCTATAATTAAGACGAATCACTGTTATAGTTCAGAGGCAACGCAACACTAAACTGAAGTTCATAAAAAGTGAAAGCAGAATCTTTGTTCTTCTCTGTCCATCACAGTAGAGGAGGAAAGGGGAGTTCAAAGCTCTTTGAAGTTTGCCTATGTTATGTTAAACCATGGTTTAGTTTTACACAGGGTCTCTGTGCCTTGGATAATCCCAATGACTTTACTGTTTTGAACTTTCCCCCCTTGACACTTTATTCCAGTTATGTGGAAGCAGCAATACTGAAGTGCAACAAATTTCTTTCCAAAACGTAAGGCTAATAATATTTGGTGAATATTTGATAAATGTAGGGGGGGTATGGAAATTAATTATACCCAGAGATTTTTCTAGCTTCTACCAATGACTTGATTGAATACTGGTGGTGTCTTTTGAATTAAAAGTAGAAAAAAGATTCCTGGGATATGTTGGATGTTGGCCTTGGGCATGTCTGGGGGGATTTCTGACTCTGTCTCCCCCTCCCTGCCCTTTCAACACAGGATGCCCAAGCCATAACACAAGCTGCTGTTCTAAGCTATCTCCATTTCAAAAACGGTTTGCCAATCATAAAAACCCCCTACTTTCTCAAATCTTCTTTACAGAGGAATTTCTGAATGTCTCCCACGGCTGACCTCCATGATCCGAGGAATAGGAGATCCTTTGGTTGCTGTCTATGCTAGGGCGTATCTCTGCAGAGTAAGATTTTCTTCTTTAAAATGCAGTTTTGTTGGTTCCGTGAAACGTTGATTCGACTAGTTGGTGTCATTTGTTTGCTTTAGTTCTTAAAATATTTATAAACCGCCCTCATAAGGTAGCATGCAAAATAACTGAACAATTAAGTATGACACTATGCAAACAATTATAATGTTTAAAGTGCACATCATATCCCTTAAATTGAGCATTAAAATTTCATTAAGTTACAATAATTAAGAAAAAGCAGGTTTGAAATAAAAAGGTATTGTGAGTCCTTTTGAAAGATGGGACCATTCATTCTTCCTGGGGGAGAATAGTCCATTGATATGGGGTCACCACTGAAAAGGACCTGTCCATAATACCAATTGACCTAGTATCTCTTATTGACAGACTAGAGAGGACCTTGGAGAGTTGATCTTAGATAATCTGGCAGACTCAGCAGAATGCCTCCAGACCAATCAGTTTTGTTGCAGTTTTCTGTAGACTAGGAAATAGCCAACTTCCTATTTCTAGGAAATATTACACTGGCTATATATTGCATTCTTCCGCTTTCTTACAGTGCACTCACCTTGCACCATATGATTACTTCCTTGTCTGAATACTCATCTAATTTTCCTTGTGTGCCATTTTTAAGTGGATCCCCCCACCCAAATCTTGCAATAGGTATATGAATATACATGATTGTGTTGCAGCAGAAGAGACAAAGACTAGGCTTAATTTATGTGGCTCTTTGAATGTAGGTTGGGATGGAAGTAGCTCCTCATCTGAAAGAGAACCTCAACAAGAACTTTTTTGACTTCCTCCTGACTTTTAAGCAAGTAAGTAAGAGATTCTGTAAACATTGGGAGTGTTTTTCGTGTGCGCTTGCTCACTTAGCCCAGATGTGGACAGGATACGGCTTGCAAGCTGGAACCTTGCTTCCCCCACCCTGCTGTGGGCCAGCTTTAACAGACGGACAGGGCTGCCCTCTTGTCAGTCACATGACGTCACTCACATGACATCATTTTGACATCAGTTGACAACTTGAAAAGGATTCACTGAGCCTCTTCAAGAACCCTGCGTGTGAAGGAACAATCGGGAAATGCACTTTCAGCTCCCAGTAGTTCCCTTGTGGCAGCATTGTTACCTACCCACACCTGTTTTCACATAGGACATCAGGTGTGGGACAGGTGGGTGTAATTTGGTGAAAGCAGCTGGGTAGGGGATTGAGGAGCAAGTAATCTAGTATTGTGTGATCTGGGAGTTCTCATAGCTGTTTGGTTTTCAGATATTCCCCATTCAGAAAGCGTTTCTGCTAATTTCCACTAATTCCCTTCCCCTTAAGCCACCCCAAACACTGGGTTAGAATAGGTTATGGTGCAGGTGGCTGTAGTAGCTAACAACAACAACAACAACAACAACAACAACAACAACAACAACAACAACAATTTATTTCTACCCTGCCCATCTGGCTGGGTTGCCCCAGCCACTCTGGGTGGCTCCCAACAGAATATTAAAAACCCAATAAAATATCAAACATTAAAAACTTCCCTAAACAGGGTTGCCTTCAGATGTCTTATAAAAGTCAGATAGTTGTTTATTTCCTTGACATCTGATGGGAGGGCATTCCACAGGGTGGGCGCCACTACTTAGAAGGCCCTCTGCCTGGTTCCCTGTAATGTCGCTTCTAGCAGTGAGGGAACTGCCAGAAGACCCTCTGAGCTGGACCTCAGTGTCCGAGTTGAACGCTGGGGGTGGAGATGCTCCTTCAGTGGCAGGGGTTTGTGTGCGTGTAGGTGAAAATCAGGCGTCCCAACATGCACAAGTGAAAGCAATTTCTGTTAAAACAATCCCATCATTGGATGCAATCCTGGGGTTCTACAATTTTCCTTGAAGTCAGTGTTGAATGTTTTGACTCCTTAATGAATGCACAGTATTATTTCTTCCTACCCCCATCATGATTTATCTTTTATATTTTTAACAGATTCATGGGGATACAGTTCAGAATCAGTTGGTGGTGCAGTGTGTAGAGATCCCATTATATCTAACCCTTTATTCTCCTGCAATAGATTGGATTCTACAGTGCATCTCTTACCGGGCTGCAGAGGTAAAGATCTCTCTTTGACTGTGGAAAGATTTTAACGTTTAACCAGAACAGAGGCCTAGTACCACATTTGAACTTTGTATAAATGGAAAACGCTCTGATATCTGAATCTGTTGCTTCTTCCGTGTCAGTCCAAGAAAGTGGAACTAAATCAGTGAAGTTTTCAGGTTACATAGGTGGCACCATTAGCAGGTAGAGTTCTAGTGCTGTGAATAATATGTATTGATCTGGCTTGTTCTGTTCTTAAAGCTAGCTACTATCTACCACCCATGAATGTGCAGGCAAAGCTTTGTTAATGCTGTTGTTGATTAGAAAGAGCCACTAAATGTAAAATTGAAATGTGGCTTAAGAGGCACATGATTTTGTGGAATTGTTTTTAAAGTGAGAGGTCTTTGAAGAATTATTTCAAAGCACCTGGAGGCTGAATGTGATAGTTCCGCACATGAGTGCAAGATAAGTGCCAGCTTTGACAACAAGGCTTATAAATGTTGATGGAAAATTTGTAGCCTCTAAATTTCTGATGCATTTCTAGAATTTGAGGCTGCTGCTCTGCAAAATAGTTTCTGTTCCCACAAATCAGTGGCCTGACCTGGATGATCTAGTTACTGTCAATTTAGCAAAGACAGACCATAGACTTCTGAACTGAAGAATGTTTGACCAATCCTTCCTGTGCCAAATTTGCAAATTTGACAAAGAAAAATGGACACATACAAACACCCATGAATGCAAAAGAAATATTATAATAATACTGTAGTAATAATAATAATAATAATACCCCAGTCAGCAAACATTAAGGATGCAGTAAACATCAGTTAAATATATAAATTAATATAAACTCTCTAGTTGTCCAATAGGCATCCACACAAAATTTGCATCCAGCTTGGAGGATGATATATATTTATAGACTCTCCTTTCCCCTTCTTGCCGACCAGCGTTAAAAAGAGGATTTGGACAAAGGTTACATCCACATCATACAGGTAAAAAAACAAACCCTCTTATACAGTCACGGACAATCCTGGGAACTGTAGTTTATTAAGGGTGCTGGGAATTATAGCTCTGTGAGGTGAAAACCCTTAACAGACTACTGTGCCCAGGATTCTTTTGAGGGAAGCCACAACTGTTAAAAGTGGTAGAATTATACTTTAAATATATGGTATGGATGTGACCTTAATCTCATGGATTTCAGCGGAAAGTAGTGTGCTCAGGATTGGAACATAAGCACCTACAGAAATAAACCAACATTCTTACAACAGTGTACTTATTAGTGGAAGGGCCCTGGCTCAGTGGTCGAACATCTGCATTCAGAAGGTCCTGGCATCTCCATGTAGGGCTGGGAATGTCCCTAATCTGAAATCCTGTAGAGCTGCTGCCAGTCAGCGCAGGATTTCAGTTTAATAATCTTAACACAGAACCTCTACTAAACCAGTAGTCATAATGCATCATTTGTGTTGATTTTTTTTTTTTTTACAGCTCAGCATGTTCTCTGGCAGAAACCAAGGAAACTTGTTATCCTACTTTTTGATCTTGCCAGTGTTGTTCTTCACACTACTTTCTCACCTTGGTCATGCAAATTACACTTCCTTTTATTTTTAAACTCCTATCAGCATAGCGGTTATAACTTTTCTCAAAACAGTCTTAAGCAAGAATTCAATTCCTCGTGAGCTTTTACGCCATGTGCCAACATTAAAAAACAACAAGCCAGTGGCAATGCAGCCATGTGGAAATACGAAATCTTTCACAGACTTAGACTTTGCCTCTTTGTTTTTTCACCACATTTCCCTCCCGCCTTAAATCAGATGCTTTGCAAAGAAACCTGTTTTCTTCTTCTTCCCACTGCAAAAGAATAGGACCATGGCTACTGGGAGACCATCCTTTTGTTAAGCTGATAGCAAGGGGTGATCGATTTGATGTTCCCTGAATGGGAGCGGACAACTGGAAATCTCTGTCCTCTGTCTTTCGGAAGGCAGATGCCCTTTAGCTAATGAGAGGGGTAGGGTAACTATGTGTGACAGAATGAAATCAGTTTCTGGATGGATAGTCAGTGAGAGCTGTGATTTAGGAACATGGGAAGCTGCCTGACACTGGTGTATGGCAGCAGGGTGGGTGGCTGCTGTCCGTTGATATGATGGGGCGGGTGGAGGATGGAAGGCAAGGAGACCAACTCTAGGTGGAGCCAGAGGCAATAATAGAAAAGGATGGAGCAGTGGTAAAGGTAAAGGGACCCCTGACCATTAGGTCCAGTCGTGGCCAACTCTGGGGTTGCGGTGCTCATCTCGCTTTATTGGCCGAGGTAGCCGGCGTACAGCTTCCAGGTCATGTGGCCAGCATGACTAAGCCGCTTCTGGCGAACCAGAGCAGCGCATGGAAACACTGTTTACCTTCCCGCCGGAGCAGTACCTATTTATCTACTTGCACTTTGACGTGCTTTCAAACTGCTAGGTTGGCAGGAGCAGGGACCGAGCAACGGGAGCTCACCCCGTCGCGGGGATTCAAACCGCCGACCTTCTGATCGGCAAGTCCTAGGCTCTGTGGTTTAACCCACAGCGCCACCTACGTCCCCCTGGAGCAATGATAGGTGGAGCCAAATAATTGATTTCGTCTCTGTCCTCCTAAAAATCAGGAAAATTCTCTTAAGAGTCATTCTTTCGATTAAAATGTCATAGGTTTGAGAGAGTTCCTTTAGTCTGTTAAGTAGCAAAGGGTCACCAATGCAGACCACAAAATGATGCTATCTGGACCCGGGACCTGTGCAGCTGAACTCTTATAGGTTCTTCCACACAACCAGGGATCCTCATCATGTTGGGCTGCTTATTAGAAGCCTGTGTATGTTCATCTGGTCAGCCAGATTGAATGTAGTTTCCCTCTTCAGAGTTTTTGTTCAATAGTCAAAGGCCTAATGGTGCCCACTAACTTAGATGGCAGTGGTCCAGGGTAACACCCGTATAGAGGTAGTGCTATCATCTGATCTGACCTGGAGCAAATATGCTTACTTGCTTCATGTTCAAAAACAAAATGGCTGAGAGATTTGGAAGCAGAATCTCCCACAAAGGAAATATTGGCGAACTGCACCTCCTTCACTTTCCCATTGCAGGGTCACAATTGGATATGTCTGTGTCATTTGAAGTTTTGGTAATGAAAGATATGGTTGAGTTGGTTTTTTTTATGTTCTGATAATGACTGTTTTGGTTGGGTGCTTATTTTTTTCATTCTCATGAACTTATCTTTGGTAGGTTTTGCTGACGGAAATGATGGAAAGGTGTAAGAAGCTAGGCAACAAGTAAGTAGTGTGCTTGCAAGGCTTTTTTTGGGAACTCTGAAGGGTCCTGATCCTTACTTAAATCTACAGGAGTCCTACTGGAAGGGGCTTCATTCTGGAGCCCAGTGGAGGGGGGGAAGACTTGCTCCTTGTCCCACAATGGAGGTGGGACAAGTTTATTCAAAACATTCCTTTTTCTTTTTCCATTGGTAGCTGGATGTTGCTGTTGAGTCCTGTGGTGGGGTTAGGGAAGTCCTCTATGCGGAGAAGAGTGTGGATGTGTTTATATAAAAACCTGTCATGGCAGATCAAGTTGATGGACTATGTTGAAATGGCAAAAATGACCCGAAGAATCAGAAATCAAGAGGACCAGAATTTTAATAAGGAATGGGGAAAATTTATAATCTATCTTAATAACCATTGTAAACAGCTAAAAATGTTAGTGGGATTGGAATAACACTTGTAGTTTAATAGTGAATTTTGGACATAATGGAGATGCAAAAGATTTGGATTTTTATAAAATATTCAGGAGAAAAGGACTGGCAATAGGACCCACAAAAGGGAGGAGGGAAGTCCAGGAGATTCCTTGTTGATACGTTATTGTAAAATTTTAATTTGAAAAACCCAAATAAACAAATTTACACACACACACACACACACACACACACACACCAGTCAACAAACTCTGTCTGTGGTCAACCTCCTTCAGCTGGGACCTTTTGAAGGATTCGCCTTTTGTGAACATTTGTGAACGTTACAAAGGTGCCTTTGTGTTACTCCATTTGTCAGTCTTTCCCAGCCGTGCCTACTCTGATGGGCAGAAGCTCACAAAACACCTTCCTCAGATCTCCTTTAGTGGGCGCTTATTTATTCATTTGTTACATTCACTTGTCCCTTACTGGGGGGAGGGGGGTGGAAGTCTCAAAACAACAGGCCATTATTATTTTAAAAAAGCATACAGTACTGAATCTTAAATGCATCAGAAGATAAAAAATATTAACGAAAAGGGCTCATCCTGCTATAGCATAACAAGGACATGTTCCATCCCCACCCAAAAGACGAGCACCAGTTAAGGGCAAAATGCACAGGTGAATAGGAACGTGTTCACCTGGCACCTAACAGTGGTGTCCAGATCTCCAGCAAACAGCTCAGAGCCTTGAACTCGTTTCAGCTCCTTAGCTGGTATCTCATCAGCTTCCATCTCTGTGTCTGGATAGTTGCCCGAGTCAGAGGTCATGACGGCACCCAACTGCTCTGTATACAATGTCTTAAAAACCAAATGAAACCCCTAATACAAGCACTTTTCATTTAAAGAAAAGGAGCGGAAAGGGACAGGAAACTCAGGACCCACTGCCCGCCAGCCAGGTTTAACGTTCTCTGAAAAGGAACTAGCAAAGTGTCTGTGGCCACAGTGACATAGATTTTTAAAAAATAAAAAGTAGCCAACTCGGATCATGAAGTGGAAGAGGCAAGGCAGTATCTGGAAAGGAGGCAACAGAACAAGACTTCTGCTAAGATCTATTGTGGAAGTGTTTTTATCCCTACTTTCCCCCCAATCTGTGATGATAGATTAAATCTTTATTCCTACTTTCCCCCCAATCTTTACTGCTTTTATGCATGGGAGGGAAATAACAGTCATAGGATGCAGTGAATTCTCCTTGTGCAATTATTGGTTGTTTTTTGCAACAGTCCTGCTAGTCTGGGTGTGCCCTAATGTAAAGAATAAAATTAAAGTCCTTTTCGTTTCCTTTTATATCTTGTCTTAATCTGGATGTTTCTTCTAGTGCCTTGCTGTTGAATTCAGTCATGTCCGCCTTCAGAGCCGAATTTATTGCTGCCAGGTCTATGGATTTTATTGGCATGATTAAGGAGTGTGACGAATCTGGCTTCCCTAAGGTAACGTTCCTCCCCTCCCCTCTTGCTGTGCACCTTCTCCGCTTACGTCAGTGTCATGCTTTATAGTTGCCGGGATAACTTTGCAATAGATAAATATTTTTGTATGACACTTAATTGCTGCCAGATATCATGGAAATGGTGTCGTTTGGCCATGAGGTCCGAGTCTGTGGTCCTCCAGATCATCTAATAATTTCTGAAAGTTGGCCATATTTGTTGTGGTTGATGAGGGGATCACAGATTTCCTTGCCCCTCATCTAGGCAATAGTGCAAGGAGGTCACATAAGTGCAAAGAGCACTTATTTGGATCATACATCTGTTTAACACCCCTTTTCTTTTGCCAGTGGCTGTCTTTTGTCTTGGGAGCTAACTGATTTGCAGAAGAGATGTAATATTTTAGTCAGTTTGTAGATTCAAACATATCTTGAGCAACTAAAATACTGTTTCTGATTACCATATTTTTTGCACCATAACACTCACTTTTTTCCTCCTAGAAAGTAAGGGGAAATGTCTGTGCGTGTTATGGAGGGAATGCCTACGGGTGGCATGCCTACAGATTTTCCTCCTCTAAAAACTACGTGCGTGTTATGGTCGGGTGCGTGTTATAGAGCGAAAAATACGGTAATTGTACAGCAGATAATAAAATCTGCAGGTGGCAAATGCCATCTTAGAAGAGGTACCTCCACTTCCTGCTCAAACAGGAGGAATTCCTCTCCTAAAAAACACTTCATCTAAAACAATGCTTCATCTAAAAAAAGAAGGAACGGGGGGGGGGTGCTTTTTGGCTTTGATGCAGAAGAATTGCCTTTGATGCAGAATTAATTTTTAAAAAATCTCATAGGCTAAGTTTTGTCCCATTTATTTCAGTGCGACCAGTCAGCCGTGGCTAAGTTCAACTAAGTGGCTGGATCCAACCATAGGATTTCAGTTTTAGATTCCTGTAACCTCAGGCACTGGGGATGATCTCGTTTCCCCTATGTCTTTCTCTTCCGCACCCCAAAATCATTTTATAGCAAGCTGTGCTACGGTTAAATTGAATGGAAAGCCCTAATGTGTGGATGTGGGTGGCACCAGTGGTCCTCCAGATGTTGTTGAATTCCAGCTCCCATCATCCCCAGTCCTCAAGGATCACATTGGGTGCATCATCCCTGAACTAACAGATATGGTTGAATGGACACTCTCATATTTTCACAGCACCTTCTCTTTCGTTCTTTGGGGAGAAACTTGGCCTTAGCTGATCCTCCAGAAGGAGATCGACTTCAGATCTTAAATGAAGCCTGGAAGGTTATCACAAAGTTAAAGAGCCCACAGGTGGGTTGTTGGTAGGATATGAGTTGGGCACAGCTGTAGCCATGTACTGTTGTAATAAGTATTTTGCAAGTTCTGCACGTTCCATCGTGGGAGTATTACCTGGCCCAGGAGCTCCCAAACTATGGACCACCAGTAGTCTGTGAGCTTTATTCCGGTCGTCTGTGGTGTGTCTGAAGAATAGTGGGAGCAGGAACTATGAATGGTAGGAGCAGCTTATGAAATATAAGTACTGACTGTTGCTATTGTCGCTTTGCTGTATTTTGTTACTTATCTTAGATTATATTGTACCCTGTTGAATTCAATTGTAATACAATGTGAGAAATAAGAGAAGGAATAAAAAATGCAATTACAAATTGTACAGCAACAAGTACAGTGCATTACAATTGTTACAACAGGCAGGGAAATTGCAAAGTGGACCTCCCAGTTTTCAAGCAGTCCCTGAGTAAAAATGTTTGGGGACCACTGAACTAGCCAGATTCTCCTTCCAGTATTTCAATAATTTGTTTCAAGAACAGAGCAATATAAGAACTACATTTCAGATACATTAAAGGTTTTTTTAAAAAATAATTCAGCAAGCTGATTATTTTATCGTTGGGGACTGATTGTAGTAGTGTGTTTAGGATGGGGTGTGGAGCTTGCTTTAAAAGCTCTCTAAATACAATATGATATGCTGCTTTTAAACCATAATGTCCATTCATTGATTTTTAGGATTATATCAACTGTGCAGAAATCTGGGTGGAATATACCTGTAGACACTTCACGGTATGTGTAGATTTAAGAATGTATATGTTTTTGTTTTTAGAGTATTTGTATATCTTTCTTGTATAAGGAGAGTACAGTAGTATCTTGGAAGTTGAACGGAACCTGTTCCGGAAGTCCATTCAACTTCCGAAATGTTCGGAAAGCAAGGCGTGGTTTCCAATTGGCTGCAGGAAGCTCCTGCAGCCAACCAGGAGCTGTGGAACCCACATCAGACGTTTGGGTTCCAAAGAACGTTCACAAACCAGTTTGTGGCATTCAGGAGCCAAAACGTTCGATTCGCAAGGCATTCAACGTCCGAGGTATGACTGTAGTTTTAGCTTTTACGTCCTTAAGGCTCCTGTGATTTAACAAGAGAGTGTTATGAAACTTCTGGCATTAAAAGATGTTGAAGTTTATTATATTGAAGATTGGACTAGATGATCCTCAGGGTCCAACTCTACAAGTCTATGATTCTATGATAAAGGGATCTTTTTCTTACTTAGTGCCGTACAGTGGAGCCCTTGTTTGTGTTGGAGTCAGAGATTCATGCGCACTCTCTCTAGATCTTTATGATCTAACCATTTGGCTGTAGCCCAGTTCCTCTTTGTGATGATGACAGCAGGCTGCTGGACACCGAGATAATTCTTAAGCGTGGTGCTAAGTGCTCATTTAGTGTCCCACTTCATATGATGCTGTAATGCTACCTTACGCAGCCCTTCCCTTTTTATACCTGAGTAACAGGAGACGTAGACTGCAGGGTTTTAGCAGACCATTGCAGCAGCACACAGAGTCCCCTCAAACAAACTCTTATCTCTGTGTACCTGCATTTTGTTGGTGTTATGGATTATGATTAAAGCTCAAATTAATTCTAGCTCATTGACCTTAAATAACAACAATTTCTCTGGATTCCAAAAGCATCCCAATACTTGGACTAGCAGTATAAGACTAAGACTTCTAGTTGCTTAGCTTGGTAATGTAATTGTCTTTGTTTTGTATGGTTTTGATAAGTTGAATTCATGACTATTTCACTACTGTTCCCTTATGGCATTTAACTTGCCCTTTTCAGAAGCGTGAGGTCAATACAGTTTTGGCGGATGTCATCAAACACATGACTCCGGATCGGGCATTTGAAGAGGCCTACCCCCAGGTAAATGAAGAGTGCAACCATGAGAAAAGAAAACAAAGAATTTTGTTCAGACTAAAATGTACAGTGGGAGTTGTATCCAATGCTGGTTCTGCTCAGACGAGAGCCATTGGCATTACTTGAAATGTCTGACTTAGATTTATTAATTTCAGTGGCTCAACTTTGAGCAGGACTGTTATTTGAGAATTCTGGCTAATGTTTGATGCAAGTAAATGAAAGGTGTGTATCTGATTTAATAGGTAACTGTGAACCATGTAAGGCCAATGAGCTAAATTGAGCCCAGAGCAAATATAGAGGTAGGAGACCTGTTGATAGTCTTCAGTTGTTTTAAATGATGTCAGCAAGAAGAGGAAAGCTTATTGTTCATGATTGATAAAAGACTGAATAAGAAGCAGTGGGATGTATCCAACTAAGTTATACTCAGAGTAAACCCAATGGAATCTTACGAACCTGTGTTCATCATATCCATTAATTTCAATGAGTCTTTGAGTAGCAGTGGATACAGTCCCATGGATTTAAATGAAAGGGTAAAAGTTGGCATGAGGCTGTTGTGGGGAACCTTTGGCTCTCCAGATATCTATCTATCATCTATCTATCTATCTATCTATCTATCATCTCAGGCATGGCCAAACTTGGGACTACAATTTTGGGACTGCAATTTTTGGGACTACAATTCCCATCATCCCTGACCACTGGTCCTGTTAGCTAGGGATGATGGGAGTTGTAGTCCCAAGTTTGGCCATGCCTGAGATGATAGATAGATAGATAGATCTCTCTCTCTCCATCTATCCTACAATTCCCATCTCCCCTGGCCATTGGCCATACTTACTGGGGCTGAATAGAGTTGTAGTTCAACATCTGGATAGCCAAAGGTTCCCCACACTTGACAAAACAGGAACTTTCTTTACTGTGTGTGTCTTTTTTCTCCTGCTTCTTGCTCTTTAGCTCCAGTCAATAATTCAGAAGGTTATCACCTATTTCCATGACTTCGCCGTTCTCTTTTCATTGGTAAGTTTCCACACAGCTACTAGGACCACAAATCCATACAAACCTCCATCTTCTCTTGTCGGTCATTCCAGAAGAATTTGAGGGGAGCTAGAAGGCAGAGGAGCGAAAGCTGTGCCAGAACTGGAATAATGGGAATTTGGCTGATCTGGGTCTTCCTGTCCTCCCCATCCTTAGCTATAAATTACTCTTGTCATCTGCTCACCCCATTCTCATTATGCAGTCATTGGGAGAGCCCAACGAACCTGGCATATGGGCAAAAGCCAGACCCAAACCAAGACTGGCTTTGTTTTGCTTTTCTATCCTGCTCCACAGCCACAAAGGCTTCTCAAAATAGTTTATGACTTCCTTAAACAACGGTTCTGACTCCTTCTGTCCAACACCTTGTCCCTTGCCTGTTTGTCCCCAATGTCTTACGGCTCCCCAGCCATTTTGTAGCTGGCAGAGGCTGTAGCTCAGTGTTAGCATGCATGCCTGGACTCCCAGGGCACTTATTCCCAACCATAGTTGCATGCCCCCCAAGATGAAGCAAGGTATTCTGCAAATATAGGCTAGCTCAAGCTGTAAGTACCTAAACTTGGTGGTATTTCTGTTGACTTTTTAGGAGAAATTCTTACCATTCTTGGATATGTTCCAGAAAGAAAGTGTGAGAGTGGAGGTTTGTAAGTGCATCATGGAAGCTTTTATTAAGTAAGTATAAAGTATTCTGATTAAGTGCACTCTAGAGACTCTAGACCATCTATTGAAGGGTTGTTAAGGGCGACAGAGTGAATTGGTCTGCAGTCCATTTGGCATTGGAAATGTATTTCTGCTGACACTAAAGATTAGTCTAAAAAGAGCATTTAACTACAATATAATTCCTATTGATGTTTATATAAATAGCTTATTATGAAACGAACTGCATTAGGGTAGTCTTGCTATGTTTTAAAGTATGTTTTGCAGTTAGACATGCTGGATTCAAGGCAGCAGTGTATTTGAATGTGAGCAAACAGATCTGGAAGGGCAGACAGAAATGCAAGGCCCTGTTGTCTGAATGCACATTTGCTGCAAAGCTGATACTCAGGCAGTTATGGAGGGTGGTTCCCATTTTCCTGTGGCTTGAATAGATATGTGTGCCATGCTTTATGTACTTGTGTGTTAAATACAGACACTTCAGAGTTAGGTCATACCTAAAGCACATTTAACACATATTTTAGGCACATGGCTTCCTCCAGAGATTCTTGGGAACTGTGGCTTACTCACAGAACTACAATTCCCAGCACCCTTAGCAGTTCCCAGGATTCTTTGGGGGAAGCCATGTGTGTTTCATGTGCTTTAAATGTGGGTGTGACCCCTGTGCTCCTAAAATAAAAGCTTTGATGCATTTTCTGCTTATTAGTGTCACAGATTAAATAATAGAAGAAAACCCATATTGCTAGTTTTCAGATGGTACTGGTATATATTGTAGCTGATAACCATCTTAGAAGAGACATTCCTCTATCTGTGAAAGTGAAGAGGGAAATGATCCTTTTCAGAGGCTGCCTGCCATCTTGGAGGCTTTGTCACTCCTTACAATAGCAAACTCGCCAACAGAAATGGAGCCAAAACAGGTTCCACCTAGAAAGAAGCGGGAGAGGTATCCAACATGCTTGGGAGAATCCCAGGGTTTTCGGAAGTATGAAAATAGAAACCAACCAAAAAACCCAAGGGAGACCCTACTCGCTGCCCAGTTATGAATGAGCATGTGCATTTGCCATGGAATGTTGACTGTCATTTGGAAAAGAAAAGGGAAATGCAAGTCAGTGGGGAGGAAGAGGGATGAATGGATGGAACTCTGAACAAGCACTCTCCTTTTAGGAAGGGAGAGTGCATTGCAGTATTTCTGTGTGGATTCCGCTTGTTTATATTCTTACAAAACCTGTTTCCTGGTTAATTGGTGATGCCTCTTCAAGTTGGTTTTTAAAAAGGATATTAATCTATTAATTCATTTTGGAAGGCTGAAGCCTTTCTGCTGCTAGATTTGTCGCTCATTGTGCAGCAGCTTGAATAGGTTGAAGGTGATACTTTGCCATATGCTTCTCTGCTTCACTGACAGCTGCTGTGATAGCAGGATGCAAACACGTGAGCATCTGGGCCTTACAGGCTCCACTGCAGAAAAGTCAGCACTTTAAATTAAAACGAAATCAAAATAGTTTCTTTTTCAGTGCTGAATGCATTCTTTCTCAAAGGGGCTTTAATTTCCTTTTTATCGCCTTGTGATATTTAGACTGCAGGTTCACATTGTTAAGTGGTGACAACTGAGTCTTGAGAAAACACTTCGCAGAAATGTTAACTGGAGGCTTTTGTTTTAATTTCCTCAATCCATTATAAAGAGCACAGTGTTGTATCTCATTGATTCGTGCGGTAGTGTGTCAGTTCAGGAGTGATGGATGATAAAACTCTCACATGCACTTTTGATTGGCTTGGCACTATAAATTATTGTAAATAAAAGTACTAGCCTGTGCTGGCAGGAAGCGCCCTCCACACCCGTACGAGAAGCACATTTTAGCAAGAACAAGTGATCTAGTCTGTGTTCTATTTTCTCTTCCCTGTCCCCGTTGTGACAGTTTATTCTTTGCAACACTTTTTTTCCTAATCTTAATGTTGGCTTGCAGTTCCGTCATCTTTGCCTTTAGCATCATATTGTTGGTTCATTTTGGACATCTCAACCAAAAGAGCAACAAAACTGGGTCTCAGGATCAGTCTCTTAGGTTTTTGCATGATTGTTTATAAGCTACTGGCCAGACTCTGGATTTCATAGAGCAGTCTGTGTTTCTTCCTAGGAGGTGCCTGTCATGTAAGGCAGGCTGAATTTTCTCTTCTTCTCCCCATTCAGGTTCTCTACTGATCTCCCGCTGAGACCTGGCTTTTTATGCAATAGGGGGCCTGTTGACCTCATCCAGTTTCCTTTTTTCTTAGAAGCTGGATGTCTTTTTCTTTTTTCTTTTTTAACCAGTTTCCTCCCTCCTTTCAGCTGGGGCTGGACAGCCTGGAGTAGGAGAGCCAAGGCTATTAACCCATCCAAGGGCATTTCATTCTTCTGCAGCCTCCCCTGCATAAAAAGGTCACTCTGAATCGGGCTGTTGTCATCCTTGCTGCCTCTTTCTTCTTCTGTAATTCAGTGAATGGGCAGTTTTGTTATGGCATTCAATATCTTGAATGAATTGAAGTAAAACAAAGTTCTCGAGGGGGCACTAGGACATCTCCAGGCATGTTGTCTTCATCCTAGTACTTACTCAGCAGCAGGAAATGATGGCATTCCAAGGTAGCTACTGTGGAACCCACCCCTTGAAATGCCAGCTCATTTCCTGCCTTTGTTTAAAAGGCATCTCCTTGAGCTGTGCTTATAGTCTGTCTGATTCTACTCTCTCAGGCCTGTTGTGTGTTGTTGGTTTTTTGTGTGTGGACTGTGTGCCAGCTGTCTGTGTGTGCCTGCCCCGGGGTGAAATTTTCCTCCCAGTGGGATTTGAGTGTGCTTGGTCTGCTGTTTGTATTTTCCGTCTCAGTTAAATTAAGATTTACCTTTTGTGTTCCATAAAATTTCCTTAGACTAGCTGTCCCTTTCAAAACCTTCCAGAATTTATTATTACCTTTGATCCTTCTGTTTTGTTTTCACGCCAGATTAATTATTGATTGGCTTGCGATCTCAGGCTTGGTTCATGTATTAGGGCCAGATCTTGACTACAGCTTGGGGTTGTGTAAAGGTAAAGGTAAAGGGACCCTTTACCGTTAGGTCCAGTCGCGGATGACTCTGGGGTTGCGCGCTCATCTCATTCTATAGGCCGAGGGAGCCGGCATTTGTCCGCAGACAGCTTCCGGGTCATGTGGCCAGCATGACTAAGCTGCTTCTGGCGAACCAGAGCAGCGCACGGAAACGCTGTTTACCTTCCCGCCGGAGCGGTACCTATTTATCTACTTGCACTTTGATGTGCTTTCGAACTTCTAGGTTGGCAGGAGCAGGGACCGAGCAACGGGAGCTCACCCTGTCACGGGGATTCGAACTGCCGACCTTCTGATCAGCAAGTCCTAGGCTCTTGGTTTAACCCACAGCGCCACCCGCATCCCCTTTGGGGTTGTGTACTTTCCCCTTTTACTCTTGGAAGGTTTTTTTGGGAGGCGGCAGGCAAACAGCATCTTAAGTCATAGAATTGGAAGGAACCCTGCGGATCATCATAGTCCAACCCCCTGAAATGCAGGAATATGCAGTTGTCCCATACGGGGATCAAACCTGCAACCTTGGCGTTATCAGCAGCATGCTCTAACCAACAGAGCTATCCACTCTGAGGAAGGCTACTATAGTGTGAAGAATTAGTTTCTTTTATCTGGCCTGGATCCTGAGTTGCAGTCCCAAACAGTAGTTTGGACCCACTTTTGGTCCACACATATACATTAAAAAAACAACAACCGTATACAGTGGTACCTCGGGTTACATACACTTCAGGTTACATACGCTTCAGGTTACATACTCCGCTAACCCAGAAATAGTACCTCAGGTTAAGAACTTTGCTTCAGGATGAGAACAGAAATCGTGCTCCAGCGGCGCAGCAGCAGCAGGAGGCCCCATTAGCTAAAGTGGTGCTTCAGGTTAAGAACAGTTTCAGGTTAAGAACGGACCTCTGGAACGAATTAAGTACTTAACCTGAGTTACCACTGTATTAGTTTGGTGGTTGAAGTGCAGTGGTGACCCACACTAGACCCAGATTGTGATCCCATAGTGAGTCCAAGTCCACCATTTTAAGATCAGGGGGTTGAAAGCGTCAGGTATGTCTGCTCCATGGTGACCCCAGTCCTAAGGCAAACTCTTGTATGGCAGTGGCTCCATTGTACTTTTGTTCCCCCAGATCAGGAGTTGTGCGAGAGAGCAAGGCGCTCTTTTGTTCATTCGTCACACCTTTGCTGTGCAGTAAATAGAGTATAGAGCTTTTAATGCCCTATAATCAAAGAGCACTTCAAGTGAATGCTTATTTTCTATGACAAGACCTTTTACACAGCAGGAAAGCATAATCCGCGTAGATGGAAAGAACCACTAATTACCATGCTAAGTGTTCCTGCAGCTTCTAGGGAGCAGAAGGCACTGGATGCAGAACTTCCTGTGTGCTGCTGAATGTCAAAGTGCCACATATCCATCTGGGCCTGGGGCTTTGTGTGGTTTCAGGTTTTTGAGTACTGTCTCTATTTCCTCTGGGGTGATAGGGCTATCCATGAATTCTTGTTCCTCTGCAGTTAAGGTTGTCATGGTCAGCCCTGTTAGGAATCTTCTGGTTTCCTGTGCAGGTGGGTTGCGGGAGATGTATAGATTGGCGTAAAATTCAGCAAATTCTGAGGTTATTTCTTTGGTGGAGGATGTTATGTTACTGTCTTTTTTTAGTGACACAGTGTATTCTGTTTTGAGTGCCCCCCCCAACTGCATTTGTTTGCTAATAGTCTGGCGTTCTTCCCTCCATATTCGTAAAAGCATTGTTTAGAGTATAGGATGTTAATCATAGTTTTATTGATTTTTAGAGAGTCAGTTTCCCTTCTTTTTTGTTCTTTGAGTTTTAAGGAGTTTTTTTGGTTCCTGTTTGTTTATAGTGTGATGAGAGGGTCATAATGTCTTGTTCTAATTTACCAATTTTTGAGGAGGTTGTGTTTTTTAAAGGATGCCCTCTCCTTTTTGCAGGCTCCTCTGGTGACCATTTTCATTGTGTCCCAGAGGTTGGGGGCTGTTATGTTGCCCACGTCATTGTCCTTAAAGTAGTTTTGGAGAGTTTTCAAGACATGATTGACGTTACCACATGATTATTTTTGTCACCAGCTTTGCATGGGGAACATTTCACTTACATTATTTGTTGTGGCATGGTCTAGCAGTTTATCCCGAGAAGGAAGCTCACTGTTCTGAACTTGTTGCAAGTTGTTAAATGCCTTTTTCAAGAGTAATATTCACCATACCCCCCCTTCAAATAAAAATGTATGTGTTAGAATCACTTTGCAATGACTTCACCACAACCGTAAGTAGCACAAGCTGAGCTGGTTCATACATAACTCAGAAGTAAGGCCCTGTCTGCACTGTGCATTTTAAAGCAGCCTCATACCACTACAAGCAGTTGTGGCTTCCCCCCCAAAGAATCCTGGGAACTGTAGTTTGCTAAGGATGCAAAGTGTTGTTAGTAGACCTTATTCCACTCCCAGAGCTAACAGTTCCCTGGGAAGAAGGATTGATTGTTAAACCACTTTGGGAACTGTAGCTCTGTGAGTAGAATAGGGGTCTTCTAACAACTCTTAGTACCCTTAACAAACTACAGTTCCCAGGATTCTTTGGGGGAAAGCCATGGCTGTTTAAAGTAGTGTGATACTGCTTTAATTGCACAGTGCTGATGGGGCTTAAGTGTATATGCTTCCTCCCCCCTCCCCAATCTGATTTTGTGTAACCCATGTTAAACGACCACAGCTTCAACCTTACTGCTAATAATATTTTTCATTCTTGTTTTTCCGAACGTGTTGTTTAGGCACCAACTGGAGCCGACCAAGGACCCTGTCATCCTCAATGCCCTTCTGCATGTGTGCAAGACAATGCACGATTCTGTGAAGTAAGGTTTTTTCACTGTCTCCTTATAATGAATTTCATTTTAAATGGTGGTGGTTGTTGTTGTTGTGATCAGTTCTGAGGCCAAGGCTTCAGGGTTGGAGAACTGTTTTTCCATGTGCTGCTTTTATTCAGGGCTGTGTGCAGGAAAACAAAATACCAGCACTGGCCTGCTTGCTCCTTAAAACGTTGCTTTGTTCTAAATGCAAAACAAAGAGAAGATGATCTGGGATGTGCTGGTGACTTCACAGCTTAACAAATGGGTTGTGGGTGGAGCAAGAGAGAGGCGGCAGGGAGTAAATGTTAAGAGTGTCAAAAGGGATAAACAAAATGACATGCTTTTGTGAGATGCAGGTGTCAGTTAAAGTGCCTCTCCAAAAAGCACTCGCAACTCCAGTGAACAATACAGTATTGATATGGGTATGCTTATACCTGACAAGTATTTTAAAAACAAACAAATATCGGAAGTAAATAACAGAACACATTTAAATGCTTTTTTTTGCCATTTTGAAATGCGTACTCTCTCCTGTTAGATACTCCTTGTACTCTTCTTCCAGCAAAAAGCTGCTCCCCTGATACTTAGTGCCAAAAGAATGCTAAGAACTTACAGGAAGAGAACATAGAAATGTCATTTCTGCATTCTCTTTCTTTGTGGTGCCTGGGCAGTCTCTGTGCTCAGCTGGTTGCCTGCTTCAGTGGGCAGGAGGGGGGCGCATTTTGATAGATGCCTTTTAATGCCAGGCAAGGAGGGAAGATTACTCACAAGATCTACAGATCTTGGTCTTGCTTTCTCTGAGTTTCTCATTCTTCTGATCTTAAGTTCACATCTCCTCCGTATCTGCATCAGCTTTGCAGAAAGAATTTAAAGGCCCGCTTAAAAACCCACATGCATTTATGTGTGCATTTCCCACGGTATCCCTGTTTTTGTCAGCAATTTATTCCCTAGTGCGGTGGATTTTTGCAAATTATTTTCATGAATACATGCATTTTTGTGCTTATATGCACGTGCACTTTTGAACTGTTTCACAATGTTAGAAGAAGTGCAAACTTCAGAGATAGCCGCATTAGTCTGAGAAGTGCCAGTTAAGAGATTTGCATTCAAATGTCAGCCATGCTAATTTCCCTTCCATTATTTGGTCACAATTGCAGGATTTGCCCTAATCCTGGTTTACATATCATAGCAAATGTGCAAATGTGTGGGCTTTCAAAGAAGAGACTTTTTTTTACTGAGCTAAGCAAAGCTGAAGGACATTCTCAGTCCTACTTGGAAACGTGTGGGACTTATGGGCAAGGGAGATGCAAAAGAAACTTGCATTTCCTGCTACTCTACAGTGCCACCAGATTCAAAACTGCTGTGCGATACTGTGATGAGATCAATACAGGAGATCGGTGTTGTCGCTGAGAACAAAATCTTAATTGTTTCTGGCATCATCTTTGCTTCCTAAGTCCTTTTATCTAATAAAGGCAGAAATTGACTTTTTAAAACAAATAAAGCACATTAAAAAACAAATGATTTTGTCTATAAATCTTGTTCCTATAAACAGTAAACATGATTTTTGGACTAAAGGGATCTCAATATGCAGCCTATTTCTTTGGCATACAGTAGCAACCATTTGGTCCATTTCTATTTCTTGGTCATCTGCTCCTTAATTGCAGGAATGGAACTAACTTTTTAGTGCTGAATCCATATAATTCTTGCTATCATTAGTAAGTTCTGGAGTAATAACATAATTGCCCTGGACTATCAGTCGTTGAAATTGTTCATAAGCACTGCTTCTGGTACAGGTGTTAATCTGGTCTCAGTTACCAGGGCAATAAGTTCTAGCAAATGCACTCGTAACAATACTGGGTTGTGTTTACTGTTAGCACTACTCAGATTGGATCCCTTGAAATTAATGGACAAGACATACCATATTTTTCGTTCTATAGGATGCACATTTTCCCCTCCAAAAATTAAGGGGAAATGTGTGTGCGTCCTATAGAGCGAATGCAGGCTGCGCCGCTAAGCCCAAAGCCAGAACAGGAAGACGGAGCACTGCGGAGCGCTCCGTCTCGCTGTTCTAGCTTGGGGATGGCTGCGCGCAAACCTCTGCAGGGCAGCGGGGCGCTGCGCTCCAAAGGCTTCAGGGATCTTTGAGGCTGGCGGTGGGGGAAAGCAGCGCTTCCCCCCACCGCCAGCCCCACAAGCTCTGGTGAATGTACCTTGAACACACCTTGTTTTAGAGGGGGAGAACAAGAAAAAATAATTTTTCCCTGTTCTCCCCCTCCTATGGTCCAGTGCGTCCTATGGTCCGGTGCGTCCAATGGAGCGAAAAATACGGTACTTGCACCCACCAATTTCAAGAGGTTTACTCAGAGTGAAACTTGGTTGGATTCAAACGCCAAACAGTTTTTTCCTTAAATCTTGCTTTGTTTCTGAAATAATTCTGCAACATCTGTAAGAGCCTGCATCAACTGGATTGCGCAGCCTTTGCAAAAGGAGCTGCATTGCAAAGCTTTGCAAAAATAGTGACTATGGAAAAGGTCACATCCAAATCCTGCATTTAAAGCAAATGTAAGAGTAATGACCTATCCCAAAGAATCTTGGCAACTGTAGTCTACCACTCACAGAGCCACCTTTAACAAACTACACTTCCCAGGATTCTTTAGAGGAAGCCATGACTGTTATAGCCCTAGAGGAGTTCTTGAAATGTATGCTGTGGATGTGACCTGTGCTGCAAATTGGGAAGTCCCAGGTTTGAATGTCACCTCTGGCATAATCATCATCATCATCATCATCATCATCATCATATCCCACCCATCTGGCTGGGTTTCCCCAGCCACTCTGGTCTGCTCCCAACGGAATATTAAAAATATGATAAATACATCAAACATTAAAAACTTCCCTAAACAGGGCTGCCTTCAGATGCTTTCTAAAAATCAGATCATTGTTTATTTCCTTGACATCTGATGGGAGGGCATTCCACAGGGTGGGCGCCACTACCGAGAAGGCCCTCTGAGCTTGCTTGGTGGCCTTAGACAGGCTGCTCTCTTTCACAAGAGCAAAAACAGACCCTACTCGATCAGGCCAATAACCAATCGAGTCCAGCATCCTATTTTCACAGTAGCCAGCTTCAGTCCCCCTGTCTACTATATGGAGTGATAATACAGACTTGCCTTACAGAGTTGTTGATGCTTGTAAGGTGCTTGTAACATTTGCATTGCAGTCCCAAATGTTAAAGTGTGTTTTAGATTAAAAAGTTGAACTAGATAATGCCATTTTCCTGCTTGGGCTCTACTCAAGCTAAAGCACTGTGTGTGTCATTTAAACAGCTGCTTTGCGGTCATGTTTTTAAATTAGCAATTTTTATTGGGGACCCGGTGCTCCCTTCCACGCATCTTCCAAACCATCCATCAGTTTCTTGTTATGCCTGTATTGGATGGCGAAACCCTAATGAGCTAATCATGGTGAAGGTTCACTCTTCCCTTCCAATTGAATTTGTATTCCAGAACAATTACTCTGTTCCCATCTGGTGTCTGCACTAGGAGAATTGCAAAATAGTACACCAGGGACTAGCATGCCCAGGATTAAACTGGATTACTTAATTGTAATTGAGCGTGGTTCGTTTTCATCAGAATGTGTATGGTTTTATTACCTCCCCATTTGGTAACCAAATTAAATGCTAATGATATGAAACTGAATTTGCTACCCTCCACCCCCCGCCAATATCCCAGCAGTTTATGGCTATTGTTTTCGCCCAGTGTATCACACCATGATGCGCTACTTTTGCTGTGCAGATGTTTACATTTGTTGTGTTCTACGGCCCTATCCTAAATTAATTTTGGAATTGGTAATTTGCAAATAATGGCTGCTCACGGTTACAGGGTGGATTCAAACTATTTTCCAAAGCAGTTTTGTCCCACGGTAGATGTTGGATAGCTTAGTTGGCAAACTCTTAATCTTAGGGTGGTGGTCTCGAGCCCCACATTGGGCAAAAGATTCCTGCATTGCAGACGGTTGGACTTGATGGCCCATGTGGTCCCTTCCAACTCTACAATTCTAGAATTCTAGAGATTTATTCCCACTTTCCCTGGTTCACAATGCAGTGAAATTTATAAAGAAGTACAAACATAGTTTGCAAATCATTGAGAGTTGCACAATTTGCTGCACTTGCTGATCTCATTTCGGTTCATGATCTGCACAAGTATTACACCTCTTCTTGTTATCATGTGTTCTCTCTCTCTCTCTCTCTCTCTCTCTGTGTGTGTGTGTGTGTGTTTGTGTGTGTAACACATTCATGGCATAGAAAAGGTTCCATGTTTCATTCTAGGCATCTCCAGGTAGGGACAGGAAAAACCTCCCGTCTGAAAGTTTGGAGAGCCATTGCCAACTTAGCACTGGCCATACGAAGCTAGAGGAACTCAATGGTATAGAGCAGCTTCCTGTTTGCCTGTGATAAATGGGACTTGGTAGCAAGGTAGAAAGACACCATCTTGACTGCAAGTCAAGTGAAGCAGGAGTTTGAGGACTGGGGCATTCCAAACATTGCTTGTGTGACTTTTCTGTTCTACAGACATCTTTTGCCATGCTGTAGTTCAGGGGTTGGGAACCTCAAGCCAGGGAGTCAAAAGTGCCTCTCCCAGCCTCTTTTGTTTGGTCCTCGGGATTTTCCCCAGGTCATGATCCGTCCAGATCAGCTCGGGTGAATCTGCTTTGAAATGAGAGTTGTTCAGATTCCTCCCCCATCCCTACCCTGGGGTAAGCCGCACTGAATTCAACAGGGCTCATTTCTCACGTTTATGCTATAAACCGATTTGAGGTTTTTATTAAAAATATAAAGCAGTATAGAAAGGAAATGAATAATAATAATAATGTAGCATCAATTTATTTTTGATGGGTTTCTTAAATATTGATGCTTTTTTGTAGTGCGCTGACACTAGAAGACGAAAAACGAATGCTAGCCTCTTTGATAAATGGATTTTTGAGAATGGTGAGTATCTGCTGGGCTGGTCAGTGTTTTAATCTGCATTTTAATTGTGCTTTTAACTGGCTGCTAGTTTTTGGCTTTGGCAGTGTGTGTGTGTGTGTGTGTGTGTGTGTGCTTACAAGAAAGCACAGTATATCTGATGTAATGTGTAGTTTGGCCCGTAGCTTTTAATTATGACACCTAAATTAAACCTTCCATGGCCAGATGCAGTATACCTCAGGATGCTAGAAGATGCACAGCAGGACTTGCCTTTGTAATTATGCTTGTGAATTTCACAGCAGCATCTGGCTTTACACTGGGGGGCAGGGGAGGCGTGCTGAGTGACACAGACCTCTTGCTCTGATCCAGTAGGGCTGCTGTTTTGCCCCCATTGCATCAGAGAGTTGTGTGTTCCTAAAGGTTCTGTCAAAGGAAGTGAAAGAAAAAAAGATGTGATATGAACCACATTGCTTGGTAAATACTGCATGAAAGAGTTAGCGCTGCACTGCAGCAAATGAGATGGAAAGAATGGGTAACTGGATGCCAGAGTCCTGTATAAGAAATGACTTTGTGAATCTTTTAAATCCAGGTTTCATTTGGCCGTGACTTTGAGCAGCAGCTGAGTTTTTATGTTGAAGCCAGATCAATGTTTTGCAATTTGGAACCTGTTCTCGTCCAGCTGATTCATGTGAGCATACTTTCTTAAGTTGAAATAGGACTTCGGGAGCTGTGTGAGCTATTTTTCCCTGCTGCATTCCGTCATTCCTTGCATTTCATTACAGAGCAAGGTCAATTTTGTTGGCATTTTAACAGCAGAGAATTTGCATTCGTACATCATGTTTTATATTGATATTTGGCATGTTGCTGGTGAATTCATTCTGCAAATTGAAAAGCACAAAGTCGTGTGAGCTGATAGCTCATTAGTGGGGAATATTCTGAATTACCTCTTCATTTTCAGTGTTCCTCTTTCCTGCTTTCATGTAGGAAAAACAGTATTTGAAATATACTTTTCCTCAGTCTAAACTGATTGCTCCTGGGCACTAAACTAGCACAGCAACTAGTTTTGAATTTTTAAAGGTGGCATTCTTATCCCTAAGTCATGGGTGGAGGACTTCAATTTCAGGGGCCAAAAACACACTCCCCCAGCCATTTTTTCTGACCCTTGTAACCCTTCCCAGCTCACACCTCTTCTCCCCAGGCAACATTCCTTCACTGGCCCTGCTTTGCTCTGGAAGTGTTTTCACCTGAATGGAATGTACCCTTGAACTCAGGCAAATTTTGGTTATCTTCATGTGGGGTTTTGGTCTTGTTTTTGCACATAGTATGCACAACCCTCCTTGCACATCATTATAGCTGTATGCTCTTTCATTTTCCCTGAAGCTTGTATTTCTTATTAGTTAAACAGGAATATTTGTTATTTATTTAGTTCCATTGACTTCTGCTGGAGAAATCCTTGAATTGTTGAGTTGCAGAGTTACTTCTGTAGGTAACATAATCTTTTCAAAACAGAGTGTGAACCAGCTGGCGATGGAAACGCGAAAAGTGATGAAAGGGAATCATTCCAGAAAAACGGCTGCATTTGTCAGGGTAGGTGTGAAAACTGAAGGAATTCTTCATCCTTATTTTTTCTGCATGAACTATGGTCTGTTTTGGCCAGAGCGCTAAACCATGGTTTAGCACTGGGGGGGGGGGCGGCTGGTTGGGCTTATGCTCCCACTATTTCTGATTACACTTTAGTCATTTTAAGTGGGGGTGATGGGATTTGGCACCCAGCAATACCTGGAGAGTACGATTCCCCAAACCTCTGATTTAAGACATGTTCAGAATAGTCTTTGAAAACCTTTCTTACCTTTTTTTAAAAGGCTTGCGTTGCCTTCTGCTTCATCACAATTCCATCTTTGACAAGCATATTTTCTCGTCTCAATCTGTACCTGCACTCTGGACAGATTGCTTTGGCAAACCAGTGCCTTTCGCAAGGTAAGCCTCATGATCTTTCTTCATTTGTAAAACAAGTTATTATTTTAGGAAGCAGTCTTTCTAGCTACAGTGGGAACACATGAGGATTGCTAAAATTTTGAATGTTCTGTTGGGAAGGAGCTGGAGCCTTTGCTTGTTATGGCTCCTTTGCACAGAACAGATATGCTTTGGAGAAGGGCCATAGCATCCCCCTTCATTGCAGAAGGTCCCAGGTTCAGTCCCCTGGAATCTCAGGTATGGCTGGGACTGTCCCCCATCTGAAACCCTGGCAGTTGCCAGTCAGTCTAGACTCTAGAACAATACTGAGCTGGTTGCACCAATGGTCTGATTTAGTATAAGGCAGTTTCCTATGTTCCCGTGTTCCATGCTAAGGGAAAGTATTCAGCTAGTAAAAAAAAGAAATCCAGTCGGAAAGAGTGTAGGCATGGCACGATAAGAGCTTGGAATCCTGAGATCTAAAGAATGTGCACATTTTACTTAAAAATGCTACTGAACCTATGATTAAATAACACTACTCAGAGCCTGGATTTTGCTTTTAGGCAAGACATAAAACAAGCAGAGCATACAAACGTGTGACATGTTTTAAGAATTCTAGCATTATTTTTGGCAAGTGGTAGGGACGTTAATGCTGACATGCTAATTTGCTTAACAATGAGACTGTTTTTGTTCCTTCAGAACAAAACCTTCCTCTGCCTGTAAAAAAAAAAAAAAGAGAAAAGTCTTTAACTGCTACATGTTTAGTCCCATAAAACATTTCAACCTTTCTTTTCCAAGAGGAGTTCGTTTTGGTGGAAGCTCTTCCTTTGTGCTAGATGTATTTGGTACAACATCTTCAGGCTTTAGAAACAATGCATAACTGATGCCTTGGATTCAGTCCAAACACCCCTTCAGGTGTCAGTGTCATGGTTTATGTAGCAAAAGTTATATCACAAGGAATCTCTATAAATGCATTTTGAGTGGAGAGCAATACAGCCTGGTTTTGGGAGGATTATCGAAAAGGCAAGAGTGTGTGACACTCTTCTTCCAGTAGAACGAGGCTTCTTGTTGTTGCTGTTTTTACAGTTGAGAAGATGATGTCCTGAACATCTGCCCTCTGGGCTGTTTTTCCTGTTGTAGGGTTGTGATGGTTGAAAGATGTAAAGGGTTAGTCCTTTCTCAGAATGAGCTTACAACATGGTGTAGGGAAGGGCTGTAGCTCAGTGGGTAGTTTGCATGCCAGAGCCCTCAGATTCAGTCCCCAGCATCTCTTGGTGTGGTTGGGCAAGACTCTTCTTAGAAATTCTGGAGAGCCACTGCTCGATGTGCAGACAGTGCTGAACTAGGTAGTGTTAGAATTCCTGCTCCATGATTGCAGTCATGGGATTTTTGTCTATCACCTGATGGTGTATTGACTGAGTGGGAAGTGACAGAGACAGGATGTTTATGTTGCTTTGTTCCGTGAAGTGGGACAATTGTCCTTTGTTTCTTTTCCTCTTTGCTGTCTGATGCTAGAGAGAGAGGGAGCCATGTTGCAGTCCTCTGTGTGTGTTTGTATGTAAATAAAGTAGATTAGCCAAAATGCTGAGTTGCTGAGGTCTGTTGCGCAAGATGCGCAAACTCTGCGGATCCCTAAGTGTGCCGGTGTCAGTTGCCATCGGTTGCTGTGATGTTCGGGCTGAAGAAAGCTTATGAAGCTCCCAAACGATCGACCAGGAGGGAGGGAACATTCCATTCTGGCATGTGTCTCTGCCAGGGTCCTACTTGAGTGTAGGCTGAACTCCTGACAGGTAGACCATTGGTGTGACTTGGAATAAGTCTGCAGCCTATGTTACTATATCAGGGATGGGGATCTCCACCTGTCCTACAACTCCCATCAGCCCTAACCAGCGTGGTCAGGGGTCAGCGTGGATGGGAGCTGTAGTCTTAGCAACATCAGGAAGGCCACAGATTCCCCATCTCTGTCCTAGATTCATAGACTCTACGCTGTGTGTTGCTCCCACTCAGTGTAGGCATTGTGTTCGATGGACCTTTGGCTTAAACAGGTGAAACACAGACCTCCCTCCCTCAGCTCTGGTGTGACAGGCCGGCTGCACGAGGCTTCCTCTCCCTCAGCTGCCATCTGGGGGCAGCCATTGCAGCAGAGTTACTTCGGTGGAAGAGATAGCAAACAAGGCTCATTTCATCGGCTTTGCTGGAGGTGCAGCTCTGCCAGGCCTCTCCTGCCAGCTGGTCATTATGGGAACAACTGTTTAGAAATTGAGTTTGAATTTTATTTCCTTCTTCCCTCCCTGCTCCTTTCCGCTTGTGCATTGGGGTTTTTTGTACACTTGCAGGAAGGTACTGTCTTGTTCTGATTGTACATGGCATCCTGGGAGCCTTTTTGGCTGAGGAGCAGGGTAAATAAGCTCTAAATAAACGTGGAATAATAAAACAGGGCAAGGCAGCTTCATAATAAGTTATTTGGTCGTTCATGTGACTAGCAAAGAGCCAGTTACATATGTTTGCCATTTTGATCATTACCTGTGTTTTCTAAGGCAGGATAGACTTGTAGGATTGTATGTTTATGACAGTTTGACCATAGGTTGTTTTGGGGGTGCGGGGAGTGGAGCATAGAAGAATCTGTGCATGTATGACATGTTCTTTCTGATCGGCATGGCTTCAGACATGTGCAAGTTCAAGCAAGTCAAATCTTGACCCTTTCCGGAGATGACAAAAGTTGCCAGAATTGCACATGTGCTAGTAAGTTCCAGCTGTAAATGCAAACATGCTGACATCAGATGCTGACTAAGGCTTTTACCGCAAGGCTACTGGTTTTTATTTCTTTGTTTAGGCGTGATGCCGTGTGCCTCATTGGGGATTTAGAGCAAAGCTGACTGTTCCATCCGAGCAAGTTGCGAAAACAATAGAGCTGCAAAGTCAGTGCAGTGCACTTTCTGTTTGTTTGGCTTGTTTGTAGACAAACCAAGCAGAGACCACAGTGTGAAGTCATTTTCCATTCCTCTGCTGTGGTTATTAACTCATTCGCTATTGTTTCACCCCGCTGGATAATTAGTGGGTGTATTTGCTTGTTCAAAGTAAGGAACATAGGAAGCTGCTTGAGTCAGACCAATGTCCCATCTAGCTTGGTATTGTCTACACTGACTGGCAGCTGCTCTCCAGGGTTTGGGGTAGGCGTCCGTCTCAGCCTTTCCTGGAGATGCTGGGGATTGAACCTGAGACCTTTGGTATCCAAGGCAGATGCCCTAGCACTGAGCTGTAGCCCTTCCCTGTTCTAACCGGCCTTTTCCCAAAGGCTTCAATGGATGCCTGAAATTCTACTGAAGGTACACCTTGGCTTGTGTGTGGAATTGCCACCCACTTCATTGAAAAAAGAATTCAGGGTCTTGAAATTGGATTGGAAGTCTGAAGTGTGCCCACTGCTTCTGTGGGTGTTACCTCCTCTCATTTGCCTTACTGTCTCCTTTCACTCCCAGTGTCAACGCTGGTCCTAGATGCTGTTGCACATGGTACTAAAAATCTTCCACACTTTAAATTTTTGTGGGTCTGCAGTTAGTTTTTTGCTAACTAGATTAACACACGAGACGGTTACTCTAAAAATATTATGCAAGTACTTCCAGTCGTCATTGACTGATGCTTTGACTTTATTTATCGTGTGTGTGTGTGAGAAAACTGGCCCTATATTTCAACAGAGTATTTGCTTTTCTAGGCAGTCCTTGCCAGCCAGTTGAATGCAAACTGTATCATAGCTAAAAAGTTGGATTCTTCAGTACTGGGTACAGCAATTTGTCCTAAAGTCATATGACAAAGCAGCCTTGCTAAAAGTTAAGTGGGCTGTGGACTAGGCAGTGTCTGGATGGAAGGGATCTATGGAAAAGAAAGCTACCTACTGGCTTGGAAGATTTTAGCTGCAAATGGGATTCAATTGAACTTTGACCGGAGAAGACGTGTGTAGGATCACACTTTATATACATGACCCTGCACACTGAACTGGATCTCTTTGTGCAGTGGCTCCCGAACTGTTTCCCCCTCAAGCCACTTGATTTTGCTGGTGGTTCTTGGTGGACCCCTTAATGACCCCTTCTGTCTGCTACAGCAGTTGCAAAGCACTGTGCTAGATGCTGTGTGATTTTATTGCTTTTATTTCCTATTTTGTGTTTTATTGTATTATAATTTGCATTTTGTAAAATTCAGGTTACAATACAATACAAGAAAGAAAAGAAGCAACAGCAACGCAATTAAAAATCAATGTGAATATTTAATGTGGACGTGCTGCAGGTCACCTGAATGGATCTTGCGGATCACTGTGGTCCATGAACCACAGTTTTGGACTTAGTGTAACTTTGCAGAGTAATGATAAATCCTCACCAGACATGTTTCCTGTCATAGGTAATGTGCTGGGCCAAGCTAGCAATCTCTCTGAGGGCAAAATGAACAGAGATTTGTTAATTCTACTTCTCTTTATAGCATTCACTTGAGGCACGTGATTGTGAAACAGTGTAGGTTTGTCCTAACATAATGCTTTTCTGAGCTGTTAAAACTTTGCTTGGCTCGAAGCATAATATGCCACATGGCCAGAGGTATCCAACTAACTTGGATGACTAATTTCACCGAGGGACAGATAAAAATGGAAATTGGGGTGGGATTTGTTTTGCTCAACTGCGCTGACCGAATCTGGATTCAGAGTTCAAAAGTGCACAGAGCTATAGCTGATCTAATATTCCTAGCTGCCCCCACCCTTATCTGATAGCACAGCAAGATGAAATATTTGTGTTTCTGCTGGCCTACTTTTCTGGGCCATCCGGAAATGAGGACGAAGAATCCTCAATCCTGATGTTTTTCATCATCTTGTTATATTTGCTGCTTTAGTACTGCATATTTTCCAATTCCAAGAAAAGGGGGCATTAGCAGAAACTGCAACGGCCTCTTCTTCTCCCCCACCCCAGATTTGATTAGATCCTTCAATCTAGTCTCTGACCCATTTGGAACTGAATGGCTTTCATTGCACTTGTGGATAGCTGTGGTTTGATCTTGGCTTGTTCTCTCTAAAGTTAAAAGAAAACCATAGTTGCTGCAGTTCAGACATACCGAGAAACTGTGGTTCATTTTAAAAGCAGAAGCTGAGACTTCTGATTTCCTCCTTGAGGCTATGAAAAAGGAAGAGGGAGTGCATGGGTCCAGGGCTATTTATGCCTTGTCCACACATTGGGAAACCATGATTTCCTAATTATGTATCACCTAGCCCAATGTTTCTCAAACTTGAGTCTCCAGCTGTTGTTGGACTACAATTCCCATCATCCTTAGCTGTCAAGACCAGTGGTCAGGGATGGTGGGAGTTGTAGTCCAACAACGTCTGGAGACCCAAGTTTGAGAAACACTAACCTAGCTTACTTCTCTCTAATCTACCTGATAGGGCTATTTTGAGGATAAAATGGGGGGGGGGCGGGGAGCTGTGCACACTACTCTGAACTTTTTTAGGAAACATGGTATGATCACAAATACCTTATAGCCTCCAGAATTGCCCCAGAAGCTGGTTTTAAAAAGGGTCTTATGCAAAAGAGGCAGTGTGGTGCAGTGGTTAGAGTGTTGGAGTAGGACCTGGGAGACCAGAGTTTGAATCCTCACTCCACCATTAAGCTCACAGGGTGACCTTGTGGGCCAGTCACTGCCTCTCAGCCTAACCTACCTCACAGGGTTGTAGGGATTAAATGGGAGGGACGGGACTTGAGCTCCGTGAAGAAAAAGGTGGGATATAAATGCAATAAAGGAGAACAGGAAAAATCCTCTGAGCCCATGTGGAGCCTTCCAAGAGCAGACGTGTAGCAGGCCTTTGGGAAACCCTGCCTTTGCAAGGAAACATTCGAGGCGTGATTTCCCCTTCAGCCAGGCACAGTTGGGCCCCGTTAGAACAGGGCATTAATTTTTCTTGTCTGAAGGTCACACGCGGAAATAGCGCAGGCCTCCACGGAAGGATTTATAGCCCAGTGGTCAGCCAGAACGAAGGAAGATCCACTGCTTGCCGGGGAAGAATGGGAAATTTAGCGGAGCGTAAAGTAGCTTGCATACGGTGCAGTGCACAAGCTATTAATTGAGGCCTAGGAAAGCATCATCGGCAATTTATTGCCGCGAACGCTCACCTCCCCACCCCCATCAAACGCAGTGCCAGCTTGCCTCAGGAAAGGGGGGCTTAATGGACAGCCTATATAAGGAGCTGCGTATTTCAAATTTATCTCGCCATATTTCAAGGTTAGGTAAAGGAACTATATTTGCAAGGAGCCGCTTTAAGCAGACTGTAAATGACGCTGGGTTTAAATTAGTAGCTTTCCCTCAAAAGGTGGGCTGTGGAGGCAGAGTTACCCGGCCGCCGTCATCCCCTCCCTTCGGTTTCCACCAGCTTCTCCTTTGTGTGTTTTCATGTTGTCGTAAAGACGGTCGTCTGTCAAAAAAATAAAAATAAAAGACAGGCAGCCAGTTCCTTCGTGGTTCTGCAGATACTGACAATATCCTAAGAAGGGTGCTAAGTAGCGCTGCCTGGTGAGATGTGTGAGCAAATCCAACTAGCAATTCAGAGTGCTGATTTTGACCTTCCGACTGGGGAAGAAGTGTGGTGCAGTGGTTAGAGTGGCAGGCTAGGACATGAGAGGCTGGGGTTCAAATCCCCACTCAGCCATGAAGTTCACTTCGAGTGACCTTGGACCAGTCTCCAACCTACCTCACAGGGTGGGGATTAAACGAGGAGTGGGAGAACCATGTCTGCCACCTTGGAACTCCTTGGAGAAAAAAGCGGGAGAAAAAGGCAGTAAATGAATGGAGGAACGAGAGTTGGAATCCAGCCACATCTTACATACTGTACGCCATTTTGAGTACTGGGAAAACCAGCCTTTAAATATACATTAAATGCCTTCCTAGCCAAGCATGTTGCCTCAGGATATGCCTCTCTGTGTCATGGTTGGTAGTTCAGAGCGATGGCTCTTCAAGTCTGTTTCTGACTGATTCCCTCAGGAGGCAGAAGTAATTGCGGCTGTGTTCAAGCTTTGTTCTGGCTGCCGCCTCTCTGCTAAGGTGACAATTCAGCTGACCTGGGGTTGAATTCTCGCTGTCGCCCTGTGAGCACGGAGGAGAATTTGGCCATGCAGCGCAGGCAGGTGGTTAAATGGTCGGCTTCATGGGAAGGTGAACGCCAGTCCACTTTCCTTAGGGACTCGAAGCAAATTGCCTTGACCCAAACCTACGAGTGCAACTGCGAGTAGTCCTGGGTGGCTTGGCTGTGTAAGACAAGTGTCATGGTTCTCTTGTTGGTGACAGGGCTTTCTTATGATGAAAGGACAGTTGCACAGAAAGCAAATTGCTGTGAGAGAGAGGGAGGGAGAGGGGTTTTTTCCCCTGCCCATAAAGTAGTGTTGCTGAGTGTGAAGTGGATTGGCTCCTTTCCCCGCTGGGTTTTTCCTCCCTACAGTTTGCGTTGGGATCAGTGTAAACAGAAACCCATCTTTTCTGGAGTAAGGACCACCAGCTAAGCCATTTTCCGGTGGGCTGCATCCAACTAAAGTCTACTCTGACCCATTGAAAGCAATGAACTTACGTTAGCCAAGTCCTTTCATTTTAGAGGTAGCGTTGGATACAACCTCATGACTAATTTAGGCATATTACTTTCAGTGGGTCTCCTCTGAGTAGCACTAAGTTGGATACAACCCTGCATTTTCTGTAGCCCCGAGAAGACTCAAAAAGCAATCTATTTGAATTAAAGCTGAGAGTTCCTGGCTGAAGCAGTTTCTTTTTGCTCTTCTCTGCTCTCCCCAAAAGCAGGGAATAGTTGTCTGGGCATTTATCTATGTGACTTAATAGGACACGAAGGACAGCTATGTTTCTATGTTAAAAGGCATAACAATTGACTGAATATTTTTTGCATTGCTGGTGATATTTTGAAACTTTCTCTCTCTCTGTTTGTGTGTGTGTTCCTTGAGGAAGTATCATTATTTAAATGTCTCTGAATATGTTTGGAATATAAATAAGATTGTTTGCTCACAAGATGTAGGTTGACTGCACTTTACAGTGTTGGCGAATTTCAGCTTTCTTGTTTTTCTGTATGCCTTTCCAATGTGTGGTGTTCAATAAAAATATATCCTAGGCTATGATCTCTCGCTTGAGGACGTATGACAATATACTCACAAGTCTGCTTGTTTTAGCCTTCAAAAGACTAATCACCTTGTATTACTTGTATGATGCAGACCTTTTAATGTATTTATTCTGATGTCGGTGTCTGGGTTTGATTTTTTTGGTGGGGGCTGGGGAGTTTGCTACCGTTTTTTTTAAAGTGTTGGGGTTTTGTTTTTTACCCAGGCTGGGATAGACTAAAGCAGGCAAACTAGTGAAAGCTAAATTAAGAAAAGATCTGGAGATTCATCCCATGTAATTTGAAGTAACTTTAGAAAGCCAAGAGTATTCTTGTTCGTGGAACTGGATACTTATGCTATTCAGATTATTTCTTTTCTGGTGACAAAATGTCATATACAGAGTCATTGAGCATGTGTGTTTTGTAACACCAGAGCAATGGCAGATGTGATTGCATTCCATAGACTTCCTTATCTTAGTAGCCCATGGGAAAAGTAATACCACTGTTGTTGTGTAAAGCTAAATGCGCAAATTAACCTGTCTTTAAGAACCAGTATTTTGGAGGGGGTATAACTGAGTTGGAATCCTGAACACTCCTTTTAGGAGATCGTGGATCCCTGAAACATTCTGTCGCAAGTGCTGCTTGTTGAATAATTGCAGGTTGCTGGATAGTGCAGCAGAGATTTGAGCCCATGTGATTGTGTGCAGGTCTACTTAAAATCACAGGCCTGTCAATAAATCTATGTTCTGCTTGCTCATAAAGCAGTGGCTGTGATTTCTTTGCAGCGGATGCCTTTTTCAAAGCGGCAATAAGCCTTGTCCCCGAGGTGCCAAAGACGATCAACATAGATGGGAAGATGCGGTCCTCCGAAACGTTCCTCCTGGAGTTCCTCTGCAATTTCTTTTCCACTCTGTTGATCATTCCTGTAAGTAGCCAGCATGAGCCACTCAATCTTTAGGGCGGAAATGCTTCTTCTTCTAACCCGCTGTTATACTATCAGGGCAGCTTATGTAGCTAGGCAAGACAAAAACAATTGGGGGTTTCTAAAATAAAATAAAATAAAATAAAATAACAAGACACATAAGGGCTGTGTAAAATCATTAGGAAAATCAAATGGGGAGGACAAATTAATTTTCTTTTTTTTGAAAAAAACAAGTTCTTTTTGGCACCAAAATGATATTAAAGCAGACCATTGGTGAATTTGGATGCTGCCACTAAAAAGGCCTTTACCCAGTCACCTGGTGGGTGGAAAGACTAGTCAATGGCTACTAGTCAAGGTGGGTGTATATTATCTTCCAGTATTGCAGTATGCTGGAGAGCAACAATGGGAGAGGGCTGTTGCTTTTGCGTTTTCCTAAGGCATTTTGTTGAAGCAGAATACTGGGCTAGGTAGGCCCTTTGGTTTCATCCAGCTGGGCTCATCTGATGGTCCTTAGACCCTTTAAGAGCATATGAACAGCTAAAAACTGTTCAGGCCATCTCCAGCATCCTATTCTCAAAATGGCCAACCTAATGCCTCTTGGAAACTCTGCAAGCAGGACATGAGTGCAGCCGCACCCTCCCCACTTGCTGCTCTCAGAAACGAGGCTCTTTAAAAACATTTGTGCTTTGGGTTTTTTCAAAGGCTCAAATTGGGAAGAGCCAGGAGTGAGCCATGTGGATTTCATGAAGGCTTTCTGCCTTTCCCAGCGTTTTCTCCATTATTTTTGAGCTCCTTAGAAACAGGAGGTAAACCTCAGTCTGCATAGTGCAGGTAGGGGCTCTCACATGACTTGATGCTCTTCCACGAAAACAAAGTTAAACAAAACAACAACATGCCAGCATGCTGCTAAACTGCTTGAAATCGGTTGGGTTAAGGTGAGCGCTTCTAAGCCTCTCTTAAGAGCTCTTCAGTCTCCCTTCAACTGCTTACGACAGTGCTTGGTTAACCATTGCTGAACCAGCACAAAATCTCTCGAAGCAGGATGTTATGTTGCTGCAGGTGGTTGAAGTGTTGTTTGGGGGACAGGAGTGTTGAATCAACCTGTTTGATTATACTGGGTCTTACTTAAGTGTGTGTGTGTGTGTGTGTGTGTGTTTTTCCGTAGGACCATCCCGAGCAAGGCGTGTTGTTTCTTGTGCGAGGGCTGCTGAACGTCATCCAGGACTATACCTGGGAAGATAACGGTGATGATAAAGTCCGGATTTATACAAATGTTGTGCATCTTCTCTCAGCAATGAGTCAGGAGACTTACATCTACCATGTAGACAAAGGTAAGAGAGGGAGGCTTTGATGCTGGGAGCCCCAGAATTTCATTAGGAAGCTCCTGCAAGCCACAGTACCAAATGCTGACTCGCTCGTGTGAACAATAATGCAGCTGCCTTCGACTGAGTCAGCCCATTGGTCCATCCCCCCCAGTATTATCTACTCTAGTGCCCTTCCCCTGAAGTTTTGGACTACAATTCCCATCAGCCCTAGCCAGCTTAGCCAATGATTCAGGGTTTACTCCTGATTGGTACTTCAGAGTCGGGGGCTTTCTTAGCTCTGCTACTTCCAATGCTCTTAAAAGGAGATGCCTGGGATTGAAGCGAAGATCTTCTGTGAGCAAAGCATGTGCAGAATCTTTTGCATTTAAGACTAGGTATCTGAAACTCTGGAGAGCCATTGCCAATCAGTGGAGACAGTGCTAGGCTCTGCATGGTCTGGCTCCACATAAGGCAGTTTCCTGTTAATTTAGAACCACACAGACTGAGATCTTACTTCATACCACAATAGCTGAGTGGTAGAGCATCTGCTTGGAATGCAAAGGGCCACAGGTTCAATCCCTGGCATCTCCAGGTACGGCTGGGAAGGACTCCCTTCCTGAAATCCTGGAGAGCTGCTGCCAGTCAGTGTCTGCAATACTGAGTGAGATGAGCCAGTGGTCTGACTCAGTGCAATGCTGGTTCCTGTGTCCCTGTGCTCTACCACTAACCCTATGCACAAAGATTGAATTGTTTATGAATATGGCAGGTTTAAATACATGGAGGAAGCAGGTGATTGGAACTGCAGTCCAACAACCTCTGGAGGGCTGTAGGTCCCCCATTCCAGCTTTAAACAGCGGCTTCAGGGGGAAAAGGAAAGCTTCAAGGAGACAGATTTGGTGCTAGCAAGGGTGTTCTGTTAGGAGCTGACAGACTTAATGGACAAGCAAAGGCGATTGAATGGAGTTGCTTGACAGCAGAAGATATAAAGGCAGTTGAAGGTTCCAGAGGTGGATCGGTTAAGATCACTGTTGCTGATATATCAGGGGAATAAGGGGGGAAAGACTGTGGAGAATTTTAAAAAGGTAAACACGAGGAGTTAGTCTGGATGCAGAGATGATGGGATTGCCAATGGAGGAGTGGAGTGTTGCTTGGTCTGATGGAAGAGGTGAGCTATTTCAGCATAAAAGTTACGTGACTGGCATGCAGCCGTAGTCAAGATGAGACCTGATCAGGGTATGGAATGGCGTTGGAGGGGAGGAGGCAGAGAAGAAAGGGCCTGGTTTACAGTGCTGTACAAGCAGAAGTGCCTTGGCCTGACGCCAGACTGATAAATGGAGGGCAAAGGGGTAAATGAAGTCACAGGTGAGGCCAGGGCTCTGGTCCTGTTCAGCCTTGCTAGTGGTGGATAGATTGCCTTTAAACTTGGGCAGTTAACAGAAAGGTGGCCTGGAGACAAAGAGACGCCATAGACACCTTCTGTTGGATCCGGCCTCTGCCCTGAGTCATATAAATGAGGTTGCTTGTTTCAGGACTTCAAGTCCTCTCTGCATCCATCTTATACTGCCACCTCCCCCTGCTCCATCTTTTTGTTTGGTGGGGCTGCAAAAAGAGAAGAGTCAGGATTCTGTTATGGGGTTGTTTTGTTTTTTATGGTATAATAGATTTGTATTTTAAAATGTGTTTTAAGTTGTTTGGAGACCTTCAGGTTACAAGGGACTAAGAAGTCTAATAGTAATGATGATAATTATAATAATTATTATTCTGGAGAAGACAGTAAGGGGCAAAGAGAGAAGAGAGGAGTCATTATTTCCAAAGAGTAAAAAGTGAAAGCTTTCCGTTTCTTTTTTGTATCTTTCAACTGTGTGTGTGCAGGGGAAAGGCACAGTTCAATGCTGAAGTCACAGTGCAGGTCAAGGGATCAACAGCCTTCTATAATTAAGCACAGTGACCTGTCAGGCAATTAGTAGCCAGCCTGAGGGAAGGGGTAGTAAAAGCTTGGAAATAGGTAGGAGAGTGAAAGGCAGAAAGAGGCATGTATTTATTTAAAGGATTTAATAAACTGCTTGATCCAAGAAGCTCTCCAAGCCATATACAAAAAAATTGGAGCTAAAACCCACTGTCTAATTAAAAACAAATATACGTAGAGCCACTATCATTAGAGACAAAGATAAAATTAATAAAACTTCTAAAATGGATTTAGGTAACTCAGTTTCTATATCTGGGTAGACTTGCTGAAACGAAAAGGCTTTCAGTGGGCAGCTGAAACAGTACAGTGAGGGCACCTGCTTAATGTCAGTAGGCAGGGAGTTCCACAGACACTGGTAGTGCAACATCCCTTATTAAAACTGATCTCAACACCAAGAAAATTTAGCTTACAATTTTATTTCGGATCGGATAGTATCACGTTTGAAGTTTCTAAGGGCAACTTGCGTCTTATGCAGGGGTTCGGTTCTTGGGGTCCACATATAAACACAAAATCAGCCTCTGCCAATCTGGTGCCCTCCTGTTTTGGACTACAACTCCCATCAGCCTGAGCATGATGCTGTGCTGTCTGGGGCTGATGGGAGTTGTAGTCCAAAACAGGAGGGCAACAGATTGGCAGAGGCTGATGATATAAAATATTCTGAGCTCCTTGGAAGAAAGGTGACATGAAAATAGAAAGAAGATCCACTCTGGGTCATGTTTTCAGCCTCAGTTTGGTGCTTGTTTTTCTCTTTTAGCACAGCTTGATAAATCCTTTTCGGTTACTAAGCAAGTATTGAGTGTGCAATTGGATTATGATCCTGCACAAAGAGCCTAAATACTTAATCCACACGTTGCAAACCTTATTTGTGCAAAACCTGGGATTAAGCGCTGCTTTGCATCAGTAACTCTTGAGCGCTTGGTTCAAAGAACTTCATGTATTCCTAACTTTAATAATAATATCTTACTAGTGCAGGCATGCTCAAGCTCATTTAATCTCATGACATTTCCCTAAGAGAGAGAGAAAAAGAAAGAAAGAGAAGGCTTCTGCCCTGCTTTCTCTCTTGCCATGGCAGTGGATGAAGTAGTTCTTTAAAAATACACAGCTTACTTGCAGATAGCTTAAATGAAGTGTGGGTAAGGCCACTGGAGTAATCTGCAAATGCTGGAAGACTTCTGTCTTGACTGTGTAGCAGATTCCAATATTTCTGTAAAATCAAATACCTGAAAGTGGCATTCGGAATTACCTTAACCCGGGTTGGCAGCGTTGTGGCTACTCCTGTTATGGGTGTGGAACCTTTTTCAGCCAAAGGGCCATGTTCCCTTCTGGGGCCACGTACTAGTGGTGGGCGGAGTCAGAGGCAGAAGTAGGCAAAGTGTACAATAGGCTAGTTTTTGCACACACCCCTCTGTGTCATCCATCCAATCAGAGTTCAAGGATGCATTCAAGTCAGGCAAAGTCAGGAAAAACAGTCTGGATACAAAGCAGGGCACATGAGTGGGGAGAGAACCAGGGGCCAGATCGGTCTTTGAGGGCCACATTGGGCCCCTGAGTCTGAGGTTCTCCCCACTGGCCCTGAGCTGTTTTTAATGTTCCCTGTCATAGTAATAGTATATGCATGGATGTGGTATTTTATGAGATTGTTATATAAATGCTTCTGGTTTTTTTAAGCTGTTTTTGTTGTGATTGTATGTGTGTGTTTACTTCTTTTTAAATATTGTTGCTTTTTCCTATGTTTTTCTCCTATGTTTTCCCTATGTTTTTAGCTGTTTTATTTATAAGCTGCCTTGAGTCAGGGAAAAAGGTGGGGCTGGGGAAACTCAGCCAGATGGGCGGGGTATAAATAATAATAATGAATTATTATTATTATTATTATTATTATTATTATTATTATATTTTATAACAATAATAATCTTTTATAAACTGGTTTGAAAACCTCTTGAGATTTTATAAAGCTGAATGTAAGTACAGTGGTACCTCAGGTTACATACGCTTCAGGTTACATATGCTTCAGGTTACAGACTCCGCTAACCCAGAAATAGTACCTCAGGTTAAGAACTTTGCTTCAGAATGAGAACAGAAATCTTGTTCCAGCGGCGCGGCGGCAGCAGGAGGCCCCATTAGCTAAAGTGGTGTTTCAGGTTAAGAACAGACCTCCAGAACGAATTAAGTTCTTAACCCGAGGTACCACTGTATTCTAAATAAATAGATGGATGCTGTCACAGGGGAGGTGATGTATAGAAAGCCCCGGGAGACAGAGAATCACTTCCATTTTTTTAGTTTTTCTTCATTTCTCTGGCACACCCACTTGGTGTTTACATTGCAATTTTTTAAGTGTCATGGGACTACTCTTTTATTCTCTGTTTACATCGTGTTTTGACGTGGTTGATTTTAAGCTGCAGCTTCTGAAAGTTTTGCTTTCTCTCCCTGATAATGTGTTAATAACGTTTAGCTTGCTTTGTTAGTCCCTGTTGAATGGGTAATTTTATTGATTTTTGTTTTTCTGATTTTTATATCTTGTATACTGCTTTGAACACTAGTCATGGGGTATACATATTTCAGAGAAAACTATTTTAAGAAGCTTCACATTCTTGGACACCATTCTGGCATAATTTTAAATATTTGTGTAAGTGAAATAAAAAATGGTCTTAGGGATGTTACGTTCTTTGAAAACAAATTATTGAATGTACCATAAAGTCAACGGTGATCAATGTTCTATTTTGAAAGAAAAGACTAAAGTGAGAGAAAGCGTTCTTGTTTTGAAAATCAAAGAGCATCCTGTAAGAACAGCAACTTTTCCATATTTTTGAAAGGAAACTTTAGAGGCTTTAATCAGTCCGAATAATTAGACAAACTTGGCTCATTAGTGTATTTCCCAGCAGAAACAGAATTTTCAGATGAGTCTTCTTAGAACTTTAGTACAATCTGCTGAGGGTATTTGCATTTTGTATGCATGAAATCCGCCCCCCCCCTTTTTTTTTGGTTTCCAACAGTCAAAACAAATTAAGACTTGTCATTAGGAATTTTCATCCAAAAGTTACAGAACAGATCCAACATTGTACACTAGGTCATGCCTACATGGATGTTCTGAATGCACATCCAACTTTGTAGTTCACTATGTGCCAAGATGCTCAGACTCTACTTTGCCCATAGCTTACTCTACAGATGGAGTAATTTCAAGCTCAGGTGTATGCACTGGCTCTGCCCTCTGGGAATGGGTGGTATCCAGCTAAGCCCTACTGAGAGTTCTTGCATTGCAGGGAGTTGGATGAGATGACACTTGGGGTCCCTCCCAACTCTACAATTCTATGACCAACTGAAATTAATGAATTAATGGGTCTCCTCTGAGTGGGACTAGCATTGGATACAGCCCATTGTTACTTGGAAAACTGAATGGCAGACAGAATTGCTCTGAGGTGTTTTTGTATTGCTTTGTAACGCTTTCATGTTGTTGTGCACTGCCCTGATGTTTTGCAAGAGGGCGGTACATAAATATTTTAATAAAAGTAAGTATTCTTACTTTATATATAGAGAGAGAGCATTTAGGCCCCTTGCTTCAGCCCAAATGGCTCCCAGAGTGCCTTACATACAATCAATTAAAACGAGGCAGTACGTGCATGTAGGTTTACAATCTTAAACACACACACACACACACACAGGAACGGAGGGAAGAGGAAGAAAATAAAACTCAGGCACCAATAAATGTTTACTTTTTTGTCTTCTGTCAAGCATTCTTGAATACCCACATCCCTGTTTTTATTCCTAAACCTGTTTTCTCAGTTGAATCCAATGATACCCTGTATGGTGGAGATACCAAATTCCTGGCAGAAACCAACAAGCTGTGTGAAACCTTGATAGCCCAGATCCTGGAGCATCTCAAGAACCTTGGGAAGGATGAGGTTGGTGCAAACTAGTTTCTTCTTTTGGGACACCCGTCTAGCCTAGCCTTCCCCAACCCCTGCAGATTTTGTGGGACTACAATACTCATCATCAATGCTTGCCGGAGCAGATTAGAGCTGTAGACCAAAACACCTGGAGGACACCAGCTTGGGGGAACTTGGTTTACATAACAAATATTTGCACAAACACTTTACATAGTTTGCTTCCAGCGTTGTGTTGGGCCTGAAATCTGCTCCTAAGCTGCTGGCCACTGTTTCTCAGTTTTACTCTCCTTCCTTTCCTTCTGAACATATCTTGCTTACACCATTATTATGGTCACACCATTTCCTGCTGAGGTTTGGTCTCATGGTGTCAGGTTTCCCTCTGCAGGGGTGGGGGGCCCATTAAGCTGGTATGGCCTTGGAGACTGGATTCCTGAACCCTCTGGGAGATTTTGTGGTGGACAGAGCTCTTGATTCTGCTGAGGTCTTAGTCTTGCTGAAAATCAGTGAGATTTGGTGGGCTATTCACACAATCACTCCAGTGGCTTCTCCAGCCTGGAGGAGCCCACGTTGTTCCTTGGTATTCTAGGGAGCTGCAGACTATAACACGGGCTGGACGATGGCCAGAGTATGAGTGGCGCAAAAGGCAAGGATGACTGCTTAGGTCTCTGTGATGACATTGACGCTGCTGTTGTTGTCACCAGTCTGGTTGAAGTGTCCAGTGTACCATCTGGTCTAGGTCTGTGGGACAAGGGTCAGCTTTTGAGGCTTGAGTATGTGGACAAGGTGTTTGCAGTGAGTCAACTGGCCACAAGTCAACCAGCCATGTATTCCTTTGGCCCTGACTCATCCTGGCTAATTTGAGCAGGCTGAGGAGAGGGTGGGTGAGTCCTGGGTATAGAAAATGCATCCTTGCATGAGAGTGTGATGCTTGCCAACCTTAAAAGAGGTGACAGTCTCTCAGTTCCTGGGGGGAAACCCCACCCCACCCAGGATCCCATGATCAGTGAAAAGTACCAGCTTGTCACAAATAACCCCTTGAAGAGTGAGGTGTTCAAGAGGGTGGTAGCAACTCTCCAGGCACTCCTGGAGAAAGATTATCTAGGCCAAATCCACTTTGGTTTTAGGCCTGGCTTTGGAACAGAATCGGCCTTGGGTGCCCTTATGAATGGCATTTAGTGTGAAAGAGGCAGGCATATGGTGGTGGTGCATCTTTGTTAAATCTCCTTGAGCTCTCACTGGCTTCTGATACCATTGACCATGGCATCCTTCTGAAAGTTACCATCTGGTCCCCAGTATGGTTTGACATGTCTATGATGCTGTTGGGAGGGTTCATTTGAGGTATAGGTACACTGATTATTCCCAGCTCTGAATCAGAAGTGGCTGTGCCAGTGCCTGGAAGCAATGGTGGGCTGGATGAGATCCAACAAGCTTATTATACTGTATTAGATCCCAACAAGATGCAGGCTCTGTAGGTGGGTGGCTTTCAGGCCTGTTCTGGATGGGATCTAGTTTGTAGTCTGCAATTTTAACTGTTTTTGTCACTAGAAGCTGAGGTGTCTACAGTGGCAAAAAGTGTATTTTATCAGCTTTGGCTTGTGTGCCAGCTCTGGCCGTTCCTAGACAGAGCATTAGCCAGGCCACAGTGATCTGTTCATTGGCAACGTTGAGACCGAACTACTGCAATGCACCCTATGAGCTCATAAAGCATATAAGTGCTGTATAAGAACATCTCTCATTGCCCACTCATTGGGAGTGTGGAGAGAGCAGTTGCTTGACTTCAGCAGGGCTAATGTTCCTGTAGAATGAGGTAGCTGTAGAAGCATGATGTTCAACTGTAGCAACATCTTCTTGGGAGAGCCTTTCCCTATGTTACATTCAACATAACTCTTTCTTGCTGGGTTGTATGCGTGCACGCATGAGCGAATAGTCCTGGTAGCAGCGTTTAGGCAGCGTTTTAATTTCTTTCCCTTGCTTGCTTCAGCAGTAATTCACACCGGGTAACAGTTAAGGCTGGGTGAATTGAGAGAGGGCTCTGGTGAAGTATAAAATGCATTAATTAATGTGGCAGGTCAGCCACAATGGCTCAGCAGCTTCCAACTATTCTTCAGCTGATTTGATTCCTTGGGGCGATGGCTGGCAGCTCTGCCTCTAAAAGGGGGGAGGGGATGGCAAGCAGCTCTTGCTCTTCCCAAGTTGAACAGAAAGTGCTTCCTGACAAAGGGGATGATCAAAAGAGCATTCAGCCTACTACACAGGGGTAATGCTGGCATTGCTATGGAACACCTCTAGGGCTTGGCAGCTGCCCTAGAGAATCCCTGATGTGGTGCTTTTATGAAGCATCTTCAGGGTAAACATATATGAGCATATGAAACTCCCTTCTACTGAGGTTAGATCGTTGGCTTATCTAGCTCAGCATTGTCTTACTATGGCTCTCTACGTGTCTGGATGAGATCTCTTCCAGCTTTCCTACTTGAGATTCTTTGGAATGGGATTGAACTAGGGACAGTCTGCATGTGCAAGTCAGTGTTTATGTGACACTGCCTTTGTTTTTGCTGTTTTGTAATGTGTTCTAACAGTGTTGCGTGCAATACTGCAGAATGACACTGTTGTTTCCAAGAGGGTTTAAAAATTTAAAGTAGGCAGAAGACGTGAAGGGAGGGGCTGATAAGGGAACAAAAGGGGTTGCTCAGCCGTAGGTTAATGTGCCTGTCAGTCAAGTGCTTTCATTGCAGCTTCAGCCTAAGGGAAATGCAATTCCCTTTAGAAACAAAAGATGACATATGGATGATAAAAATAAAAAATAGTATTATCTCCATCATTACATCTGTTGATCTCAAAACAAGGCAAAAGGCTTGACATTTGTTGGTTGAATGTCTGTAATCAAACAAGAAAAAGTATTTTGTCAATTTTAATACTGATTTATTATAGCACAAACATTTGTGGACTAGAGTCCACTTCATCAGATGCATGATGTGGCATTGTCAGTAGGTAGATATGAATCAATAGGTGCAGGCTAAAAAAACTAAAAATGGTCCCAAATGACAGTGAAATGCAACATCTGCAGCCTGACATTCCATCAGTTGATTCTCTCCTTTCCCTTCCAACCCTGTGTATGAACTTGCAAGCTACATGTCTGTCTGCTAAAAGAATTCTGTGTTTTAAAATGTTGTAGACTTTAAAGCGGCAGAGCCAGCTGGCCCTCAACCTCTTCAATAGCATCTTGGCCCACGGAGACCTGAGAAACAACAAACTCAACCAGCTCGCTGTTAACTTGTGGAACCTGGCTCAGAGGCACGGCTATGCAGACACAAAAATCACGGTAAGGCAGATTTTAAGGCTGGGCAGGGTGTGACCTTTGTATTCAAACAACAGAGTTTTGCAGCATCTTAAAAGACTTAACAGATTTATTGTAGCATCAATATTTATGGGCTGGAATCCACTTCATCAGATGCAAGAAGTTGGCAGCTATAAAATAAATAGCTACAGAGAGGAAAAATGGGACCAAATGGCAATGAAGGGAAAGGGTCAGCTTGCTTTGTTTTGTTTCCGTCTGTAGAAGACTTGGTTTAGCAGAATTGTCTCTTTCGACATTGTCTAATAATTTAAACTTTTCGAATTAGGGTATCCAAGCTTCCCTGTTTTAATTGGAATAATGGTTCATGCCTGACTCCACTGGACCCTGAAACCCAGTTTGCCACCCTACTTAAAAGCAGAGCTGCATAGCAAGAAGACACCTCATGTCAACCTTTCCCTCACTTTCCCCATAAAACTGGAACTCGGGGTCACCCAGTGAACTTGACTGGCAGCAGATTTGAAACAGACATAGGAGAAGATGCACAACACATAATTAGTCATGTGATTCATTGTCAAAAGATGTGTTGATGCTCACAGACCTGGATGTCTTGATAGGGTAACATAATATATCCCTCAGTCACTACTAGTCATGGCTGCTATAGGAATTATCCATTTTCAGAGGTCGTGTGCCACTCCAGTACCAACTGCCAAGGGGCCAACAGCAGGGGAGGGCTATTGACTTCAAGCCTTGCTTGTTGCCTTTGAGGATGCACCTGGTTGGCCATAAATGATGGACTAGATGGACCTTAATTCAGAAAATCATTGCTAAATAACTTTTGCATGGCTTGATGATTTTCTTTTGTAACTTCTTTCCTTCCCCCAAAGTCAGACTCACCACTGAGTGTGCAACCAAAAGAATACCTGGGCTGTTCCATTTCACTCTATGCCCATCAGGAAAATATAGGGAGAATGCTGCTAACTGCATTTACCCAGAATAAGCCGTGCTGTTCACTAGGAAGTGCAACTGCCTACATTAGAGCTGGAAAATGGGTATTTTTGTGGCATTGTAAACCCAGGGCTGTGTGTTCCATGCACTTTTAAGTGCCCAAAATTAATTTTTACAAAATCGAAGCTGTGCTCCCAAGGTAACTCAGATTGACCGATGGCCAATAGCCCAGTGGCAGAGCTTATGCATTTTTCATGGCAAATGTTCCAGGTTCAACGCTGCTACTTCCAGTTAATGGGCCTTGGTTTCAGCAAGAGAGACAGACAGAGACCCCCTTCTGCAATTGGGGCCAGTAAGCTGCTGCAGGTCAGAGCAGGCTCAAGTCATTATGAGGCAGCTTCTTTCTCTGTGATTTACATAACAGACACACCTTAAGCAAGCTTTCACGATTGCCTGCCCTTTGATTTTGGTTGTGCTCAGGGGTCAGGATGCTCTGCAGGGCATTTCAGCCCTGTTCCCAACTAACACTGGGCGATATATCAATATATCTCGCCCAGGACCAGTATGTGAGGGTAGACTGCGATGATAACTTCACTCAGCATCATTGCTCTTGAGTCCCTCTGCCGCCCAGCATGTTGAGGAAGAAATAAACTAGTCAGGAGCTGGAGACAGAGGGACTCAAGTGGCAGCGGATTCACCGGCGATATACCACTGGTGAAACTGCAATCGCACTCTGCCCCTGAATTGGCAACTGCCACCAGTTCGCAGGAGTCAGTGGCAGGATGGGGGTCCCATTAAAATGCTCCTCCTAACCCAGCTGCGAGAGCCCTGACCCTGTTGCTGCTTGCATGAGAGTAGGAGCGGGATCAGGGCTGCTCAGCTGGGAAGAGCAAAGCCAGCCCTTCTCTGCTGAGAGAGCCAGGACCCCACTCCTGCTTGCACTTGAGTAGGAGCAGGATCGGGTCTGCAGCCGTGCTTGGCTACCGCCTGCCTGCCTTCATCTGGGAGGGTGTGCTGTGCCTTTCCTCCCAGAAAGATGGAGCCCACCTTCCTGGTGCAAGGCAGCCAGGCAAGGCAACCCCCAGAGGAAAGAGGCAGTGCACCTGCATGGGCAAAGGCTTAAGGCAGTCAAATCCACAAAGCCCAACAGGCTCTGTGCACTTGGCTACTGGTCTGTCTTTGGGAAGTGGGGGGCGAAAGTGGAAGGTAGCTTGCTTGCCCCCCACACCAGTGAAGGCGGAGGCAGCCTGGCCAAGGAGCCCCAAGGTCCTTGCTGCTCAAGTGCGAGTGGCAGGGACACCAGGGCTGCCTCTGCTGGGGGCAGGAGCTTTCCGCCCCCAGCAGCCTAGCCAAGGAGCCCCAAGTCACCTGGTGGTCACACGTGAGTGGAAGGGGACTCGGGGCTCACTCAGCTGGGGGCAGGAGCCTTTACACCAGGCATAGGCAATCTCAGCCCTCCAGATGTTTTTTGGGACTACAACTCCCATCATCCCTGACCACTGGCCCTGTTAGCTAGGGATGATGGGAGTTGTAGTCCCAAAACATCTGGAGGGCTGAGTTTGCCTACGCCTGCTTTGCACACATCCCCAGATGAGCAGCAGGCTGGGGCCAGCTGTATTGGCCACAGGCTGCAAGGTGCTGAGGTAAAAGCACCTCAGCTTCCATGATGAGAACTGCAGCAGTTTCACCCATCACCTTGCCAGGTGGTGCCAATGCAGCTTTTTACAACATCACAGTTTATCACCGAACTCTGGTGTTTGGAAGCCTCTGCCACCTTGTTGGTTTTTGAGGACTTCCACAGATGTTGCTTAGGGCACTGTCAAATTTCCACATTGTTCAGTGGTTTCAAACCCATCCTGAAGCAGATGCACATTACCTGTAGAGAGAGGACTTGATTTTCATTGTTTATTCCCCCCCCCCCCTTCTTTCTATCTTAGGTCAAAACCTTGGAATACATCAAGAAGCAAAGCAAACACCCTGAGCTGAGCCATTTTACCGATCTGGCTGCAAGACTTCCTCTGCAGTCAAGGACCTGACAAATCATAGCCTCCTGAACTTGGATGTACTGGAGGGTCCTTCTCTAAGGCCTATAAACCCCCCCCCCCAGGCTGCATCTTAGGCTATTATCGGAGTTCAATATCTTTTTTTCATTTTGTAGAGTCCCTTGGTGCGTGACAGATTTATTTGGTCAGAGACAGAAGGAAAATGTGTCCTGACAGTGCCATCATTTTTGAAATGAGGTTTTGTTTCCCCACTGCACAGCCACTAACCATTAAAAGGTGATTTAAATGCTAACTGGGGGTCGGTGAAACAGTATCTTACAATTTCAGACTGGAAATAACTTTTCTATCCAAATCTGATGGGGCTGTAAAGAAAAGAGGAGAGATAACTTGTGCCAGCATGTTTGAGCAATGTCTTTTGAGTGCTGCAGCCTTTGAAAGATGGGCTTGTACATCTGATTAACAGGGAGCTGTTACTCAGCGTTCCTCTTGAATATACCTCTCAGAACACCTTGCTGTTGGTGTTTTCTTATTTTATTTTAAAGCATCATGTAAATGGAGAGATTCTTGAGCGTTTGTGGTAGACCTTGAGAAATACTTGGAAGCAAATGTGTCCGGGAAGCTTTGGTGGCTAAGCTCAAAATGCATCGCTGTATTTAAAAAAAGATCTAATCATGGATACATCACATTTGTATTCATTCCCATTACCGAACTTTGCAAGCAGTGCTTAGCCTGCTATTTTGTAATCATTAGGCACACTTATTATTATGCTGCATAACCCAGCCTTCATTTGCCTTTTGATTGTAAGCCCATGTGAGCAGCTTGAGCTTTTTATAAAAAAATTCTTTAAATTACTGGTTAACACATCCCTTTGAGAATGGGCGAGCAGCGTATTAAAATGGATGGGGTGTACCATTTTCCAGTTCAGCACCAGCAATGTACATGATGCCTTAGAGAGGCAAAAATGGAAATGTCCCTGCCTGCAAAGAGCTTGCTCTTTCCAAATAGACAATTTGGGGAAACACAGGAAAGATGAATGCGGACAGATGTGATCAAATAAGGTACACTGAAAGCCATGCAGAGAAGGTGAGTTTTGAGGAGGGATCTGAGAAGGAAAAGAGGTAATGCTCATATAAAGACCACACCTCTGTTTGAGAAAGTTTCACACACAGGGCCAGAAAGGGAGCATAATTGTTTATTTTGAGGTTTTTGAACCAGCCCTTGAACTAAACGATTCTCTAGGTGGTTTAGCACAAGTTGTTGTAATACGAAAGCTCACCTCTGCAAACCCAGGTCATGAGACGAGCCTGCGGGATTAAGCCAAAGGCTCATTTAGTCCAGCCTCCTGTTCTCACAGTGGCCAACCAATGCCAATGGGAACCCCCAATCAGGACATCGCTCTCCCCAGCAACCAGTATTCTGAGGCATACAAGCTCCAGCAGTGGAGGTAGAATGTAGCCATGGCTTGGCAGCCTTTAATTCTATGGCTTATGGCACAAGCCAGTGTGTACCTCCCTTTGGTTTCATAGCTCAAGAACACTGGGAGGTTGCAGCAGAGTTGTCCTTTCTGGCTTTGAGGGAGGAAGCAAGGCCCCTGCAGCTGCTCTTGACTTGCTGTGATATTCTTCCCAGAAGGCAAAGGCTCCAGCCTCCCAGTGACCCTTGGTCGCCCTGACCATTGGCAGAGTCCAGTGTGCCTCCCTTTGGCTCTGCAGTACCAGGGAATCTGGCTGCTACATCAGGCCTGTGTTAAACAGCAAGTGGCCTTTGTGTAGCTGAGGGTGCAGGAACTGGGGTAGCAGAGGTGACAGTGAGAAGCCAGGGCCAAAACAGGGTGTAGTAATATTCTGAAGAGCTTTAAAAGGGTAAGGGGCACAATTACTAGAGTATCCCTGCAATGTCCTTAAGGATAACTCTGCTGGCCAGACCTTTTCATTTTCAAGAAAAAAAGTTGGGATTTGGTGGTCCTGTATGGTAGGAGGTTTCTGCTACAATAAAGCACTGTGCACAGTGCCCTTTGGTGGCATCGCTGCCATGAGGTCACTGCATGGTATTGCATGTCCTTGCAGGAGCAAACGTATTTGTTGCTGGTGTTGCATTGGAAATATCAGCCACAGAGGTTTCCTCGTAATTCTGTTTAAACAAATGGAATCCCACCCATGCTCAGTGGAACATGGAGAGAAACATAATGAAAGACAAGTTGTTTAAGCTGTTTGTCTGCAAGCTTTGCTTATACAATGAGTCGTGTAGGAAGGAGCACCATGCATCTGAGGACAGAAGAAAACGAGGCAGAGAACAAGGATGCTGGAAACTAGGAATGAGTTCAAAAACCGGACAAATCAAAGTCAGCTGCTGTTAAGGGAGTGGTTGCTAGGGGCTTAGTAAGTGCATAGTGTATAAAAGGGAGGGGGATGATGAGACTTGCTGAGCCATTTTGCCAAGCAGAATTCTACTGCCTTAGTAATAGAGCCACCAAGGAAACTGGGGGCAGAAAGCTGAGGGGAAGCTATTATGCTTGCAGAACAAGCAAACATCTTTTGGGCAGAATGCAATTTGGATGCATCACCATTGCCATGTGAGGACATAATAGATTGCAGTAGGTGGAGGGGAAGGGATGGGTGTGATCTGGCATATTTGCAGATCAACCAACTCACAAGTCAGTTGGGCAAACCCAATGCAGAATGTTTTATGCAAACAAGTAACATGGGACTTCATGGCTTCTAGACTAAAGTTGTTGTTTTTAAATGGCAGCTCTAATGGGAATATAGATCTATTAAATATTGGGGTTTAGAACTATTGCAGATATCTGGCCACCTATGAGGTAGGTTGCCAGCTTGGTGGAGGTGGGGAGGCAAGAGCAGGTCTGCTCTTGTGCCTTTGAAAGGTTTGATATTCAGAGTTCAGGAACTTGAGGCTTTGCTAGATATAGAGGGGGGAAATCAGTTGCTGCTTCCTGCAGACCAAACTGCTCTTAAAGAGACAGGGACAGGTGCAGCTTCAACAGCTGGCAAGCCAACAGAAGGATAGGTAAATCCTATCGACCCCCTGGCTGAGGCAGTAGAGACTTGCCAGTGCCCGTCGCTCATACTGTCAATCTTTCTGCAACCCTCAGCATACTAGCATCAACTCCTCAAAACTGCCAATCACCACTTAATTAGAACTGCTTTCTGTTTTCTTGAGTGCGGCTTTATGCTTGTGAGGATTCTGGACACTCCAGATGTTGTTGGACTCTTAACTTCTGACAGCCCAGCTTAGCCAATGGGCAGGAGTGAGGAGTGTTGCTGTGGTCCAGCCACAGCCCCTTTGGGGCAACCCAGAAACTGCATGCTGGCGGTGGGCGGGATCAGAGGAAAAGTAGGCAGAGTGACTAATGCAAATTTTACTTTTGCACAGTAGGCTAGTTTCTATGCACACTCCCCCCTCCATTCAGAAAAGCAAGAGGCGTTATCAGAAGGTGAAACATGTAAACAAGCAACTCGCGTATTGGAACTCTTCCTACCATGCAGGGTAGGGATTATACAGTGCAGGCTGGAACAGGACCGGCTTGTGATCTCGATTTGTAACATACAGTAATGTCACGAGTTTCCTGTTCATTGTGACTTCAACTCAGTGTGGTGTAGTGGTTAAGAGTGGTAGTCTTGTAATCTGGGGAACCGGGTTCGCGTCTCCGCTCCTCCACATGCAGCTGCTGGGTGACCTTGGGCCAGTCACACTTCTTTGAAGTCTCTCAGCCCCACTCACCTCACAGAGTGTTTGTTGTGGGGGAGAAAGGGAAAGGAGAATGTTAGCCGCTTTGAGACTCCTAAGGCGGGATATCAAATCCAAACTCTTCTTCTTCTTCTTCATGATACAGTAAGAGCCATGGCTGTTTTTCCCAGCTAATTCTTTTCAGGGGGAAAAGATGCTGTGCAGCTCTGGCATGGCTTCAGCTTGAACTGAGAACAAGCTTACAAAAGAAGGGCCTGTTTTAACTCTCCTTGCCCTGTCCACTCAGAAGATTCCCATTCACCCCCCACCAAAGAGAAAAAGATGCAAGTTCCCTGTATCTTTCTCCCTACAGATAAAACAGTAGATGGATGGGAGAGTGGGATTACTGCTGACAAGGAAGGGATTAAACAGTTCTCTGACCCAAAGCTACTTGTAGCTATTTCACCTACCTCCACCACCCAGTCATTTCAGCTTAACAGCAGGTGAACATCAGGTGAAACTAATACAATGAATAACATAAGAAACAAAAGCAGCAATAAAATGTAATTAAAAGTCACTATGAATATTTACTGTGATGGATGTGCCGCCTTTAACCACAAACCCACAGACATGCCACGGATCACCTGAAGCTTTGCAGACCACTGATGGCCCACAGAGCAGTTTGGGAACCCCTGACTACCTAGAAAGCAACTACGACGAAAAAGTTCTGTGATTATTCCAAGAAGGGGTGGATCGTATTTTGAGACATCTCATGCCAACTATTGGTTGTGGATTTTTATTTTTATTTTAAAAAATAACCGACTTAGACATGGTAGCCCTGGATGCTGGAAGTATCCCAAACGCTCTGTGAAACCTGAATGGGACACTGCTGCACAAATCATTTTATGCATGGCTTTTCATAAAGTCTCTTGAAGACTGACCAAGTCAGATGACGCAGGGTTTCAAGTGCACTGCTTATTAAATTGTACTTTGCGTGTTCTCCTGACTATCGGGCAACAGATGTGTCAATCAAAAGGCAGCAGTCGACATTTCATTTCTGGACATCTTTTGTTCAGCTTTTTGGGAGCATGGTAAGACATAGTTAACCCAGCTTCTGCTGCTTCAGCCTGTTCAGACCCATATCTCTCCTGAACTCTTTAGCTGTGGGAATTCTGTCACTACAGTGGTACCTCTGGTTACATACGCTTCGGGTTACATACGCTTCAGGTTACAGACTCCGCTAACCCAGAAATAGTACCTCAGGATAAGAACTTTGCTTCAGGATGAGAACAGAAATCGTGCTCTGGTGGCGTGGCGGCAGCAGGAGGCCCCATTAGCTAAAGTGGTGCTTCAGGTTAAGAACAGTTTCAGGTTAAGAACAGACCTCCGGAACGAATTAACTTAACCCGAGGTACCACTGTACTGTGGGTCTAATCCCAGTGCTCCGGGCTACTGAAAAGTAAGCTTGGAAGCAAAGGGTGCCAGGGTGAACAGACAATCCATTAAATGACCCATAACTTCATGTCCATTCCTCCTCCAACAATTAGTCTAATGAACATTTCAAAAATGAAGTTGGACATTTACAAACACCAGCTGCCAAGAGTAATGGGATAAAGATATCTGAGATTTTTTTACCTGTCTGAAACACGAGCGAATCCAACGATTTTGTTGAGAGGTCATTTAGCCACCAACATTTTTTTAGAAATCTGATGCCTGCTGGCATTCTTAGTCATTCCACCAAATGTTGTTCTCCCCGACCCCTCCCCCAGAAGAAGCACTGTTAAGGAAACCAAACATGATTTAGGAAAGCCTCCCTGATAGTTCAGTCTTCAAATTTTATAGATCTTGATGCAAATTTATCTATGTGCACCTGCTTCTGAATGGGAGGCTGAAATCCAAGGCCGATGCCTCTGTGGTGCTTCCAAGCTAACGCCTTCTCAAATTCAGTCTGTAGCTTCTGCTGCAGGTTCTGCTCTTTGCTCTTGTCCAAAGCCATGTTCAGCTTGGAGGCATGTGCTGGAGGACCTTGGACTGGTACAGGACCCTTCTTAAATCCACCCATCAGCCGGAGGAACTTGGTTTTTTGCTCTGAATTTTCAAAGGTTGCTGTGGTCCACTGGCCAAAATGGACATCCTGAAATGCAAGGCACAAGTGTGGATTAGTGCCCCAAAGGACCTAAATCAAGTTTATTAGCCAACCAAATGCAGGTTATAGCCAAAGAAGGAAAAAAGGAGAACAGTGTGATGCAGGGGTACATGTTCACAGTGCTCCAACTCAACCACTAAGATTGTCTGATGGTGGTTCCTCACATCCCTGAGGTTCAGTCAGCCTTTACTAGGGACCAAGCCCTTAGTGTGGCAGGCCCTGCCCTATGGAACTCCCTGCCACCAGAGGATTGACAGGAATCCCCCCCCCCCCCCCGCGCCTCCTTTCAGATGTTTCCTGAAAACTCTTAACACAGACAGGCCTCTGAAATGTTTATTTTTCTATCCTCTTCCCACTCATTTTTATTGATCTTACTGCAATTTCGTATGGTGTCTACTATTTTGCTGTATTCTTATGAAATGTAGAATCTATAAATATATTTTTTTTAAAAATGTACTGGGCACTGCACTGTCTTTTCATGCTAGAAGATGGCACATGCCTTATGGCCTGAGCAAGACAGCAAAGGCTGCATCTCAGTAAGCATACCTTCTGCAAAGTACAGGATTGTCTATATAAATATATCAATGCAAATAAGTGAGGAAGGTGCAGGAGGCAGAGAGGCACAGGCCAGAACTAGTAACAGCTTAGCGCAGGCGTGAGGACCATTTGGCCCTCCAGATTGCTGCCGAACAACAATTCCCAACAGCCCCAGCCAGTACAAGCAATGGTCAGGGATGGTGAGTGTTGTAGTTCTGCAGTATCTGGAGGGTTAGAGATTCCCCACACCAGGCTCAGTGGTAGAGTATGTGCTTTGCAGACAGAGGTTCCCAGACTCAAATTCTTTAAAAGGGTCAGGAAGCAGGAGATGGGGAAGACGCCCTTTTCTGAGACCTGAAGAGCCAAGGCCAGTCAGAATAGCTAATACTGGGCTAGATGAACAATAAGGCAGCTTCCTATGCATCTATTTAGTTATGAATCACTTCCCTTAAAACAGTCCAAAGCCACTTAACAGTAAAAACATCAAGACAATAAAAGCGTTGTGTTCAAACAATTTCAAGTCCAACACAAATAAAGATTGGGATTACAATCTCCCTTTAAGTGGCTCGTTTGGAAGAGGAAACGGGTGCCAAAGAAGACAAGTGAGACAGTGCCTATCTGATATGTAAAGAGAGGGAGTTACAAAGCGTAGGTGCCATGCTAAAGGCCTGATTCCTGCATTGTACGATGTCCAGATAAGGTGGTATCTGGAGGAGGGCCTCACCTGCAGAGCGCAGTGCTCTGTTGGGTATACAAGAGGGAGAGATGATTCAAGAGAATAAATGTTCTCCTTGTTTTGCCCTTCCTTTCCATCCCCCTCCCCACATTTACGCACACATGCATTGCCTCTCCCTCTCACCCTCCCCAATCCCTCCCCCTGCTTCCTCTCACCATCAGTAGGTGACAGCAACAGCAGTCAAAACAAAAGAGGCAGCAACCAGCCCTCCAGGCATTCCCAGGGAACCAACAGAAAGACAGGAGTCCTACGGGAGATGTTCTCTGAACCACTGCCTTCTGATTTTTCATTTCCTACCATGCCCAACTCTTCTTTCCAATTGTCTAGACTTCCTCCATTCTCAGCTTCTGCACCCAGACATGTCAGCTTACAAACAATTAATTCTACTTAGCGGTGGTGGTGGTGAGATTCGTGCAGGCGTAAGAACAGCTTTTCCAAACCCTGCAATTTTGGAGGTTAACTCTGAGCAGCTCTCCAACATGTCTTTATTTTTCCCTACCCTTTTTAGCTGGCTTTTTGTGAAGCTTGCCATTGGGCTCTGTCACTCCTGTTCTTCCAGGTGCTAATGCATTCTGAGAGGCCGTCGCCAAGGGATTGGGATTCCCTGCATAAATGTCAGCTGGAGGACAACTCTACAGCCATCTAGACATTTGCACATTTAAAGCACAACTGGGCATTTACAAAAAAACCCCCAAACTGTCCAGCTTCCTTCACCTGAAATACCTTACAACTCTTTTAGAGGTTGCAAGCATCCACCTGGCATTCCAGTTTTAACGACAAGCTGAAACATTTGCAGAGGAGGACGACCACGATGGAAACCAAGCCTTATGAGAAATAGTTGAAGGAGCAGGGTTTGTTTAGCCTGAAGAGAAGACTTGAGAGGAAACAGACACCTTTAAATATCTGAAGAGGTGTCAAATGAAGATGGAACAAGTTTGTTTTCTGCTGCTCTAGACCAGGCTTCCTCAAACTCGGCCCTCCAGATGTTTTGAGACTACAATCCCCATCATCCCTTACCACTGGTCCTGCTAGCTAAGGATCATGGGAGTTGTAGGCCAAAAATCATCTGGAGGGCCGAGTTTGAGGAAGCCTGCTCTAGATGGTAGAATCTATACCAATGGATTCAGATTACAAGAAAGAAGATTCCAACCAAACATAGAGTTTGAAGGTACCTCGAGGTTCATCTAGTCCAATCCTCTGCAATGCAACAATCTTTTGCCCAATGTGGCGCTTGAACCCACAATCCTGAGATGAATAGTGTCATCCTCTACCAACTGAGCTATCCTAGCAGTCGCTAGGAATAACTTTCTGATGGTAAGACCTATTTGACAGGGATATGGGCTATCTTGGAAGGTGCTGGACTCTCCTTCACTGGAGGCTTATAAACAGATGTTGAATGGCCATCTGTCAGGGGTTCTTTAGCTGTGATTCCTGCACTGCTGAGGGTTGAACTAGATGGCCCTTGGGGGTTCCTTCCACCTCTACAATTCTATGATACTATAACTGAATAGGACTAGCCAGGGCAGCAAATGTAGTCTACCATCCAGGGAGTGACCAGAGGCAGACCAGCTTATTTTCAGCACATACCTTTAGACTAGGCATACCTTCACTGTCAGAGGCACTACGCCTCTGAATATCAGTTAGTGGGAATCACAAACGGGGAGAGTACAGTTCAGCTCCTGCTTGCATGGTTCCAACAGGCATCTGGATGTTGCCCATTGAGAGAGCAGGATGCTGGATCAGTTGGGCCACTGGCCTGATCCAACAGAGGCTCTTATGCTTTTACACAGAAGTGATAATTCAGAGAGGAAATCTGTCATGTGTGAAGTGGCCCTTTGAGACAGCTGGACTTCTAATGTGAGCAGATGCCAATCGATACCCAAGATGGCCTATTCACCTAAAGTACAGAAACCTTTTAACACCCCTCTTGGCAATTTAAGACTCAATTTCCCCATCTAAGTCAGCAAACACAGAGAACCTCAATTGTGCCATTACTCCAGCTCCCAAGACAGGCTAGCTCACTTCCGCCAGGGATTTGGGGACCACATTCTTCAAAGGGGGCAACTGCTTCCTGCAGTTAAGAGTATCAGATGGTGCAGTCCACTAAATGCAGGGAAAAGGTAGGCTCCCTCCGATTCTCTGCCTCTGACTGGTCATCTTTTGCAGTCATGGAGAAAAGAAACATGGCAGTGCTAATCAGAGCGTGAGAGCTATGTCCAAGGGCTAGTGTTATTTATATTCCACAGCAAACAGAAACAAACAAACACACAAAAATTCTACAGCAAAGATACCACAACTAATTCCATTAAGGGACTATCGGAGCAAAAATGCTATTTTTCAGGATTAACAACTGGAATCACAGTTTTCTGGAGGTCAGAGTGCTCTGGTTTCAGCATCTCTAAAGACTGGACTCATTTGTTCTACAGCATGACCTCAAGTTTCCAATCAGATGAGAGATTGGCGTGCCAAACCACAGACATGACTAGCATCGCAAGTCAACCACAGTGCAAGGCTGCTTTGTCCTAGCTACCTGGGCTCTTGCAGAGCTCGTGCTTACCGATTCTCCCTCTTCCTTGACAGTCTTCATTTTGCCAGATTCCCTGTCAATCTCTTCTTGGAGAGCCTGCCGTCTCAACTGGCATGGAAAAATGGGGAAAATATGCGCATGAGGGCAAAAAAATATTGTTTGATTGTAAAACTGCTTAGAAACGTCAAGAAGTTAAGGGGAGAAGTGTCCAAAATGTTACTTGCAGGAAAGAAAAGGCACAATTTCAACCCTTTTACGCATACAAGAATTTGCGAAGGTAAAAAGCATCTGCAAGACAAGCAGTTCTCAAAATACACAAATGCAGAGAAAGAATGTTTTACAGACTGGGAGGCTGCATTTACTTGGCTCTGAGAACACTGCAGGTAGTGGATGACCTCAAACTGTGTACATGGAAAAGAGTGGCAATGAAGGAGGGATGATAAAATACCCATGGAAACAATCAGACATTTTGAACCCCTTTGGCATTATCCAGTTGCCCTCCCCAGCCAGCTACTCCAGTTTCAAAATTCCCTTGCATCAGAGATGGGCAACCTTCCCAGTGCCTCCTGGATACATTTCCAGAGTGCTTGAAATACCACTCTCCTGTTCTAAAGTAGGTGCCTGTTGCCATAAAAAAAAAAAAAAATGCAAGCAAGCTTGACAAAACAAAGCGGGCTTATCAGGAAGACCAGGAAACAAGAAAAGAAGAGCAGGTGGAGGTGGGGAGAGGACAAATCTGAAAGCCTCAGGACTTCTAAGCTCATCTCATTCACAAAGAACCAACACATTTGAATCCAGCACTTGGGGAGTAAGGCTGGCTTTGCACATCTGATGCTGTGCCCAGAATTACAGAACTACCACAGAGCAAGAATAGGTGGCCAAAGCAGCAGAACTGCAGGTGGTGCCTGAAGCTGAGTCCTTCCATGGTTAGAGTCGTGAAACACAATTATCTGCTAGATAACAGGCCCCCTTCTTGATACAATTCTCAATTTACAGAGGATCATACAATCTTATCCTAAAACCGCCACTTCTCTCACACTGGAGTTGCCCAAACAACACCTTGGTTCAGATGATCAATTAAACTACAGTTTATGGGTTATACGTGACTGGTGGGAACAAGCTGTGTCAACTCTGAGGCTGCATGCTCTCGCTTCCCACTCTTCCATCTTTGTACGAGAAGTGGAAGAGGGGACCGTGTGAGCCCAAAACTCATCACAGTTTGATTGTTTAAACTATGGCTGATCAGTCAGTGACTGTTTTGTATGTGAAATACTTTAAACACAGATGTTCTTGTGGAAAATGTGGTATATAAATCAAGTGATAATGACTAGGAGCATAATCCACAACCTACATAAGTCTGAGCCACATAGTCACTAACCCGAAAACCACATAGTCACTAACTGGGAAGCAGCACATAAAAGTCTGGCATAGCCCAAGATGGGTATCCCGAGAGGGCAGGACATGCAGATGAGATCCTGCTTCATCACGTCCATGTGAGCCAAACACAGAACATTATCCAAATCAGCCTAATATGTGCCACAATAAGACTCCAAAAGAGCCACAAAAGAATAAGGTTGTACCTTGTCTATTTGTATTTCGTCACAGTTTCCTTTCTTAAATGCCACCACTTTTATTTCTTCATCCCCTTCCTGAAAAACAAGAGTGCACATTTTGAGTATCACTGGGAAAACCCGCTCATGTTTAAGCGTGATATGGTTAGCATTCCACATTATACCAAAAGAATGGTACAGTGGTGCCTTGCAAGACGAAAAGAATCCGTTCTGGGAGTCTCTTCGTCTAGCGGTTTTTTCGTCTTGCGAAGCAAGCCCATTGACGGATTAGCGGATTAGCGCTATTAGCGGCTTTTAGCGGCTTTTAGCAACTTATCAGCTTATCGGATAAGCAGATAAGCGGCTTAGCGACTTAGAAAAAGAGGGGGGAAAGGAAAAAAAAAACCAGGAACTCGCAAGACATTTTCGTCTTGCGAAGCAAGCCCATAGCAGATTCGTTTTGTGAGGCACCTCCAAAACGGAAAACTCTTTCGTCTAGCGAGTTTTCCGTCTTGCGAGGCATTCGTCTTGCGGGGCACCACTGTATAAAAATGGAAGATTAAAGCCACAGAGTGGCTATTGGAGCCCTGCCATCTCTTCATGAAGTTACTGGTAGCCATGGCCAAGATAAGATCAGACCAAAAGCTCCTGTAGCCCAACATTCTCTTCCCACAGTGGCCAAAAAGATGGCGAAGGGAAGTCCACAAACAGGAGTACAGTGGTACCTTGGGTTACACACACTTCAGGTTACATGCGCTTCAGGTTACAGACTCCGCTAACCCAGAAATAGTGCTTCAGGTTAAGAACTTTGTTTCAGGATGAGAACAGAAATCGTGCTCCGGCAGCATGACGGCAACAGGAGGCCCGATTAGATAAAGTGGTGCTTGAGGTTAAGAATAGTTTCAGGTTAAGAACGGACCTCCGGAATGAATTAAGTACTTAACCCGAGGTACTACTGTACAAAAAACACCCTCACACTTGTGATCTCCAGCAACTGGTGTCTGAATGCACACTACCTCTGATACTGGAAGCAAGAAAGCTAAAATATGCCTATTAGTCACCAACAGCCTTATCCTTCACAAATTTGTCTGATCCCCCTTTAAGGCTGTCCAAATTGGTGGGTATCACCACATTATTGTGGTAGTAGAGAAAGAACAGATAACTGAAAGGAGAGGTGATAACCGCCCCAAAGAACCTGTGTGGCGTAGTGCTTGGAACGTCAGACTAGTACCTGAGAGACCAGGGTTCAAATACCCACTCAAACATGAGTGAGGATTTGAAATCCCCACTTCTTACATTCCTCCATTTTAAGAACTGTGTATTTATTTCTACTCTCTGCTTTCAAGTTTATTGATCCTGTCCTCTTATCCCAAAAGTCTTTGGTGAGGAGCTTTATGACAAAAGGTTTTCAAAAATTTAAAGACACAATGTTGACTGGGTCACCCCTACTTACATTCTCAAAGAATGCTAAAATTTCAAATCCTCATTCAGCCATGAATTTTGGGTGAACTACACTTTCCCAGCCCAACCCAACCTACCTAGAGGTCCCGGGCCCTAAGGAAGTTAGATTAGCCTCAACCAGAGCCAGGGCCTTTCCAACACTGGCTCCGGCCTGGAGGAACGCTCTGTCTCATGAGACAAGGACCCTGCAGGATCGGATTTCTTTCCACAGGGCCTGTAAGACAGAGTTGTTCCGCCTGGCCTTTGGCTTTGAATCAATTTGATTCCCTCCCCCTTTTTCTTTTTTCCTTTCTCCTCCTGTGAAGAGGCTGCATCTTACTGTTTTAATGTAGTATTTTAATCTTGTTTTTAAGTTGTATTTTAATCAACTTGTTTTTATTATTGGTTGTTAGTCTTGGCTGGGGAGGGCGGGGTATAAATAAAATTTATTATTATTATTATCCCATCAGGCACTCGTGATGCTAAAATGGGGGCAGGGGAGGGCAAGGGAGAGGGAAGCAGAATCACACATGACACTCTGACCTTACTGGAGGACAGGTGGGATAAAAACAAACTACATAAGAAATGGCAAATAGCAAGTTCTATTTAGAAGCTACCTTTGCTTCTTGTTTAATCTTTGCTTTCTTGAAACTGGGCTCTTCTTCACAGGCTTTGGCGCCTCTGTTCTCCCGGTCCTTCTTCTTTTTCTTCTTGATGTGCTGCCTGCTGTCATTTTCAGATCTGCCATCTTCCCAGCTCACTACATGGTCTTGCGCCTTTTTGGATTTGGGGGCGTTCTTAGTCCTCTTTGTTGCTGACCAGCTCTCATTTGTAGCCACATCTCCATCATCCTCCAAGAGAGCTGGATGATCGCTTGCAACTTTGGTTTGGGTTTTCCTCTTCTTCATTTTCTTCTTCTTCACTTTGCTGTCTCGTTCAGAGTTTGAGATCAGACCTGTTTTCTCCTTGCCATTGCTTGGCTTTGTTTTAGATTTTTGTTTTGGTTGGCTTTCAATAGAAACACAAGACTGATTTTCCTGGTTATCCTCTGATGTCAGAAGAGGTTGCTTTCTTTTCTTTTTCTTCCTCTTCTTCTTCATTACTTTGCTTTCTTCTTCTGATACATTGGCTGTGCCCTCTAGATGCTGTTGAAAACCAAGAGCTCTCCTCTTGCAACCAAATTCTTCTTCTAACTGGTGTACAGTGTTGGCAATACCTTTTTCTTTTAAGCAGCAAACTTTTTTTTTCATTACAATATCCCTGTCACTTGCAGCATTTTGGACAAGAGTCTGAAACATTGTCTCCTGGGAAATGGTTTTTTGTTTTTTGGAGACGTGTTTTACAGGCTCATCCTCATCTTCTCCACTAAGTTGTATCACATAGTGAGCAAGTTTGGTTTTTTTCTTCTTCTTCTTTTTCTTTGCAGGAAATCCATCACCAACTCCATCACTGTCTGGAATATCCCTTTTGCGTTTCTTACTAATGAAAAAAGGGGCTTCCTGCTGTTCTATTGGCAGCTCTTTACTAGAAATCTCACAATCACCATCTTGATTACAAGAAAATCTTTGTGTTCCTTTTCTCTTGAGCTTCTTAGGCATTTCATCAGTTTCTTTTAATAATTCTGAATCTGAACTGCTTTCTATAACAATAGGAAGGTTTGTACAACCTTTGCTCTTCAATTTGGAAGCATTTTTCTTCATTGAATCTATCTGATCTGAACCCTCTCCATTTACCAAGCGCTTCTTTTTCTTTGCCTTGACTTTGGTTTGTAAATCATAATAGCCATTTTCTTCTATTATAACAGCTGCCTGGTTTCTAACCATAGCGTTAACTTTAATATTTATCTGCACAGATCTATCAGTTTTGTTGCTTGCATCCTTTATGACTATTCTGAAAAACAAAAAGCAGACACCCATTTACCAAGTAGTAACTTACCACAGTTGGTATCATTATAGTTTAGCAAGATGTATACAAGCTTAGCCTTACTCCAGGTTTGTGTGTTCCTCTCTCCCTTCTCCCATGAGAATAATGCTTTTTTGCTGAAACACATTAGGCTACTAATAATTTATCAGCAACTTGAGACATGCTCTCTCTTTTTTGGCAGCTATTTCCATGCTTGACACATTTTCTGCTGCAGGGGAAGGAGATGATCTCTACACTCTTAAATAAGTTAAATAAGTAGCACTGTCCTTCACTGCAAGCAATTCCAGTGACATTCTTTGTTACAGCGGACTGTGGGCATACAGCCAAATTAGAGAGCTTTAAATGGGAATTATGCAATTTCATGAACGATAGGGTGGTCAATGGCAACTAGTCATGATTTCTGTATGTACTACATCCAGAATCAGATGCAACAGGCCTCTGAATGAATGAATGAGGTGACAACAACAGGAGTGTTTTTACTCTCATGTCCTGCTTGCCACAGGCATCCAAATGGCTGCTGTAAATATAAGATGCCTTCCAACCCTACAATTCTATGATAGTTGGGCACTTGGACTGATCCAGCATGGCTCCTCCTGTGCTCTTATATTTAACAGTGCAAAAGGAGTCAGACAAGAAGGTATACAGAAATAAATAGTGTTAAAGGCACATATTCACGAACACTTCATACATATTGGGTCTCTTTCCCCCCATCTTATCACACATCTCCATGTGGACAAACAATATGCATTCCCACCCTTATTTATTAAGTAAGATTTCTTCCTTTTCCTTCACCACAAGGTGACTTACAGCAATAAAATGTGTAATTATAAATCAAATAAAACAGTTACAACCCTATGCATGTGTAAAGATAATCGAAAACAGTTCCACATAGAAAACAATTAAAAACAACTTCGTATTAAAAAAAACAAACACAGGTAAAAATAGTTCAGATGCAGGCTGGAATAAGGACCTCAATTTAAAAGGCTTGTTGGATGGTCAACAAGACAACAGATGCCAAAAAGACATCAGAGGCAGCACTTGCCTAGTAGTTAATGGCAGAGAGTTCAAAAGGGGGGATGCCACCACGCTAAAGGCCCTGTGGGACGGACCTCCTGTAAAGATCATACCTGCATGAGGCCCTCTTCTGAAGAGCACAGTGGCTGGCAGGGCATATATGGGGTGTGACAATCTTTTAGGTATCCTGGTCTCAAACCAGGAGCGGCAACAGAAGAACAAGTCTTTTCTGTAGTTGCTCTGTAGAGAGGCTTATTTATTTTTCATACAATTTATACACTGCTTGTTCGTTCTTTTTAAAGCTGTTTACAAAAAGACAAAACAATAAAATCGAAAACTAAATAAATCATGACCATGCTTTTAAAACCATACTTTGTTGCATCTCTTTAGGCGTGCAGAATTGAGTCAGTGCCTCATATGCTTCTGGCTTGCACTCTTTATAAAAAGATTTGAGGTTATTACCCCTCTATTATTGTCTACGCTGGGTTGCCCAACCGCTGCTACTGTCCCCTTTCTTTTAGCAGATCAAGATGATCAGGTGACAGCAAAAACTGCAAGGTTTTTAGCGGGGGCAATTAGAATAAGGTCTATTATTTGATTATTGATGTAACCTCCCCAAAAATGTATTTTCTATAGTTAAGTTTTCACCTCTCTCGTCAGTATGTTTTATTTTATTTTATTGCTATGACTAGTGGCTGATGCAAAATAAAGATTCTTCTGATTCTGATCAGGTGAAAATGTTTCTCTTCTCCCAGGCCTTTGGCCACTTACTTAAACCACCTGTGGCCTTTCAAAAAAAAATGTGTGTGTGTGTGTGATTATTTTGTTTATTACGTTACGTATTCCTGCGTTGTTGTTGCTTTTTCTGCCGCCTTGAGACCCTCGGATGAAGGATGGTATAAAAAAATAAATGAAACTTAATGACATGGACATCAGGACTCTCCTAATCTTGCTGGACTCCCAACTCCTCCCACGGCAGCCTCGGCCATGAGCCACGCGGCCTGGGAGTGAGGAGAGCCGGGAGGCCGGCAGCATCTGGAAGGCCGCAGTTGTCCCCCCCCCCCCACCGCTGCTTGGGGGTCACGGGCCTCCCAGCCCTACGGAAGCCAAAGCCTCCCCTCACCCCACAGAAACCGACCCCTCCCTCTAGCCTTCTCCCCCCCCCCCCCACCGCCACTCACCTGTCCTGAGGAAGGAAAGCGGGGCCCGTTGGCCTGCCTGCCTCCTCCTACGACCCCAGCTCCTTCCCTCCCCTACCTGGGCGCCGCTTCTTCGAAAGCCGCGAAAACACTTCGCCTCGCTCGGCCTGACCCGGAAAGGAAAACAGGCGCCGCGGCCTAGCGGGGAAACCGCCGCCGGGCGCCCGCGGCTTTGAGGTTGCCTAGCAACCGCTCCCCTTTCCTCCTCCTGCCGCGGCTGCTATGGAGGAACTCCCGGCCCCCAACCTCTGGGAGCAAATCTGCGCAGGTGGGAGACTCTCCTCTCCCCTCCCCCCCCCCGCGTTGCCCCCCTTTTGCCCGCATCTTCGGCAAATGCCTCGGTGCAAATTGGGGGCGTGATCTATCCAGACCTTCTCTAGGAGCAGGGCCGCATTTAGGTTTGATGAAGCCCTAATATACTGAAGGTAAAGGGGCCCTTTAAATGTCCTGCTATCCTTTGTCAACAACAAATTGTCGCTGTTTTTTGTGTTGAATATATGCTATATGGTAATTTCTGGACCTAATAGGTCCATACACAACACAAAACACTGTTGCTGTATGTAGGTTTTATTTGTTTTGTTTTTTATCTTATACTTTGGAAATCTACATCCAGTTTCCCCCCCCTTTAAATTTTTTGGGCCCCCCCCCCCAAGAGAGTGGGGCCCTAAGCTATAGATTTTTTAGCTTATACGGAAATCTGGCACTGCCTAGGAGCAACGAAAACCTGACACTTTCACCCCCCCATTCCTTTTCTTTCTCCCCCTCCCCAGAATTTGAAGCAATGCAGCCTCCCCATCCTGACACTTTGGACCAGAAGAGGGAGGTTGCGCCTGAACCTAAGCAAGAGCCTGTAGTTGCTTCCCAGGTAAAGACAATTGCTGTGTGAAGAAGCACTTTTTGTTTGTTATCCATCCTGTATCTTTCAACATTCAGCTTCATTTGGATGTCCATGCATCCTGGTGTTAGGAGAAAGTAAGAAACCCCCCCCCCCCACACACACTTTCTCCTTGCCATGTCTAATTTTCTAAACTTCTATCATGTCACCTCTGGCTCGCTTTTCCCCTCAACTGAAATGTCCCCAATTCTGTATGGATTCAGTTCCTCTCCCTTGGTGTCGATCCTCCAGCTTCAAAGGCACTGTATCACCGAATAGAGGCTGCAGCAGAACAAAAGATGGGGATTGGAGGCTGACCTCATGTCCTGCGCCTGGGCTCCCTGTAGGAAATGACTAGACATAGACTGTCAGTTTGATGTTTCCCAGTTCTTCTTATCTTCCTGAATATTCCTTACTTTGCAGATTTCATTGCAGGGACAAATCCAAGGTATTCGTCTAATACTAAGTAGCAGGTGCTGTTTTGCACAGCTCTGTTCTCCACTTCACCTGGCAACATCCTCTTTACAAATCAGCATCACATGGAAATATGCATGGATTTCATCCTCTGTGTTCTTGTGTATTTGAACAAATCCTTCTTGATCAAAAGGATGAAGGAAGCGGGGTGGGGTGGGGAAACAAGGTTGAAGGTTGGTAATCCAGACTTGATGTTTCCATTTGTTCATATCATTTGAATCTCTGCCATGAATTCAGGTAGAGACTGGAGATCTCTGCAGAATCATGCCTTCCCCCTGGTAATCCAGAGATGTATACAGTGGTACCTCGGGTTACAGACGCTTTAGGTTACAGACTCTGCTAACCCAGAAATAGTACCTCGGGTTAAGAACTTTGCTTCAGGATGAGAACAGAAATCGTGCTCCGGCGGCAGCAGGAGACCCCGTTAGCTAAAGTGGTACCTCAGGTTAAGAACAGACCTCCAGAATGAATTAAGTTCTTAACCTGAGGTACCACTGTAATTTGTTATTGGTGCTGATAGTTGTTAGGAAACCCCTATTCCCCTTGCAGAGTTACAGTTCCCAAAGTGGTTTTAACAATCAGTCCCTCTTCTTAGGGAACTCTGGAAATTGAAGTTATGTAAAGCCAATAGGGATCTCCTATTGGCAGGGGGGACCCTGTTGTTGTTGCTGTCTCCAGCTACCGCCCAGTTGGCACAGACCAAGGACACTGCCTTCTTGGTGGTGGTTTCCTTTTCCTTTTCTTTTTTTGAAATGTCCTTCCTGGTGAGATGTGTCTACCTCCCTCATTGACTTTCAAGAGAAAATTTAAAACATTCTTAGGTATTTCAGTTGGTTAGAGCATGGTGGTAATAACACCAAGGTTGCAGATTTGAACCCCGTATGAGACACCTGTATATTCCTGCAGGGGGTTGGACTAGATGATCCTCAGAGCCCCTTCCAACTCTGCAGTTCTATGATTCCTGTTTGTCCAGGCATTTGATGGCTATGAGATATTGGCCATCACAGCCATGAAATTAATAATTGTGAGAATATACTACTGTTTTTAAATGTGTTTAGATGCTCTAAAAGTTTTAGATGGTTTTCAATTGTGTTTGAATGATTTAAAAGTGTTTTATTCTATATTAAATTGTACTGCTTTAACATTTATGTTTGCTACCCTAGGCTCTTCTAGAAAGAGGGGTGTGATACAAATTTAAGAAATGAATAAGTGGGGATTTATTTGGAGCTGGATCTCCTGTCCATTTATAACATTCTGTTCACTGCACCTCAATAGCTCCAGGCTATGCTTTGAGTCTGGGTTCCTTTTTGGGATCAGCTTGTTTAAAATGTGTTGTTGTTGTTTTTGTAATTATACCAGGGTATTTATATTATTAAATTTGATTTTAAGGAGGCTCCTGTAGGTGCTGAAACTTCACCAGATTTGAGTGGGGATCAGAGCAAATCACCTCTTACTGATGAATCGATTGCTGCAAAGACCCCTTCTCTCCTTTCCCTACCAACATCACCTGAGCTGCCTGACCTAAAAACCTGTAAGTCAGAGTACAGCTTATTTATTATATTTTATTAAATTTGTATATCACCCTTCATCCAAAAATCATAGGGCGGTTCACAACATAAAGATACAAAATGAGAACACAAAATACATAATAAAAAACAAGAACAAAAACAAACCAATAATCCCCCTTCCAAAAGACATTTAAAAGGGCATAGAATGTTAATAGGCCAAAGGCCCAGTTAAAGAGAAACGTTTTTGCCTAGTGCCTAAAGATCTGCAATGTAGGCACTAGTCAAGCCTTCCGAGGGAGAGCATTCCGCTAACGGGGAGCCACCACAGAAAAGGCCTGTTCTTGTCTTGCCACCCTCTGGGCTTCACATGAAAATGGGCCTCAAATGGTGATTGCAGGATCTGAGCCAGTTCACAAGGAGAGAGGCATTCCTTGAGGTATTGCGGTCCTGAGCCATTTAAGGTTAAAACCAACACTTTGAATTTGGCCTGGAAACTAATTGGCAGCCAGTGCAGTCGCACCAGGATTAGTGTAATATGCTCAAACCGCCTTGCCCCAGCGACCAACCTGGACATACTTAATTAGAATTGTACTTTTGCAAGACAAAAAAATAGTAGTGAAATCAACCAGGGAGAGAAAGAAGAGAGACCCTGAACCTGGCCATAATGGCTTGGCTGTGATGTGTGAACACAAACAATATCGCTGCTTAAAAATGAATTCTCAAGAATAATTTTTGTCCAGGTACTCCAAGAGAATTATTGGAATGCTACATATTTCCTGTGCTTCTACCAGGAATGGCAGAACTGCTACATCAGGCTAAAAAGGAAAAATGTTTTGAGGTCAGTTTTCGGTGATTAATTTGTTTTCTGAAATGTAATGATTTCTTTTAAACTATTACTCTGTACTTACTTGACTGTAGTTCTCAAGACAGCTTATAGTATTATTATATACCAGCTTATAGTATTATTATGTAGCAGCCTTCCCCAGTCCAGCGACTGCAAGATGTTTTCAACAGCTTCCTTCATCCTTGACCATGTTGTCTGGGGCTGATGAGAGCTGTCAGCCAAAACATCTGGAGGGCACCAGGTTGGGGGAGACTGGTCTATAGGATGGCCATGATAAGTGAGGTCTCTCTGTGTGAGAGCAGCTGTGCCTCCAAATGCACGCAAATTACAGAGGATGAACATCACTATCCTGCATTGCTTGTGAATTTCTCCAGAGGGATCAGGCTAGCCTCTGTTGCATATAGAACACTGGGCTCCTGACAGATCTTTCTTTAGAAGATTCAGCCATTTATTATACAGTCATAAGATCCAATATTTATTTTATATCCTGCCTTTTGATCTAGTGATCCCCAAAGTGGCTTACAACAGATTGCAGTGATACACACACACACAAAACAAGCCCTTAAACCAGGTGTGGGAGAACCTTTGGTCCTCTGTATGTTGCTGAACTACAACTCCTATCATCCCTGGCCTTTGGCCATGCTTGCCGGGACAGATAGAAGTTGCAGTTTGGCAACATATGGAGGTCCAGAGGTTCCCCAAACCTGCTTTAAATTCAATACATTCCCAGCAGCTCTTTGCACCATGCCCAATGGATGTGCTTTCCTTCTGCTCTGCAGTCCTAGGATAGTTGACTTACAGAGCTGAGTCTTGTTTCTGGCAGAGGCCAGAGTGTGCATCCCTTCAGCTCTGCCATTTTCGGGGGCAAAGCAAAAGCAGTCCTTGTGACATGAAACGAGCTGGCTGGATGAGGCCAGTGGCCCATCTAGTCCCACATCCTGTTCTCACCATGGCCAACCAAATGGGAAGCTCACAAGCAGGACTCAGGCGCTACAACACTCTCCTCTCCTGTGGTTTCCATCAACTGCATTAATAGCCACTGATAGCTTGATCGTCTATGAATTTGTCCAGTCCTCTTCTAAAGCTATCCAAGCCGATGGCCATCGCTACGTCTTGTGAGAGTGAATTCTGTTGTTTAACTTTGGAGGTTTTGATGGCCTTAGAGATCTGGATTCCGGAGGTTAGAAGCTGATCCCCTGGTTCCCCCTGTTAAGTGTGCCCCAGCATGGAAGTGCCACAGCATGAGTATGGTTTTAAGGTTGCTAGTTTGTTGTTTCTTGAGCCTGGCTCCTGGCCAATTAAGTATTTTGCGAAGAGCACATGCAGGCTGGAGCACATGCCTCATTAGTGTGTTGAAATTGAGGGTCCCCGCAGGTTTAATGATGGGCTTTGCAGAAGCTAACCTTATTAAGTCTTCATTTCTATTGTATTTATTCTTTGTTTTCTGACTGGCTTATCATAGTTAAGATGCAGCTATTAATGGTACATTGATTTCCAACCCCCCTTTTAAAACACATGCACACACGTAACAGCAGCACGTTCCTTTAAAGCAATAACAACTTGGGCAATCTGAAA